AGAACCTATCCGCGTGAACAGTGGGTGTAGCGTGGAAGTCTAAGTTTTACATTAACGAGTTCAACTAGCAACCGCGTTAAGAATTTGTATGTAGATTTGTAGTTGTTGATAGTTACTGCTAGTAGCTGAATTCCATACGAGTATACATAATCTTGACGCGCTCACTATCACGGTGAACGAAAAAATGAAAAAACTTACACTCAGCCCTCAGACAACAAATAGGTAGGTCAACAAACGATCATATCAATAATATTAGTAGGTTAGTAATAAAATGACATACTCGTAAAATTCTTATGAATCATTTGGCTACCCCTAAGAACAGTAGTAGTAATTCTATTCTCTTTCGGTGGCAATACTATTCTATGATAGTATTACGCTACACACTCACATTTAGAATATGAATATAAAAATCTCAATCAGCATTACGCAGAAAATTGTTTATGAAAACATTAATTGTGGTTTGGATGTTTGGTTTCCATCGAGGGTTGATTCGGTTATACAAATTGCTAATGATAAATTATACAAATCTCTTATTACTCAAAGCACTGTAATATTTTACAACAACAGTGCTTTCTTTTTTATAATACTGACCCATTAAAACATTCATAAATTCATGCGAACAATAATATTATTATATAATATGTAAATGCGAGACTAATGCTGTTTACACGACCAGTTGTGATAAGTTGAGGCTAAATACTCAATTTAAAATTAGTTCTTATGAAAAACAAGCAAAATTTAAGTAAGTATAACAAAAAGACGAAGAATCCAATCAATACTAAAAAATCAACACCGTAGATAAACACATCCTATTAATATTATTAATGTTTTGATGAAATTTGGTATACAGATAGGGTATTAGCTTTATTTTTATCCCACTAAACATTTTCCTAAGGCGAAGCCGCTGGCGAAAGCTAGTAAGTATATAAGTAGCATATATACATCCTAATATAAAGCAAGTGCTTAAATCATCTTAAAACATTTCAGCGTAAAGAGCCAAAGTATACTTTTATAATTGGGGACACATTTCAACAGCTCAGTACTCCAATCCTATCTCAATTACCGTTCATTTAATAAAACTCTAATCCCCAAGAGCACAACAACCGCGGAGTGGCCGACTCACAGGCGCCCCGTTCCGCATTTCGCTCGCTTCCCAGGACCGGATCTACGATTTTTCCGACCGGGGCAAAAACTTAATATTGCGTACACCCTCTCTACCTCTGTGAGGCCGTTTTTTTCATGACCATATTTTTGCAGTGATGATTTCCTCTTTTTGTTTCATTTAGGAACTTTGAAAACATGTCCGTTACATATATACTCGTATTATAATGCGAATGAATTCAAAAAGTCATTTTTGTGAAGCTCATTATTTTTTAACTACATTATTTATGACTTTGGCAACACTCCTGACACTGGCATCCAGGCCAAGTACCCTTCTTGCCGCCTCCTAGAGCCGGCCCTGTCGATTTCCAAGATTGAACATTATACTGAAAAAGTTAAATGGTCCGGAATAAAGCGCCGGTAATAGAAAATGGACGGCACTCTTAATTTCCTAGTCCGATATTCGAACCGAATACCTCTCGATATCATCGACGGTACGTGACATATTTAGTACCTATTGGGTGTTCAACTCATTCATAATGAACGCCAATTACCAACCCACTATTCGTTCAATGAATACTGAATTCAACTCGATTTATATGTCGGTAACTTGTTAGTTAAATTTTGTTGAATTGTTTCATAAAAAATAAGTAAATCTGCAATTTAGCTGATTTTGTGGTAACAGTTAAAAATAATTATGAAAATGAAAAATCTTTATCGATTAAGCTTACTACAAACACTCTTGAATAGTTCAAAATTACTTTCGAAGACAAAGACAAATCGAAAGAGTTAAGCTCTTTATCAGACAGTAGCGACATTTATATCAATACTGTTATTACCAAGATAATACGTTTTACAATTATCATAATAAATATATATCAATGTATGTGGGACATAGCACAGGTACATAATTAGTCAGTATAGAAAGCGAAGGCTATGAATTCCATGCATTGTGATCCTTAAACAAATTAATTATTAAACAAAATTATAACATTACTGGCTAATATTCGAACTTGTAATTAACTAATTCTCTTTTGGTGATTTCGCTCGCGCAAATCAGAGCCACCCGTGTATGATGTAAGTAGTATCCCGTAGTCCATGCTGTGGCTGTGAATGTGGTTTTGTTAAGAAACTGTTTTCGATAGTATCTAATATAAAAGTACCGTCTTGTATATAGTTTTTATTGGGGGTTGAGGGTCCTTTGTATCCACGGGGCCCTAGGCTTAAACCCGATAAGCCCTTAAGTAGATCCGCCCCTGTGCGGGCCAAAGTAATTTTAAAATCATACAAACAAATGTGTCCTTTTTTATAAAAACTAATATTATTATTAGTATGTATAAAATAAATCAAGTACTGAAAATAAATGCTCTCTTTAATTATAGAACAATTAAAGCAAGGTCATTCTCATTTTATTAATACAAGCAACAAATGTAAATTTTCTACCATTAAAATTTTCTCGTAAAAAATTATATTAAATTGAATTTTACAGGCAAACTTCACCTTCCTGCACGTATTTAACAGATTCCACGTACCTATACGAACGACCCCCACTACGCCCTCCGGAAATTAACATTTTCTAAAGCTCTTGCAAATGAAAGCACACATCTACGCCCTGAAACCCTATTGTTAACGTCAACTTACGCCACCCGAAGGAAAAAAAATATACACATTAATAAAGCGACTTTCCTGGCTATTTGCTTAACGTTCGATCGAGGCTCAATAAAACGCTGAAGATAAGACTTTTGATAGATATTCATAATGCAAAGGAAAGGCACAATCAGATTTTCATTGGAGCCCCACCGCAACGAGGAACGGCGAAATGAATACTTATTGCGAAAATGAAGCAAGCTATTAATGAACCCGCCGTCTCCTGTGAACCGCTCATCGCGATTTATTACCCTTCAAAGAATATTCAATAAACCATTGTCGAGATATCTCAGATCTATGGAAGAATGACAGATACCTATTGCATTGGCACTGAGAACGATTTATTGGAAACGAGATATTTTTTACATTCTAAACTAATTAGATAGCTTCCGTAGAACAAACCACCAAATATTTTATGTTGAACAAATTCCTGCAGTCAACGAAAAATTATTGTGATTTAAGAAATTTTAGGCACTACTTGTTGTACTAAAAAATCGTCTCATGCAGAAAGAAGCTTAAATAACCTGCTTCTTGAGTACGAATTGATAGTTTTGATTCTCATAATATGATCTTTCAAGGTTTCAAGCTTTGACAAAGTTCCGGAACAGTTCCTGCAGAAACTGAGGGACAGGGTCTCCCTGTGCCTGGTACAGTCAGTGGTATGCCGATAGGAAACCCCGAAGAGAAAGCCTTGGTGAGCCTGGACGGACGCATAAGGTTTTTTTACCACTTTGAATGCTTATATAGGTTTAATTTTACAAAAATGTTAGTTTCAATTATGCCCTCGTTAGTTTTAAAATTTTGTGTGAAGAGGGGACGTAAAGGCGAAAAACTGTCACCAGCTGTCACTGTCTATCTCATTGCAAATATCAATTAGGATCTTTCATTCATTTCATTTTTACCCAACTACGGCGAAGTGAAAAGGAGGGTTATGATTTTGACCGGTATGTAGGATGTATATATGTAAGAATGTTCCAAGGTAAATACAAATCATTATTGCGAAGTGTTCCTGCTGGTGTCCCGCAAGGGTCGATGTTGGGTCCTTACCTATTCCTGTTATATCTAAATAATATACCTAAACAGCCTCGTACACATCTAGCATGTTATGCATTGTGGGTCGAATGCAATTCTCAATAGATCTATTGCAACCCTTTTTTTTTAATGTAAGCTAAAGCTAAAAGCAGCGGAATCAAAAGTCATTATGTTTATCCGTCATTGTTGTCCACCCAAAAGGACTAAAGATAGTCGGATATTATTAATGCTCAAGTACTCAAACACTCAAGGTGCTCAAGCACCGAGTGCCTTAAATCCTAATTTAAATAGTAAAAATATGCTTAATTCTAAAATTAAATTAAAAATTTATACAGCCTTTGTTAGGCTGTGTATTACTTATGCCTGTCCAGTGTGTAGTTATACATGCTTAACTAATTATGATCTTAATACTAACAATACAAAATAAAACCCTTAAAATTACATTTGATACTTCTTTTAAAATAAATCTGAAAAAGTTAGATTCAAAAATTAAATACCAGTTACTCTTTAATTTAATAATTAAATTAACACAGAAAAAATAATTTACAAACATAATAAATAACAAAGAATCCATAATTCCTTTAATATGTAATTAAATGTGTAGATAGGTGCATATCGTTTATCTCTTCACTACATTATTTTTTCCACCGCCCGGTGTTGCCGACTGGGTGGAACTAGGAGAATACGCATGACAAATCCAGTAACATGTATTTATTGAACATATTCCCCTCTGTCGCCGTTGTGCACTTGCGACGCAGGGGGAAGGGTAGCTCTCACCACTTAACTTAAACTGGCCATTGGCGAAAACTTCTAATTTTGTTCTGAATTTACCGTCATTGAAATTAAGTAAAATCACATTTAGGTGCATGAGTTTCGTATATTATAAAATATTGTAACATTTAATATTTTAGTGCTACCTAAATTGACTAAATAATTAAGTTGTGATGAGCCCCAACAAAATAATTTGTGTAGGCGAACAGTCTGATATAGTGATATGAAATGCATGGTAAGCGTATAATATTGTACTAATTACATTGTATTATATATGAAATAATAATATTTAAAAACAAAACGAAAGATGATTTTTTAGCACTTTCGCGGTCAAAAACCTTAATTTAGTTATTTAATTTGGGATCAGGGATAATATATGCGATGTAAACTAATATTATTATAATTGCATACATAGCAGGGAAATAAAAATGAATAAGTATATAAAAAACACGTGACTCATTCATTATTTTTTATTACATATCTTTTAAGGCTTTTACAACACATATATTATACAACAGATGACTCTGCAATCTTGACCACGATTTCGCTGCCGTTTCTTCTATGCAATTAAGCGTATTCCTGAGCTCCAGACTGCCAGAAATAGTTTTAGTATGTGTTTTCAGAAACAAACTCAAATACGATTGCGCTAATTCAAAATCCTTATTACTTTCGAGCATCGCCCGTAACATTTCTAAGAATTTTTTCATGACTTCCACAGAGCCACCGACATCAGGCGACATACTATTAACTTCAGCTTCGATAGCAGACGGAGCTAAAGTCTTTAACTTATTTATACATTCACTGTAATCTTGATCTTCACAACTGACCAATTTTTTTGCAAACACTGATAATGTAGAAAGAGTATCAGGTATTAACAGTTTAGTTTCTCCATTACCAATGTTCTCTTTCTCTAAATCGAATTCTAGTTCTAAACTTGGTATTGTTGGTAAAAAGAATGGAGCCGATTTAGGTACAGTGAACGGTGTTTTCGGTTTATTTCTACGTTTTACAATATCTAGGTTCAATAGATTGAGCCACCTCGAGGTCGGTTGATTCGACAACGTAATTAATTCCTGACTAATTTGCTCGGGAGATTTATATTCGGGTTCTTCTCCGAGATCGATCAATCCCAATTCATCCAAGTCTGGTTTTTCGGGAATCGTACTTGGCAATTCTGTAACAGGGACAAGACAATTTTAAGGAACTAGTACAAACACATTGTGTATTTGGATATTGTGGACAAGTTGCAAGTGGAATACTAACTTATACTAATAATATTTTTTAAATAGCTTTAAACTTTTATATAGTTTATTAAATACGGAATCTGGAAAGAAACCGAGGCATCTAAAAATATATTATTATATGCTTTTATTGGTAATGACATAGCTTTTGTAAATGTCATTACTCTATCAGAGTTGGTGAGTTTCTTTCGCTTGTTCTTCTTAAAGGCTAAGACGTCCTGAACGTGTGGTGGGTAAAGAATTGGACACTTCAATAAGTTTATTTTAATATTGATGTTTCGTTTTTTACTATGATTTTATACTTACTCAGTTTTGGCACTTCAACTGCGTTTCTATCAATGGGTTTGAGGAAAACCCGCTCGTATAATAATCTGTTGGCCCAAAGAAAAACTCCAAGTTCATGAACATGAGTTGTCGCCAAAAAATCTCCCGTAGGCGACATACTTAGGGATGTACAGGGTCTTTCCACCTAAACAAATAAAATGTCACAATCAATACAAATTAGTTTAAAAAGTTCTTATCAAACACAAGAACTATTCTTAAGTGAAATAGTAGAGGCAAATTTAAAGGTCTCTTTAAATTAATAGAATTATTTCATGAATACTTACAGAAAAAATATCCACTAATTGAGCACTTGGTATATCCCAAACGCAAATCGTACAGTCCATAGATGTACTTATGAGCCACCTAAAACAATTGTTCAATGTAAGCTTAAAAATATAATTCAACAAAATGAATAAAAGGACAGAGACACAGAAAGAACGTGTCGTAAATACTAATAATCAAACTCTTTATAATTAAATAAGAAAGCGATTACAAGACGCCATTGATTTTTTTACTAAATATTTTTAAAACACTTAAGTGAATACAATCTTTCTTCTCTAACTAAATGAAACACGATGTTGTTGACTTAGGACCGACTAGTCCTCGAACTTATTTGGCACACGTACAGTAGGTCGCGCACGATTGCACTTGGTGAGAGTTTATAAGGTGTTTTGTTACACTTTGTTTAATGACATTACATGAGAATGAGGATAAATCATAATTGGGAAACAAACATGAACACTAGTTATTCCTGGTAACAATACACCTCATATTAAGTATTTTGAACTGGAAATATTATGCAAAGCTTGGTGTAGATGACAGCACCAACGCATGCAGTAAGCTAACTATTCAGAATTTTGTCTTGAATGATTCCCTTCTTTCTTACATCCAAATATTCAGCAATTGGCTAATCTGAACGATCCAAGTATCACGTCATCGGACATTACACCAATATCCACATGCCTAACCCCCATTAAGTGTAAGTAAGACAGAAAATTAAAGCGTTTTATTTTACGCCTTATGTTTATTGAAGTCATGATAAATTTTAATCACACATTCATTCATCGTCAGAGTAAATAAGATCCACCACGCACCATAGTTTACTGTACCAGTACAATAAATTAATTTATTCATAACAGATTCATACCTGCTTTGAGGATCAAAGTCGATGCAGTTAATTTTACCAAGGTGACCTTCAAATTTTCTTACCACATTCATAGTGTCAATATCAACAATGGTTATAGAAAAATCTTCATTAGCTAGAGCCAGTAAACCACTGTCTCTATTTAATTTAGTCATTGTAACAGATTCCTCTAGACTCATTACATGATATGGAGTTGTAGCTAAAACAACAATTACTTTGTTAATCTTTTACTACTATGATTAGTTATGGTCGTTAAGTTCTCACACTACATAAGTGTCTTTTAGCAGTTTTGACATTTTGATGCAGTAATAATAATTAAATAACTTTTTTATAAAAAGTTAATGATTTTACATCAAAACTGAGCAATAGAATAAATTGACATCTATCTGTGAATGAAAGCAGAAGAAAATAAGCACCAATTTGTCAGACATGAGATCGAAAATTACAGTGACAGTTTATTTTAATGTATGTCACCAACTAGTAGTTCCTTATTCAGTACAAATAATATTAATACACTTTATATCATAATCACTTAATTTGTATCGCATTTAGTTAATTATAGTTTGGTTGTAATCAGAAAAAAAAAACTCAATTTTTTGAGATGGCGTACTACATATACCTAGCTCACTTTGAGATATGTCCATATAAATATGTGAATTTCACTATACCTGTCTTAAAACGCCAAAACTTCAATTTATCATCAGCCCCTGCAGTTATTAGCCTCTGATTACAAATATCAGTTTCCACTCCTCTCACAGCTCCTTTGTGTGCCAATTTCTTTTCTTGGCCATAACTACCTCTGTGTAAGCCTGACTGCATATTAAATTTATGAACTTGACCATTGCTATAACCTGCAAAAAAATTATAATTAAACCAATAATTATGGGGAACAATAGAATGTATTTAACACTGGCATTAGCAATTTGTTTTTGGTGTCTGGACACATCCAAAAAAAAACATGTCACATGTATTCTATCTAACCTCTTCCTCACCTTGTCATGTCACTTGCAATTTACTGAAAATTTGATGTCATTAAATTAAGTCATTTGAAAAATTTTTTCCTTTTCTATTACCTTGACATGATATTGAGTGTCTTATTAACTTTTATTGGATAAGAGTATATATGAAATATAACAAGGGAGATATTATTTATATTGAAAATACTTACTTACCTACAATGACAAAATTCCCACAATGTGTAACAATAAGGCAAGTTGCTTCAGTGCCTTTTGGAAAACTTGGTGGTATCAGTTTGTGGTCACCCATTCGAATCTTATTGTATGACCATGTCGTCACAATATATTTTCCTCTATGTATAGAAGCAATACTGTCCCATTGCTTGTCTCTTTGCATACAAGAACTAAGTTTAGTTATTGCTGGCATAGCATGTTTATCTTTTTCAAGTCTATCTAAAATTTAAAAATAAAACAGTTTAACAACATTATGGTTTATTTATAAAGTATTTTTAGAATGTAATAAATCATTGTAAGAAAACTTACGTTTCTTCTTTGATAGTTTCCTATTATAAGAAGCTTTTCCCATACTTTTGTTAAATGTTTCAGTTACAGTATTCATTATGTGGAGACTCCTATCTTGGCCCGCCACTAACATGTTTTGACCAGTGGGTTCACAATGTGTAACCAGATTAGGAGGTAAAGCGTGACCTTCCCTAAAATAAGCAATAACATTTGTTTAACAGTTCATACAAAAATATTATTTGTTTTATATTATGTTACAATCATAGCAAAAAAAACAAAATCACATAACATTAATTAATTACCTTCTCCTAAGAAGCCTTGCTCCTCCATCTGGCATATCAAAAATCCATAACTTTAGAGAGTTGTCTTCTGAATTAGTGACCATTAAAGGTTCAGACATCAAACATTGTAAACCAGCTATGGAAGCAGAATGGGCCGACTGTATTTGGGACATCACTCTTCTCTCTTCTAGATCCCACATTACTATATGCCCTTCAGAACTCCCTGTTACCATAACAGGTGCTCCATCTAACCTAAACGATAAACTACTCACATGCCCCCAATCATGGACAAATTCTACAATTTTCTGGTCATAACGTAAATTGTGTAATATAACTTTCCCATTAGCTAAGGCAACTGCTACAACATCAACAGCAGGAGCAGGCTCTACAACACTTATAGGTGAATTCCATCCTTTGAATGTGAATATCAATTTAGAGGTACGAACATTCCACAACTGCAATTGGCCTTGATGACTTCCCAATAGAATTTTATTTAAGTATGTAGGTGGATGACATAAGGTTGTTATTTTAAATTGATTGACATCAAATAACAACTCTAAAAATTCACTTTCATCCTTAATGTCAAATAATTTAAGCACATTCCCTTCATCTATTGAAATCAAGTGCTCACCGAATGGCATCAGTAAATGGACTGACGCATTGTGACCTTTATAGACATGTTTCAGTTCACAGCCTCGTCGCCAAGCAAAAATATTATTTTCACTAGCTGTATATACATGAAAGTTATCGCCGCTCATACATGTTATTGGTCCGGGATGTTCACCACTGATACTCAAGAGTCGGAATTTATCACATCCGTATGTATGAAACCACTTGCCTATGCTCGTACAAAGAAGAGTTTCTCCACGTCTTTTGATAAATCGAGCTACAAATGGCACATGTGTACTAACATAACCTAAAACTCTGCAACCAGTAAATATTCGACTACAAGATTTTTCTGACATTATGGAAAACTTAAGAATCTAAGAGTAAGATAAAAATTTAATTTAAGAACATAATGTAACCACTCGTAATATGAAATTGTTAAAAACAACACATGTTCAGACGACTCTACAAAACGGTGTTTGTTGTCATCAAAACGAATGTCAATGGCACAGACTAACAATGAGATGGACGTATGTTAATGTCCTATCACATTTTAGGGATAAGGATATCAATAATGGTAAATAACAATCGGTTTAAAACAATTAATTAACATCGATATTGCTCTTATAAGAATAATATCAATTAAATACAGAAGGACCAAGGCAAAGGGCAAAGTTCTTATGTAGATTATAGCAGTAAAACGTTGTTTATTTTACTATATATCGATAGTTGAAAAGATAATCTAAACGTCATCTTTTGAATGTTCAGAAGACAGGTTAAGAATATTTTTATAAACAATATATTGGGTAGGTTTTTAATAAATCAATAAAGTTTATATATGGAAGTTTTCATTTTACATAATTTGTATCAGAATGCTTTTTTCTAAAGTGATCCAACTGCACATAGTTCCTAAAGCAGATGAAAGCACTAAAAAAGCACCTCCACTAGATGGTGACTTTAGCAAAAGTTGATATTTGCAGGAAACGAACGGACCAAAGACAGTCATGTCCGTTCCTTTTAACTAACATATTAAAGAATTGAAATTTGAAGAGTTCGAAACTTAGATATCGATACAAATACGAAAAACTACAAATAGATTATGAGTTGTTTATTGAGTTTTGAAAACTAATTTACTTTTAAACATGAAAGAAAACCGGAAGGGATTTCATGGAGAAATCAAGAACGCACCGTGGTGATATCTAGTTAGATTTCGGGAACTCATTTTTTTTTTAATTCTTCCTCATTTGACAAGAATGTCAAGCGCCGATTAATTGTTCATAAAATATATAAACCTAACTTAAACGATGATATATACTTGATATGTGTAAATCTATAAATCTCCAAAATTGCCGCTCGTCTTAATTAGCCTTTCTAACATCAATATGACTAATCAATTTTATACATATCGATATGATTTATTCCACGTTAACATCGATATTTATGATGTTGAACATCCCCATTCCATATTCATAGTTTTTTGTTAGGCAACGAGATCTAGCTCATACAGCCTAATGTATTTTCTCTTGTAAATTAAGGATACAAAAGATTGCATTTGAACATTGAGAATTTTGATGACGGAACGGAAAGGCCAAAGTATGTACAAAAAATGTAATGAGATACTGAGGAAGTATTTAAAAAACATCAGTTCCCAAAATCAAACTAGACGTCGCTACGATTCTTTTCCTGATTTCTCCATGACAACTCTTTCGGGTTTCTTTCATGTATAGTCAATTAATTCTCAAAACTCAATAAACAACTCATATTCTATTTGTACTTTTTCGTATTTGTATTGTATCTGAGTTTCAAACTTTGCAAATTTCAGTTTTTTTATATGTTAGTTAAAAGGAACAGAAATGATTATCTTTGGTCCATTCGTTTCCTGCAAAAATCAACTTTTGCTAGAGTCGCCATCTAGTGAGGTGCTTTTTAATGCTTTTTTTTTAAATACTTCCTCATAGTATGTAGTTTTTTCTTTGACAAATTCCATAAGGTCCTGGAGGCAGCCTTCCTTTATATTATAGGAACTTCGATCAACATTACATGATCGAAGGTTTTAGATGTCTCCGTGGCTGACAGCGTCACTCTCTTTGATTTTGTAATGCTGTCTTAACTTAACATTGCAACATAGCACCAAATAAACTACGCAAGTGATCTCAGTATCAATATCCATTCGAAGATTTGTGGTCTATATTTTTGTGATGAAACACTGTCATATAGTGATAAAATAAAATATCTGAATAAAAATATGAATTAAAATCAAATGCGTAAATTACTAACAAAAGAAAAAGTTGTTAGGGATTTAAAGTTTATTATCAATACAGAAAACCAAGCAATAAATCTATTGATATTCTAAAGTAGTCCTTGACGTTTCAAATCTTCATAGGTCTTACGGTTGACAACATTGCCCTGCGAATCTTCAAATTCTTCGTCATTTTCGGCAACAAATCTTTCATTCTCTTTCTGATGCTTGATTTTCTCCCACACTAAAAAAAACATTTTATTATAGTACCAATTTGTTTGACATTTTAATATATGTTTGTGTTACACAGTTAATATACTTTAATATCATGAATATAATTTCTTCGAATTGTTGCCAGGCTAATGGCGATCGTCAAGGAACAAGATATAGGTAATAAATCGTTTTCATTACTTACTCTACAGGGGTTGATCTTTTATCTTGGTCAATAAATCTATACTAATGACTAGCATTCGGCCCACGGCTTCGCTTGCATGAATCATATAATTTTCAAAACCCTATCGGTTAACCCTATGTGCAACAAGTTAAACCCCCTTAGAGGTCGAATTTTTCAAAACTTTCATATATTTTAACATATATATAAAAAATCACTCATTATTTCACTTGGTCACGCCATCACACATGAACGGCTGGACCGATTTCGCTAATTCTTTTTTGTTGTGTTTGTTATTGTGAGAACGTTCTTATGAAAGAAAAAAAAAAATAGAAAATTTCATAATTTAAGAATATTTAACCAACATATAAAATTATTTATAATCTAACTTTAGTGCTTTGTATAATGTAAACTTTTTTAAAGTAACCTTATGACGTTTGAGATAATTGAGAGAATGCGTGCTAGAAATATCATTAAGTAGGATGTAAAATAACTGAATATCATTTAAAACAGATGCTTCGGTTGGAGTAATTGTATTATATTTTTTAATTAATTATACCAATTCGAATTCAACATTCAACAGTCTGTCGGATCAGCTAGTTTTTAATAGATGTAAAGTTAGATAATAGAATTGAACTCACGTGCAAGAGCGTCCTCTATTTGAGTGACATTGGCAAAATGAGCCGTATTCGGTATACCCAGACATCGCATGCCGTGAGCGTGACGCCACTCCGCGAAGTGACGTTGGAATGCTTTCGGTCCCTTATAGGTGTAGTTACCGCAGATCTCACACGTGTAACTGATATTGAGACCATGGAGTTTATACAGCCAGTATGGGATTGGCTGAAAATAAAACAATGAACATTTACTTTAGAGAGTATAACTTGCCTGGATGAAAGCACTAAGCAATTATTACGCTTATTGTACAAAATATTTTCTGTAAATCATAAGTTCAATTCAAAGTATATACGAAAAAAAAAATTTTAAAAGAATAATATTTGGACACCAAATTGATACCAATAAGAGATCGGACAACTTTCTGAAAACTGTTTGAAATTAATCGTTATGGACCCTTTTCAAACAAAAAATATTTTTATGTCAATAAACATTGTGTCTAAATATATATTCATATTATGTATATAAAATAAAAAAAATGTATCAAAAAAGTGGTATGTACCAAAAGTGAAAAAAAAAAAAACAATTATCTTCTGCAGTACTTACATTTAAACTAACAAATAAATAAAACAGTAAACAGCAGAGCGATTCTGTAAAAATCCGAACCCGATTTAGAATTCTCTCATGTCCTTCACTTCATTTTTGTATCACCATCTCAGGATAACAGGGACAGAGTGCAGTTTTTAGAAATTTTTCATTAAAAATATTTTTCAGTATAGCATTGTGAATGCAAAATTTATAAAACATAATAACAAGATTGATTGATTCATACGTGTTTCAGATATTCTATTCTTATGTCATTTCGAAACTCACTTCACTCATGGCACGAAACTTTATTACCAATTCAAGGTTGAGTGGATGCCGCTTTTGAAGAGAATTCTGACATCTGAGTAAATTCGAATTCGGGTTCGGATTTTTACAGATTCTCAAAGCTGACCCTTGTTAAAAAAAAATTATAATTTGATTAATTTGACGTGAGACACAGATTACAAATATTGGAAAATTGTATTTATGTTTATCGATTTAATAATATAAATAATTGTTATTTAGCAAAAATATTCGGCGAATAATCTTTAAAATGTATGAACTTTTTAACCACATGCAATTTAATATTTTATCTAATTGCTGTCCGATCCCCTATTGTACACGTGATATTCCTAATTGCATATAAAAAGACACATTTTATTATTTCGTTGATACATTAAAACTAAAACTATCAGTGAAAATGAGTAGATATTGTATCATGTTACAAACAAGCTTTGGATACAATTATTTGTTTATGTACTAAACTAATATTTTGTAAATGAGAATAGATGAAGATTGTGCATAACACTCTGTTGGTGTCCCTAAATAAATAAAATTTTATGTTTGTAATGTTTTTTGTTTATCGTCGTTATGTGTTGTACAATAAGTGTTTTGTGTTATTTTTCAATGCAGTTGCTCATAAAGCGTTATTTTTTTTATCCATTGTACACACCGAAAGTGAGTCTTTAAACACGTGTTAAATAAAAATGTACTGAAATCCTTTACTGCACATGTGCTTAAAAGTATTTTTTTTTTTTGGCCGAGCACCAACGATGGATATGTCAAACTTTAGAGGCAAAAGTATTTCAATGAGCCTAGAACGAATATTTTCAAATAAAAATGTATGACACGAAAACATATTCAAATATCACGTTTAATTTTAACAAATAATTTTTACCTTTAATACATACTTAGTTTTATTAACCTATATATTTGTTTTATTTCCTCGCAAAAAGCATTGAAAAATGATGTAAGAAACTTGAGCGTAAAAGGTTTTTCGAATTCGTAAAACCTTACTTTCCGCACTCGTATCTTAAATAACTATTATACCTTTCCGTCCCAGCCCAGCGGCAAGTTCTTCGGATTGTATGGCACTTCGTCGTCATCGGAGTCGATATCTGGCGCGGCCGAGGCGTCGCTCTCGTCGCCGCTGTCGTCGCGGCGTTCGCCGGCCGCGCGCGCCGCCCGACGGGTCACGTTCTCAATTGTAGACGCCCTAGTACTACTTACCGCGCCCGCGAATCTAAATAAATAATATAGAATAGAATTCATTTATTTTGACAAAACACATCACGTACACAATATACAACTTGAAAAAATAAATGATATAAAATACTATAAAAATAAAATAATAAAGAAAAACATGAGAAAAGAATGGAAAAAAAATACAATGCAATAGTCTGTGCCATGGTGTGCATTGCCTCAGCTCAGTACAAGCAGTAAGCAGAGCTTACTGCACTGATATTCTGATGCGGCCAGCCGTATATAGTGTTTTGACACTATTATATTTCAAAAATTTGCAATAAACTTTATTTCTTAGAATCTGCAGACTAATACTAGCTTTAGTAAAATAACGTAAAGAAAATGCAACATTTGTAGGTTCTGTTCAACCAATAACAGGTTCTGTTTACTGGCGTGTGACATCACAGGTATACTGGAAGTCATGTCAAAACAGTGTTATTAGAGATACGTAAAATTCGTGTTTTTACATACAATTATAGCTCATTTTTACAAACAAAACCAGATAAAATTTGTAACAAAACATTAAATTTAACTTCAAAATAGTTGATAAATAGGTTGTGTCGCCTTGATATATTTACAGGCGTGTGACGTCACAAATACCACATGATCAGCGCCATTACATAGAGAATCGTATTTTGCGCTATTTTGGCTAAATTATTTTCATCGAAAATAGGACAGATTCCCATGAAAGTAACGTCCCGGTTTTTACAAGTTTCTCTGAAATCTAATTATCGATAAGGTTGACTTTTCTACTGGAGTTTAGATGCACAATTATGAAGTATTCACCCAATTACACAAAGTTCCATTAAAATTGTCATTAATTTAAGCTGACATTACCATTTTTTTTTTTAATTTAGAACATTTATTAGAGCTTAGAGTCTCTATTAATCTTTTATGAAATTTTGTGCTACTGGATGATTGTCTGTTAACCGAGATGTCTAATATTTAAAATAATGTTCACTATCATAATATTATAGGAAGGATAAAATTGATATTGTTGAATGCACTGAATATGTATAATATTGAAACTTTGAATTTTAAAAGCATAGGATATAGTTATAATTTTAAGCGTTAGTATACCTGTAAACTTGAGCTTCAATAGCGGCTATGTCTTTATGCCTTTGCTGAGTAGAAGCCTTCGCTTTGTTGCCTTTTTTGGCAACCAACGATTTGTCAAGAGCGGTTTGCCCCTTAGTACTGAATAGTCTGTAAATTATAAAAAATTATTCGCTTTTAAAATTTTCAAAATATTATAATTTGTTATTCCATAATCCATATCCACCAAATTGAAATAACCCATTTTATTACCCAAGGCGAAAGGAAAAAGGTCACTGTTATGCTTTTTTTAATAATGCTATATGTTTTCAATGAGAATAGTTCAATAGAATTTGTCACTGGCCCGCTATGAAATCCTATGTGCCCAACTGTAAAAAAAAGGTTGATCCGCCTTATTCTATATTTTACCTTTGCGCCCTTTCTTCTAAGGTTCCTCCACATTTAAGACCAAGAGCCATTAAGGCTGACTTCAATCTATCTAAGCCAAGTGAAGCCAGCTCCTCCCAAGAAGAGAATGCCGAAAGATCCAAATGGGCACCCACATTTGTTAAAGCGCCCCCAGTTTCTTTCTGGAAAGTAATTGAACAATTAATTTTGTTACTATACTTGGTGCTTTACAATTCTTTCAAAAAAAAAACTAATAATTAATAAACAGCACACTACTAGTTGCTTCAGTTTGGTGACATTAAAATGACTAAAATACAAAATTCACCTGTACCTAAAACCTCATTTAGATTTGTATTGTATTGTAAATTAACCGGAACAAACTAACAAACATACAGATACATACATACATATGCATTTAGTAAAAAACAGTTACTTTAACATTACAAACAGCCACTCCAATTTAATTTATTTGTATAGATATAGATATGTTCAAATAAAATGCATTAGTTAGGTGTACTTGCAGTAGTCAGGTGTATTTAATAATCTTACAAAGCGATTGATAACTTTTGAAAATGGAATAACAACCATACCGGCCACCCTGGGAAAGAGCCAGCTTCCCATTGTTTTAGGAATTCTTGATGCGCTAGTGCCATCTCTTGGACTTGGTCCAACAGCGGTTTCACTCTGCTCACAAAATCCTTCAAATATGTAAGTAAAGCTCTGATGTACTTTCTATATTCACTGTTTTTACGCTCACGAGGTATATCAAAGAGGTGATCAAAAATACTCAAATACGTGATATAGTCCACTTTCTGAAAATACAATACAATTTGTAAAAAAAAACAGTCTAAGACCAGTTGTAGAACACTGAACATGATAAATTAACTACCTCAATGCCTTTCAAGTTGATATACTTTTCATAACATTCATGTAAGTCAAGATATTTTCCATAGCCTTCTTCATCTGTGAATTCGACAGGGGCTGTAAAAAGATTAAAATCAAGTTTTATTATTTGTAATTTCAACAAATATGTTGAAATTCTATTAACATACCTACATAGATGTCAGACAGTGAAATTACATTTAATAACTTTATTGATTTAATAAGTTTTAAAATACAACATAATTTATCAGGAAATAACTAATAAAGTAATAGGTGCATAGATGTAAGATAGATGTATGGGGGTACTTCTCAGATAAGTGTGGCTTTTTAATTTAGAAAAAGAACATATTTTGGGTATCTTGATAAAAAGTTAATAAAATATTGTAAAATACTTACTAGTGAAATCTTCGGCAGGGTTTTCTCGAAGTTTTGCCAATTCTTCAAACTCCACTGACATTGGAACACATATCTGGAACAAGTATATTTAAAAGACATAGATAAAATCCAATAAGAAAATTATGGGGAATATTAAAATAAATCAAAATATCTTAAATCAAATGGATTTGCTATTTCTATACACAGAACAGTTATTCTACTACCTAAATTGACATATTAGGTTAGAAATAGGCTTTATAAAAATTCAAAGGTACTAATACTAAGGATTGGGAAATGGGTTTGAATTATTTGTTATAATACCATTAATCTCATATTAGATTGGTGTTCCTAGTAAAGAATACAAGGACAAAAATAAAATTCAGGCTTCCTATCTTAGTGGTACACGGCGGAAATTATTTATGAAATAAAATTTAAGGATACTGATAACAATTTATATGCTAAGGGAAGGAAAGGACTAAAATAATATATGAAACGTGAGAATTTATCAAACAAGCAATGTGCGGTAGTTTGCTTGATATTTTCACTCTGTTTAAAGTAGTGCACGGGACATTAACAATTAGCATAGTGGAGGCCAGAACTGATTTTTCAGAGACATTTCAACGACATGGTGCAGGCTCTCAGCCAACTCTAACTAAAAACTTCACTGGTCCTGATGGAATTCCTTCTTACATATTCAAGGATTGTAGATCTTTGGAAGCCCTTTTACTCTATATCTACAATCTTTGTTTGAAACTTATAACATTTCCCTTGCGATAAAAAATAAATATGGTGATACCGGTTCCTAAAGGGTCACCGCAATAAAAAGTTGACAGTTACTATTGTGGGGAAATGCTGCAGAAATCTCAACAAAATCATTTAAATGTCGCTCTAAATGATTCTTGTCACTTTTGTTAAATTGTTTATATATTGATATAAACTGCATTATATATTTTTAATGAGTTGATTATTATATTACATTTTTATATATTATGTGTGAATATTTATTACTTTTAATTGAATGATGAAATGATATATTAATGTTAATTTGTGTTTTGTTTAAAATATGTAGTGTTGTTACTTATTTAAATTATTAATTTTGCTTTCAATTTGACAGTGCATTGAGCTACACCTGTAATAATAGTTATAAGTTACAAAACTAAATAAAATAAAACAAAAATGAACTTTATATAGCTTGAGTTTTAATCTGCATTAATCATACTAAGTAGTGTATTTTCTTATTTGATATATAAATATTAACAAAACCATAAAAGCAGATCTATCAGCTATATTCAGTTATAACTGTTAATATATTTTATTAATATATAATAGATATTTACTATTTTTTATGTTCAATTAATATGGGGCAATGTATATTTTATTTTTGTGAAACCAATAACTGGTGTGCAAATTAGAAATTGGTTAGTTTACCTCATTAGGATGTTTTCTGTGAAATTCCTTGATCTGTTTAAGTCTAGCATAAAACTCTTGGAATTCATTTGGTCCTGATAATGCTGCAATCTCTTCTTTGCGCAAGCCGTCTTTATCTTCATACAATTCTTTAAGCCTGATTGTAGATTCTATATATCTCTGGAATTTATTTATCAATCACAGCACATATACTAAGCACAATAACACCTCAAGAAAGCTGATTATAACTCATTTTTTGACAAATCAGGAATAAGAATATAAAAAGTTTTACTTACTTCATGAAGATTTTTCAAACGATGATCACCATTGATTGTTTCTCGATGCTAAAACAAACGGTTATCCTTAAAGCAACACTCAATAAATGCAAACATGATAATAGTAATTTACAAAATGTGAAATATTTCAAAACAAACATCAAAAATAAAATGGAAACAAAATATGTGTGTTACACTTACACCAGTCTTTTTATGCAATATTTCTTTGACCATAGCGTCCATGGTTCTCTCTCTTTCCTCATGGTAACTTCTTTGCTGTTCTAAAATGGTCTCCATTATTCACTTTCAGACAAGACCATATAAATATTGATTTCTATTTTCTAAATAATACTCGTATATACCTTAAACTTTATGACTCTAAGTTTATTATCATTTAGTCCATGTTTAATGGCCAAAGCAGCAGTAAAATCAAAAACGAAATAAGGCATACACAGGATATATAACGAAATGTCGTTGTGACAACGACATTTCCACAAATCCAATCAAAGAATAAAGTCACCTTTGAAAGTCACTGTTGTTGTTCTACGAAGGAGAATGATATTTTTTTTTTTACTATATTCCGAAAAAATCTATCCACTAGAAAATTATCATAGCACCTAGACCCAACCCTCTAGCTTTCATCAAAGTTTCAGGCCTGAAAGTTCCCCCGTTTTAAAGAATTTTGTTAAAAGAATTGGTATGGTTTTCGAGAAACACTTGTATACACAGCCATTACACTCAATTTAAAAAAGAAAATACTTCAAATTAAAACAAAAGCAAATGGATCTTTATCTACAGCCTAATCTTCGGTAGGATACTATGAGATAATTACGAAAGCGGGGAGAATCCGATAATGAAATTAAATAAAAAAACAATATAAAAGCCTGTTTAATAGTCAACTTTGCCGGAACAAAATTCCTGATTTGTTATAACTTAGCGTCCCTAGTGGACGAATCATATATCAATATCGTGAAACCCAATTAATAATTTGTTAATTATGTATTTATTCTAATAAGCTACGATCCGAATAGACTCAATCCGGGCCTATTCTGCGTCGATGAGCATTTATTCGTTTAAAACATCTCTGTATTTGACATTTAGATGTCTAAAATATCAATAATTAATAGCAAATAAAAAATGATTTCTTAAGTGTTGCTACATAAATTATAAAATATCCACCAAATTAAAATAAAAAGATCATGTGTAAGGTTTATTTACCCTCTATCGATTAATATAAACTTTATGCTTGGTTAGAGATAATTCGAATAAAGTACCAACCTCCATACAAAAAAAAACTCCTTTTATTTGAAAAATCTTTACAATGAAGGTGTATTTAAAAAAAAACTACAAAACATAGGTCACTTGATGGCAGCACTAATTATAAGGATATTTATTTTTCTTAAGTATCCGCTAGATGTCGCAATTTTTTTGTCAAAATACCAGAACTACAGCTGTGCAAGGAGTCAAGGACTGCACTGAGAACGCACTGCAGGTGTAATGGATAGGCTATAAACATGAAATTGGAAATACTCAATTAAAATATATATATATACATATATATGTTGAAAAAAAATATTTTACAATTTATAATGACATGTCAGCTGGCACAGGTTTAAACTAATAAACATTAATAGCCATTCTCTCCTATAATTTTGAAGGTAATTCTTTTTTTGAACGGAGCTTCCATGTCTATTGTTTGTGATTACTCGACTCAACAAAAACATTGATAACGCCACAGGATAACGCAAATAGACGTCAAAACTGCAAACATAAAAATAAGAATTATTATCGAACTTATTTATAAAGTATATATAAAGTATAAACTCATTTATACCTTGTATAAAGGTGACGAACTATGGACGAAAAATTTGAAGAAGTCGCCAATACTTTATATCAATAATACTTTAATTTCGAATTTATCGATAGTCTAGCGACAAAATACTAAAGAATGAGGAAGTAATTTAAAACGAAAGCAATAAAAAAGCACCTCCACTAGATGGAGACTCTAGCAAAAGTTGATTTTTACACGAAACGTACAAGACCAAAGGCAGTCATTTCCGTTCCTTACTCAGTCAAGGAACGGAAATGACTGCCTATTAAAAAACTGAAATTTGAAAAGTTCGAAACTTAGATATCAATACAAACACCATAAAGTACAAATACAATATAAGTTGTTTATTGAGTTTTGAAAACTACTTTTTTTTAAACATGAAAGAAAACCGGAAGGGTTGTCATGGAGAAATCAAGAACGTACCGTAGCGACATCTAGTATGATTTCGGGAACTAATGTTTTTTTTTTTATACTTCCTCATTCTTAATGTGACTTGCTGGTTTTCCCTTTCGATTTCCTACAGTGGATCTCTATAGAGAGTGGGAAGTGCTTACAGTCAGATAAACCTATGTCTTGCATACTGTTCTAAGGAAACAGATTACAATCCACAGTTATTCAAGGATAAACGCAGGAAAAGTGCTGTTTGTTTCAAAATATTTCACAGAACAACAACCTCGCATAAATTTTGTGGTTCCTTAGGTAGTTACTTTTATAACAAATTAAATTCGATTTTAAATATTTATCTAGTTACTATAGCCCTTTGTAAAGAAACTGTTACAGTTAAACTTTGAGAATTAGATTATCAATAGACCGAAGCTCTTCTTATACCCCTCAATACGCACACACGCTGACACACGCGAACGTGCACAAATACATACACACAAAGCAAATTGTGAACTCTATATTCAAACTTTTCTTGTATTTCCTTTTTTAATAATCTTTTTATTAGCATTGCTTACTTATGCGGGGAAGCCCTGGTGACCCGTGTAACCGGTTTCTTTAGGAAACCTATAGCAGGCACCAGTTATTCACACTTGTGTGAATGTATAGTCCTAACCTTAGTATATAAAAAATTCCACTTTACAACTTTTGGTGAAAAGAAATAAATTATATTATTATTATTAATTTTCATTTTTTTGTGCTATTATTACTTTCAATTCTCAATTCAGGTGTATGTGAAACCGGATTAAAGTGATATAAAATGTATGCACCAAAGCTCCAAAGTATAACATCGAAGCCAGTGATGTGATGATCGATGTAAAATAAATAAATTACTTTAGTTACGCCATATAATCTTCTCAAAGTAAAAGGTCCCTTTTGACACGTTTCATTGGACCGTAAATAAAGACGTAATAAACCAATCCGAAACACGAATGTCAAATTAAACTGGATTGCGTACTGATATATTTCTTAAAACCAAACTTACACTTTATGCATTATGAAATATGGCTTATTTTTCTATGTCACATTTCAGAGTAGAAAAACGGTCTACTAGAGATATTAGATTTGTAGCAGTAGGTCCTTGTCTAACCAGTTGCCAGTGGAAAATTAAATAATCATTATTGGCATTTAGGAGATTTTATTGATTTTTTAAAGACATCACTAGGTAATTATAATTATTTTCTAATAGTAAATATATTGAATAGACTTAGTGGATATGTTTTTTAAGTAAAAGTGTGAATTAATTAAAATTATAACGTAAACCGATGTCGTGATAGTAGTTTTTCGCTACATCTAAGTGGCAATATTTTAAATTAATATGGCCGCTCGATGTGACAAAATAAACAATGTTAAAGTTTGATGTTTATTTGTGTTTTGACTAACTAATTCGATTATTTACATCAAAATGGTGTATTGTTTTGCTTGGCTGATTGCAAAAATGAATAGTATCACGGTTGTGACTTCACATTTCACAGGTAAGCTGTTTTCCTTATTTATTAAACAGTGATGAAATAGGGTGTCTACGAACAACAAAACAAAACCATATCAAAGGCGCTTTGATTTAAATTAATATTCATACGTTTATATTATAAACATTTATTAGTTTTACTTACGCTACCCGCCACTCTTCGTTTTAATCTCTGCAAAATTTACTTGCTTTAACATTACAATAAAAATGTTTATTAATAAGTTATGCACTGCGAAATTAATATCATAAATTCTGAAGAAGCTTGAATATTTTCACGGTAGGTACAAAGTTATTTGGAAAATGAAAAACAAGAACTAGCTTATTTATGTTTTGGAAAATATCTGAATGGCCTACACATTAGTTTGAATAAATATTTATAAAGTAATAATTTTATTATGTTGACCATGACAAAATTGCTCTTATGTTTCTAGGATCCCAAAGGATAAGATCTAGCTGTAAAATGGAGGACAATAATACCGGGCAAAGTGACAAAATGATCCGTTGTATTTTAATACAATTAATAGGAAAAAAAAAACATTTTTATCCTTTTAATTGATTTATACATTAAAGATGATTATGATACAATTAAGTACTTGTTTTATTTCCTACAAATAAATGTCTTTACCGATAAATAAAAACTAATTTATCGGTTAAATTTCTAATATCATCATTCATAATATCTGTAAAAAATTATAAAGTTCTATGTAAATGTTTAAATAAGGTCATGTAACATTATTAAATATTATCTATTTATGAAATTATTAAAAACGCGTGGACATCCTACAAAACTACTAAGACAGAGATGAAGAGTTACTAATTTACTCTCTCACTCTGCCCGTTTTGTAATGAAACACTGCACAATCCAGTTTAATTTGACATTCGTGATCCGAAATCATATTAACATGATTTCCGTTAGTGTTTTTGTATTCATGTGAAAGTCACATATCTACCATGCCAGTACAAGAAAAAAAAACTCTGTTCTTAAACGTCATCATCAGCACTGTCAAACTTAAGACGACGTTAGTTGTCATTTTTATCACTTTAAATGCGCTCGTATCATTAAGTAATTTATCTTTGCTGTAGTTTCGTGACCAGTGTAGATATTACAGATTTAAAAACATGATATGTTCAACATGGATCAACAGATTCTATTCGTTTGTGTTAGTCATAAGTTCTACTGTTATTTTTGTTCAATCGGACGTTCCTAGACCTCGCGGTGTATCTTTATCTAAAGCATCGCTTTATTCGCCGACAAAAGATTTTACTTGCTTCGATGGTACTGTTACTATTCCATTTAGTTATGTAAATGATGATTATTGTGACTGTTTCGACGGCAGCGATGAACCTGGCACTTCGGCGTGTCTAAACGGAGTGTTCCATTGTACCAACGCCGGGCACCGAGCTCAGAATATTCCTAGCTCCCGAGTCAATGATGGTATTTGTGATTGCTGTGATGGCACTGACGAATACGCAACTCCTAACATATGCTCTAACACATGTGAAGAACTCGGCCGAGAAGCAAGAGCAGAGGCTCAAAGATTAGCCGAAGTACATAGAGCAGGAAGTCATGTGAGATTAGAATTAATTGAAAAAGGTAATAAGAGGCGTAATGAAATGGCAGAACAGCTCTCACAACTTGAAAATGATAGAGCAGAAGCTGAAAAAATAAAGGCTGAAAAAGAAGTTCTAAAAAATGAATTAGAATCTAAAGAAAATGAAGCTCTCAAAGTTTATAGAGAAGCAGAAGAGCAAGAAAGACAGAAAAAGGCTGAACAGGAAAAACAAGTTTTAGTTGTAGAGGCAACTGAACATTTTGTTAGATTTGATGCAAATAATGATGGTTTACTTACAATTGATGAAATTAAAGTAGTCAATGTATTTGACAAAGATAAGGATGGTCAAGTTGATGAAGAAGAAACAAAGTATTTCTTTGGAGAAAATGAAATGGTTGATAAAGATTCTTTCATTGCCACAACATGGCCTTTACTAAAGCCATTGTTGATGATGGAACAGGGTATGTTCCGTCCTGCTCAAGAGGATGAAGGAGAAGATCGAGATGTAGAAACTGCTGATACTAGAGAAGATCTCGACACAGATGATCTAGGAATGGAAGATGAGAATCTTGATGTGGATCTCCAACAAGAACAAGACGGTCATGAAGAACAAGAATTAGATCTAGAACAATCAAAAACATATGATGATGAAACTCAGAAATTAGTAAATGAGGCATCTGAGGCCCGTCAGCAGCTGACAGATGCAGAACGCACAGTGAGAGAAATAGAGGCTAATATAAGGAATATAAAAGAAAATTTGGAGAAAGATTATGGATTATTACAAGAATGGGCTACTTTAGATGGCCAATGCTTGGAGTATGAAGACAAAGAGTACATTTACAAACTCTGTCTATTCCAGAAGGTGACTCAAAAATCTAAGAATGGTGGTTCCGAAGTGGGCCTTGGTAATTGGGGAGAATGGGCAGGCACTGATAACAAATACTCCGTAATGAAATATACTAATGGCATGGGTTGTTGGAATGGGCCTAATAGAATGACCACAGTGAATATAAGTTGTGGCTTAGAAACAAAATTATTATCTGTCTCAGAACCATTCCGTTGTGAGTATAAGATTGAACTTGAAACACCAGCTGCATGTGATGATTCTAATTCAACACAACAACAACAATCACATGATGAACTGTAAATTTATGTTGTATCACAATTATGTGATGAGTTAATGTTTAAGCTACATTATATCAAAATCAAAATGTAAAGTTTTTACACTCATCATTTAGAGTAAATGTTGTTGTAGGTGAGCATTTTTGTACTATACTATTTTTCAAGTCAGAAATAATTCCACATAATAAAATAAGTAGATAATGTGTTAAAAAAGAAGTTAATTAATAAATTTTATTTAAGATCAGCATTCCTTGTTTAGGCAGTTTATTTCTAATATTTATTGTTTTACACAGCAAATAAACTTTTATTGTAATATTCACCAGTTTTTAATGTGAATATTGAAGTGGAATAGATTGTATATGTTTATCTTACACATTCCTCCTAACTGCAATGCTAGAAATTAGTGAACTGCAACTAGAAATATTAATTTAATTGAACAAAACATTGTGAGTTATGAAAATAAAAGTTTTTGATTTCATATAATTCTTTATTATTTCCTCAATGTTGTGTGTATTTGTGTGCGAGTGCAATCGTTCAGTTACCTACTAAAATTCTTTTATTTAACACTTGTTAATGTTATACCTATTGGGTGTATTTATTTTAAAATAATTAATTAAATCACAGGATGATGAAGTACTAAAATAAAATATCTACAAAAGTATATCTCTGTATCAAATCGCTATAATATAGCTTAATGCCTATAATAAATAAGATGTGGCTGAATGAGATAAAGTCCCTTTGCTAAGAAAAAAAATACCTATTCCTAAAAAGTAGTTGTCAATGTCAAACAAACGTTTTAATTTCGCTTTTGTTTTTGCGAATGTAATTTTTATAATAATTGGCTTCTAAGTCTTCTCTTAATTTAATATACTCATCCAATCTGGTTTCAAACTAATATGGAAGTGCAGCGTATACTGTTGAATTCAAATTTTTCAATGTTGCATGGAAAAATAGATGTTCGTCTGTTAGAATCAATTAAGGCAATGAATTTAGATAAACCAACACAAATCCAAGCTGAAACTTTGCCTTATTTGTTAATGGGAAAAGATATTATAGGGTCTGCAAAAACTGGCAGTGGGAAAACACTTGCATTCCTTATACCAGTCATAGAAAATCTTTTAAAACTTGGTTTCACCAGAAAGCATGGTAACCATAAACATCTACAGTGTTATTAATAAACAAAGTTTAGCATTGAAGTAAATTTACCCTGGGACTGCACTTAGTAGTTACCAAAATTCATATTATTACACCAAGACTTGGTAAAAGTTAACCTAGTAAGAGGTTCTACAGGAGTAATATTTACTCTTACAAGGTAGTATGTTTGCTTATTATCTGTATAACATGAATTTGGACTAATACTAAAATTACAATTTTAGTGTAAATTTATTCTGAGGCTAAACCTTGTTTTTTAATAGCACTGCTACAGTTTAATGTGCCTACATTATTTATTGTCTGTTGAGAGTGATGTTGAATATTAGTAACCTACACATGCAACTTTGGATGGACTGTTTTATTATATAAACATTATAAATGCTTATTAATTTTTCAAATTTATAAAAAAAACTAAGTAAAGATTTATAGACAAATATGCTACTTTTTAGGTACAGGATGTATAATTTTATCACCAACCAGAGAGTTAGCACTACAAACTTTCCAAGTTTTAAAGAGACTCCTTTCTCATATTGATTTATCATGTTCCCTTATTGTTGGTGGAGAAAAAAAAGCAAAGGATCTAATATTGTTAAAAAAAGGTAAACTAGCGTGTTAGCATGTTATCTAATTAATTTGAATGCCCATAAAAATAATAAAGTGTCTTTATTTTATTGACTCCAGGATGCATGGTCATGATCAGACTAAACTATAGTTTGATGCTATAAACTATTAATTTTATTAGTATCGTAGAAGTTAAATTTTTATTGATTTGTTTTCCAGGTATCAATATAATAGTGAGTACTCCAGGTCGATTATTGGATCACCTACAAAATACTGAAAATTTTACATGCAATAATCTTAAGTGCCTTGTTCTTGATGAAGCTGACAAATTACTTGAAACTGGCTTCGAAAAATATATAACTCAAATACTAAGTTTCTTACCAAGTAAGTTTTTTAATATCAAATGTTTAGACTGTCAGTATATTTATGTCTGTTCAGGTTTAACAATGCTAATGCTATGTTATAATGTGTGATTTTAGAAAAACGGCAGACTGTATTATTTAGTGCAACTATTGATAAAAAAGTAAACAATCTAGCAAAGATGGCATTGAGTGAACCCGTAATGATCTCTATTACAGATGATAAACAGTCTACAGTTACTTCTCTTCAGCAAGGGTAACTAAAATAACTGAGTCTTGTGCATGAATAGTTTAAAAAAATATCTGATTTTTATATAATACTACTAGATTTTTATCTGAATTGTGTAAGAGGTACACAAAGGTTAGAATTCAACATGAGCATTATTAAAATTTTATAGTAGATAGTTTTAGTTCTTGAATATTTTGATATCATTGTAAGGAGTTTATTTATATGCATTTTTTTCCCTTCTATACAGCTGATTCACATATCCTGTAAATATGACACTGGTTCTCATGGCATGACAAAATAAATTAAAATGTCTTCTCACATCCATGATAAAATACATTAATATTGTATTGCTGTTAAATTAAAATTCACTTACCTTGAATATTTATAAAGCATTCATTTGTTGCTGAAAACTTAATATAAACAGCTAAGTAGATAAGATAATATTTTAGGTATTCAATAAGGGTAATCTTTCATTACATAAATCGTTAATTATTTTATACGTAAATATAAACAGCTATTTCTCAATCATATTATCTGTAAATGTTTTCATAATTACACTATCTACAAGGTAATTATGTTAAGCTTTTACTTCTTTAAGTTTTGTGTTTCAATAATATCAATTACTGTTTGTAGATACTGCATATCTCCTGTGGAGAAACGGATAACATGGCTGTATAAAATGCTAAAGAAAATTAAAAAGATGAAAACAATGGTGTTTTTTTCATCTTGCAAATCTGTTGATTTTCACTATGACTTTTTTAGGATTCATTGTAAGGCCTCTGTATTGAGTATACATGTAAGTATAAAATGGAGATAATAATTATGTTGCTTTGCTGAGTCAGTAACGCCGACTCAATGCTAATGCAATGCTAGGCAAAACACTGTTACAACGCCCATAAAAAATCACAACAAAAAAAGATTAATGTAGTGACAGCATGTCAGTTTATACGAAACTATAAAATTTCTCCACTTCATTATAAACCTTAATGCATTGTATGTAGAGTTCTAAATCAATTGAGAAAATTGACATATAATAGTTGGCTGACGTGCATTGTGTGAACCCCAATTAAAGTGCATAATTTAGTCAACCAAAAAAGAAAATGCATAGCTTAATGCTAGTCTGAGAATTTGGTACTATTGAACACAGCGGAAATAAAAAAAAATACTTTTGTTCTTTGAACATGAGTTAAATGTTTAAAGTACAATAGTAATTTTTATAAAGTACTGCATTTTTTAAAGGTTCTAATAATTAGAGCAAACATAATCTATTTTTCATACCATGCCACCCCCAAATATAAGCGCCCTAGGCCATTGCCTAGTTTGTCTTTATGGACGGGCCAAGCCTGTTTGTTAGTATGGAAAATAATTGAAGTTGAGCCCTGTAAACAAAGTTCAACATTCAGTAAATCATTAAAATTATCTTACACAATTTTTTTCCACGCTTTTCCTGTTATTCTGATTGGTCTCACAGACTATAAATATTGAAAAAAAAAAATTATATCTTGATTTCAAATTAGAATTCATTATTCTTTATCTTTTAAATTTTATTAACGTTTTTACCAAACACGATTTATTTTTTATCTAATAATTGCCCTGTATGGTGATTATGTGCCTGATACACAGTCAACGACATTACACCAGGTTTTACAAATCTATCAATTTTCTCCACTCGATTTTAAGTCTCATTGCAGTGAAGGTCGAATTGAAAATCCATAATTTGATGTATTGTGGTAATCTGACGTACTGCTGTGTGTAAAATGATAAAATTAATCCAATTGTCTAGGGGACAATATTCAAAATTTCATAGAACCAAAAATGGTTAACAAACCACGCATCTACCTCAGACACCTGGAATGAAATGCACTTCACACTCCACGCGGTGGCGACTTAATAGAAAAATGTCTAAGGATAATCAATATTGTTACGTAGGAATTTTCCTACGTAACAATGAAGAGTCTACATTTGCAAATAATGTATATGGAAACACATTTTCACATCATCAAAAATCCTGCTTTCAAATTCAATCCATATCGGCACGCGTATCTTGAAGGAGTCGAATGCGGCTCGTTTTGTGAATATCCAAATGTCAGTTTTCTCGTATACACCGATAAAATATCTCACTCTCGACTCGACAAAGATATTGGTACCTACACAAAACGTGTCTCGAGTTTATCATGCTATGTGTGCTGCTACATTTACATATTACTTAAGATGTGATTAAATTGTTCATTAGTTCATAGATTTAACTATTTTCATTAGGGTAGACAAAGTCAGTCAAGAAGAAAAGAAACATATAATCACTTTGTTGAAGCTGAAAGTGGAGTCTTATTTTGTACAGACGTTGCAGCGAGAGGTTTGGATATACCCAGTGTGGACTGGATTATTCAATATGATCCTCCCACAGATCCAAAAGTAGGTAGTTATAATAATCTTATCCATCTCCTGTAGCAAAGGAAATACCTAAATTTATTTATTTTTAGGAATATATACATAGAGTGGGTAGGACTGCAAGAGGATTAAATGCAAGGGGAAATGCTGTTATACTTTTGAGACCTGAAGAAGAGCACTTTGTTGAATATCTCAAAAGAGAAAAAGTATATTTAGACAAATACAATTTTGGTGATCCGCCTGAACAAATACAAAATATGGTATGTATATGATATATTTTTCTACTAAGTATACATATAGTTGATATATAAGTAGGAAATAACCATGGAGTTCTAACTATCATATATAAGTATTGCTAATATATTATTAACAGACCGCTGTGATAAAGAAATGGTTATGTTAGATATAAAACTCGCACGCTATTATTAGACTTGAAATGCTTTTCAATACTATTTATTCTGATTTATTGATATATCGAGGATGAACAATGATATCTTGTACATTTTCATTTTTATGCAGGCTGTTTTAAATTTAATTTTTAAGAAATTTTATTTAAAATTCGTAGTAATAAAACTTAATTTACAAACAATGCTAATAAAAATACAAATTGGTATATTTCTTAAAAAGGGATGTTTTATCTTGTCAAATATAGATTTAATGAAATGAAACAAAACTCATTTTTATAATAGTACTCTTAATTTTTTAACCTCTTTTACAGTTAGAAGATTTGATATCAAATAACGGTGTTCTGAAGACATTGGCACGCAAAGCGTATTTGTCATATCTAAGATGTTACAAAAAGCATCCTATGAAGAAAATGTTCAACGTCAAATCGTTAGATTTGAAATTAGCAGCCAAGGCGTTTGGGTTTCTGGAGCAACCTCATGTTGATTTTTGTATCCTTTTTCTAAATGCTACTGTATAATACAAACCATACAATTATTTCATTACCGAGAGCATGTTAAATGTACCAAACCATTTAATGTAACAATATATTGTTCTTTTTTAATGTGGTATTCTACTCTGTTTGAAAATAACAACAATAAGTTGTATATTTTAATTAGTATCATCATTGGCCTATTAATCTCCCCACTGTCGGGACTCAGGCCTTCCCTATGGATGGCATCGAATTGAGAGACAGAGCAGAGCCATGACCCACCACGCGGGCTCAGTGCTCATCGGTGGGTGTTAACGAATGCAGATGTGCATTACGAAGCATGGAGGAGCTCAAGATATTAAACTTTATGCACTCCTCCTATGTGGACCGGCTTTTGCTATTATGCATAACATTACGCTAGATAATAAATAATCAATTACCTACTACATTCTAATTTGTATAAAATGATATTCCATAATTCATTAATCCACCAGTATCAAGCAAAACTGAATTATGATGGCGGGAAAATGTATGCATTCTGAAGATTTGAACAATAAGAAATAATTCAGTTGGACAATTCCTTAGTGTAATTGTGATTCTAGTTTGTAAATAAAACAATAAGTTAAAATATTATTATTTTGTATAATTATATACATCAAGAATAAAATAATTTTATCATCATAATTTTTTGGAGTCACGTTTTTGTTTATATAATTTCACCTTCTTGACTTTATTCTTATAACTGGTTGATGCATTTATAGAATTAGAATATCCGTTACCGTCACCTCTTCTTCTTTTCTTTGGGGGACCTTTGGGAGCTAATTTCCAGTCTAGTACTGGTGGCACGGCGAATCCGAAAGACTTTGCAACCGATGCAATGTCTAAAGAGTCAATTTTAAATATATTCTTGAGATGATGAGAGTCGTACGCTCGTAAGTAACTTATGAAGGCTTCTTTAGCTAGCTGCCTGAGGTAATAGTTTCTAGATAATATTGTTTCGAGCTGAAAAATTAAAAAGAAATACGATTTTACATATAATATTATAGAGAATGTGGAAGGGTTATCTGTTAGGCTTCACGAACTAGTGACTATCCTGTCGCCGTGCCTAAAAATCACGTGATAATTAGGCGAGTTTCATACAACTGTCATTTGTTCAACACAAACATCAACGTTGACAAAAAATCACCAGTGCAAGCGTAGCTTTAGTTAAAAGTTTATTATAATACAAGAATGAGACTTCTTAATTGGTTTTGTATTTTATGTCTTGAATTCTTGATACTATTGATATATTATTTTGATTGACAAAGAAACACCACAACAATAATTAAATCGCAATTATTGCGGTTAGTTTAAAAGTAACCAAACCAAGTTACTGTACTCTTAACAAGAATTGCAATTTGTTATTACATTTAAAATTTTATTCAGTCTAGGCTGTTACAAGCCATGGGTTCGTAAGTCTACGGCAAGAGACCTTGCACCAGTGACTAATCCTTATATATAAGTATATATACACTAACCAGTTGTGTTATATCAAATATTTTATGGGGATGGTAATCCATTTCATTGAGGACGACCTTGGCCTCTTTCAAATATCTCAAATATCCTAGTTCTTCAGAACGTAATAAAACCACCGCTTGCCCTCTTGTTCCGAGCCCTCGAGCCGTTCTACCAACTCTGTGTATGTATTCCTGAAAATTGAAAATATATACAATAATGCATTAGGTATTTCAATAGGTCGGTGAACAAGATTTGCCATATAAATCTAATGAAATAATTTAACTTCTCATCAAGGTTAAAGAAAAACCAACCTTAGGGTCATCGGGTGGATCATATTGAACTATCCAGTCTACTGCTGGAATGTCGAGACCTCTTGCAGCGACATCCGTACATAATAAAACCCCCGATTCAGCATTGCAGAATTGGAAGAACGTCGTGGTTCGCTTGGTCTGTTCCTGCTTACCCTAAAATGTAACAAGTGAAAATTCAGCAGGTTAAATTTCATAAAAATATTTCGATTACGTCAATACTATAAAGTAAGATAACTTCTAACTGTGGAAATCACATCAGAACATACAAATAATTAATATTTAAATGTGTTAATATCTAAATCACTGTAAGACTCGCCATAAAATGTAAAAAAAAAGAAATGAGCCCACAATCAGATACAAATATAGAGAATGAAAATAGTAAACATTCTCTGCCAATCTGAGTTACCTAAAAGCCATAACGTATTCGCTATGGCCTCGCGCAAAAGTCCAGCAGGCCAGGGGGCCAATTCTACAAAATAAATTTTGTGACAAGTGACATACGATACAATTCCAGTTCTCTTTTAGCTGGAATTGTATCGTATGTCAATTAGTAGAATAGAAAAACTATTAAAAACTGTAGTTTCGTTCGGTTTCGATCCGTTTTCGATTCGATTTAAACAAAACTTATTTAGTAGAATTGGCCCCCAGCTCTACTTATAATAGATTAATGCAATATCTTTCACACACATCCACAATCACACAATAGCGACACACACACACACACAATAGCGACATTACAACGGTAAAAATAATAGTTGAGATTCTATCAGATGCAAATATTATGTTAACTTTAGCCGAATTGTCCTGCAGCCTTAGAGCGACACATAACTAGATTTAAGTTGTCATAGGGACGTACCATCACGTGACGTCATAAAAAATTTCAACTCCATGTAACGCCGTAATTTTATGATTACGAAAAAAATACGTGTTTAATATTTTTTAACACTACCTGACGGACGAACAAACAAAAATTAGTCGTCATCCCTATAATATTTTTTTTATACAAAATTAAATATTTACTTACATGAATAGCCATGACAGGTAGATCTATGTAGTTGAAGAGTTTATAATGATATTCTACAGACATACAACTTGAGAAGAACACCATGGTTTTCTTATTTCTGCATCGTTTTAAGAATGAAAACAATACTATTATACGTTTTTCTGATGGGCACACGAGAAAACTGGAAAACAAATAATTGCAATTTTAGTTTTCATAACACAATTTTAAACAGTTGAAATAGAATATAAAAATTATAAAATTCTTTATCCTTATAAATATTAACAGTATAAAATTGATATATGTTACCATTGTTCATATTTCCCCTAAAATATACCCAATATCTTATCACAATATCGATCTGTAATATTTATTGCATTTAATTATAATAGAAAACCATTTAAAGAATCACTATACAAAAAACGTAGATGATCAAACATTTAATGATTGTCAACCCTATCAAATGTCAAAGAATCATGTCCACTTTCTATACATTGATTGACCGTCACATGTTTTTTATAAAGGTCTTGTCTACCTACCATAATAATATTTTGAGGTTATAACACCTGTCAAAACTCGAGATAATTGTGAAGCTACTTAAAAAATTAAATTGCATTTGTAATATGAAAATAAATCTAAATATAACTGTTAATGTGCACTTTTATACCATATGACCGAAAGAATATTTTTTGTATTAGATGAAACGGAACGTAACAAACCGTGATCGGGTCCGAATTGCATTTTAAGGTCCGAATCGCATTTGAGTAGTTATTATAGTACTATTTAAAAATATTTATAAGCCACGTAATTATTATGGTGACTTTATTTAGAGATTTAATTTCATGATATGAAATAAGTAAAAAGCACATTTGAGATATATCACATCTCTAGGAGCTTTAGTAAATTTTTATGTCAAAATTGGAGGCGCCTTGTTTACTATTTTAACCCAAGTGAGAAAAACAGACAGACATACCCTTGTTCTAATGTCTCTACTGTAGCTTTTTCTTTGTTGTCATCAATACCGACATAAATTGCATGACATTTGTCCATTGCTAATGCTGCAAATGCTTCTGTTTGTTTTGTCCATGTAGCAGTGAACAAAATATTTTGCCGATAACCTGTAAATAAAAAAACCTTTACACAACATACTCTTAGTCTTCTTTGTCCAAATTACCTGTGGCCTAATTGTGTAATCTCAAAATCTATCGCAACACCTTCCAAAGGTATACTGACAGTGATAGCGATTTATAGATTAAAAAAAATTGCTTGTAAAAAATCGCTTTCGAAACGAATGATGATTCGAACGATCAAGCAACATATCGCACACCTAGATCTAAACTAAGACAACTCAAAAAAGTAATGTGGAGGTCTGACAATACATTTATTTACGTGGCAGGAACGCGACCACTGTTGATTCGACAAAAGAAAGCTAAAGTTATCTAGCGGCTCATCCCCGAACCTTGATTGAATTTGTTATGTTGGATAGATGCGTATGATCACCGAGAATTTGAATATTGTACAAAGTCAAAACTCACTCAAATTTTTGAGTTGTCTCAGTTTAGATCTAGGTATGCGATATTACCCTCCAATCCGCATTGGGCCAGCGTGGAGGGTCATGGCCCATCCTCCTTAACCATCCATAAGGAAGGCCTGAGCCCCTGCAGTGGGGACGTAAAAGGGCTGATGATGATGATGATGCGATATTAAAAACTTTATTTAATTTATGTTTAACACTTTTAGACAATTTCAACTGGCGTCAAATTAAGGATATTGTTCATTCAGTAGCTTTCCTAAAAACAACTCGAACGCGTTCGCTATCATATGTGATAAAGTTGCAGCATGGAAGTTCGTGAATATCTTTCAACGTCAAATAGGGATGATGACTGGGTAAAAAAAATGCAATTCTATTTAGTTCGTCAGTCAGATAATAGAAAAATATTATATACGTATTTTTTTTTACTTCAATTTAACAAGAAATAGCTTAGATAACAGGCATTAAAGTTGAGGAGTGGGGACTCGCTACGTCACAGTTGAGTAGAAAATGAACTCTAACGTGACGTCATGCGAAATTTCAACTCGATGTAACGCCGTAAATTTTATGATTACGAAAAAAATTAAAAAATACGTTTTTAATATTTTTAACACTCTTCCTGACGGACAAACAAACAAAAATTAGTATTCAAAATTAGTATATTAGGACTTTGGTTCCAAAAGCACACTTACTGGGCAACAATTTGATGATTTGTTTGACTTCTTCTGCATAACCAATCTCAAGTATTCTGTCGGCCTCGTCGATAACCAAGCAAAAATTGTTTTTATACACAAAATCTGGCGTGTTCTGAAGATGATCTAATAGCCGTCCAGGTGTTGCAACCAATATGTTAATTCCTGAGGAAATTCAAATCACAAATATAGTTTTGCTTCATCCATAGGAAATAAACATATTTTAAATTATGTGAGAAACATACCAAAAAATAATTTTCGAGCCTCTTTACTTCTATTAGCACCACCCATTATCAGACCGTAAGTGTGACGATGATATTTCATCAATTCCATTAAAACACCAAAAGTTTGCATTGCCAATTCTCTTGTCGGAGTCAGAATAATAGCACCAGTACCTAATAAATATAGAAATACAATTATTATGATTAATAATAATAACATCGAGAACCTCGGTGGCGTATTATATAAGCGTTGTGTTGCGTTGGTGTAAAAAAAAAAAAAAAACTCGTGCTACTTCTTGCTTCGGAAAGCACGTGAAACTGTTATTCCCGGTGCACCTGCAGTCGTTATCACCCACCAATTCGCATTGGGTCAACGAAGAGGGCTATGGCCAATCCTTAACCATCCAAAGGCCTGAGCTCTCGCAGTGGGGACGTAAAACAGCTGATGATGGCGATGAATATAACATTGACGAATACACTTGACTGTTTTGGAAAAAATATTTTTAAATTTTCATATTATGATCATATTAAATCACTGTCAGATTTATTTCTCTCCTAGAAATTGTTCTTAAAGGAAAAAATAATTGATGGAACTTGTTCCGCGACAACAATAAATGATATGAAGTAAATGAAATGAAGTGATATTTCGAGACGTTGTGTCACATTTCAATAAAGATGGGTACTGATTGCACTCGCAAGACGTTTAGTTTATTGAAATGTTACGTCACACGACTCTGTTATGGCCGCCTGCGGTGCGGTATTATATAGTTATTGTTTAAATATATAATTTACAATTTCCAATATATTTCATAACTAGTGGCCGCCAGGGATTTCGTCCGCGTTTTCCATTATTTCTTCGCTCCTAATAGTTGAAGCGTGATGTTATATAGCCTAAAGCCTTCCTCGATAAATGGTCTATTCAACACAAAAAGAATTTTTCAATTCGAACCAGTAGTTCTTGAGATTAGCGCGTTCAAACAAACAAACTTTTCAGCTTTATAATATTAGTATAGATTTATAGTCGTAACTGTCAAGTAGCCAATTGTTATAAAACAATCAGATGTCCATTCTGGATTCGTAAAACTACTGTACATTGTCCTGAAGAGTAACTTTAGAAAAGGCACCGTACTGGGCAAGCTCTTGCCCAGTACGGTGCCTTTTCTAAAGTTACTCTTCGAGGAAGGCTTTAGGCTATATAACAGTAGAGGATTGAGAGCAAGTTATGATATAAAAAAACAAAATGTTCTAACAGAAATGAGATTACATTTACCTTTAGTTATAATTTCAATCATAAAATAAGCAATTTATATAATAGGGATGATGACTAATTTTTGTTTGTTTGTCCGTCAGGTAGATTATAAAAAAATATTAAACACGTATTTTTTTATATTTTTCGTAATCATAAAATTACGGCGTTACATTGAGTTCAAATTTCGCATGACGTCACGTTAGAGTACGTTTTCTACTCAACTGTGACGTAGCGAGCCCCCACTCCTCAACTTTAATGCCTGTTATCTAAGCCATTTCTTGTTAAATTGAAGTAAAAAAAAAACGTATCTAATATTTTTCTACTATCTGACTGATGGACTAAATAGAATTGCATTTTTTTTACCCAGTCATCATCCCTATTTGATTATTTTTCAGAAAATGAAATCAAAAACTTACCGTTCCATGGTTTGAATTCCAATTTATATATAAGTTCAACAACAGGTATAAGAAAAGCTAGTGTTTTTCCTGAACCTGTCTTAGCAGCACCAACTAAGTGACGTCCTAACAACAATGGTGGCATAGTTTTAGCTTGGATTTCTGTCATTGTAGTGAAACCCATTTCTTTGATACTCTTAAGAGTAGCTTCAGACAATCCTTCTAATGCAGAAAATTTCCGATCCACTGGAGTTGTTATGGATAGACTTGAATCTTGTACTATAAAGAATGTATGAATTAAATATAGCGTCAAACTGAATTTAAATAAGTGTACAAAATTTACGGTTAGTGATTCGAGTTGTTATATAATAAACAGGAAATTTAGTACCTAGTTAAAAGTTAGATTCGATAACTAAAATAATGATATACTAACATTGATTGTCAGAATTGGTATTATTTGTATCACCATTCTTTGTACTTTTTTCTTCACTTTTATCACTATCCTCATTCACAACTTCCATAAGTTCTACTTCTGTGTCAAACTTCTTTTTTTCTGTAATAAAATAAATACAAATTATATTTTTAAACTCACACGATTTGTATACATTATAATTATATGTAATCGGGTCTTGTTTCTAGTCTGAAGTCTGGTTGAAGCGGTTGAAATAAAAAACACAACAAATTTCCACCGGGAAAGTGGATATAAACTCTCACCAACTTGGAATCCGGTTAAAAAAATGTGTAAGTCAAATCGCCCGATCGCCCGATGACATGATACTTGAATCATTCTGATTAGCCGATAGTTATGTACCATCATGAAAGTATTTGAATTAGTTTTCAGTTTATCTCAAGCCAATTTGCTTTTGTGCAAACATAGTGTGTATTTCATTAGTTCATTTTGTTATTAGAAATAATTATAATTATCTCAATATCAGAGAAGAAAAAAAAAAAAAAAAAAAATACATTAATATTTGATGTGACTATTCATATTGAAAAATCATTCTTATTGATGGGGTTAAATAAAATACTCACTTTTCACTGCCTTTTCACTAGATTTGTTGTCTTCAACATGCCTATTTGATTCTAACTTATCCATATCTGAAATAATTGTGTATGAAATGTAATACTAACAATCTGTTTTAACATAATATTTAATAACATATTGTGTTATAAGTTTTAAATATAACAGCATGTTCTATATTGTGTAATGTATTATGTGTCCCTATATCCCTACATACATAGGGACAGAGAAAGTGACTTTCTTTTATACTATGTAATGATAACATAACGTATTTTGTTGTGCTAAGACATTTGTCTTTTTAAAATCAATATCATATCACTAATCATTTACTTGTAAATTCGAATTATTTATTTGACTTTGTAGTTATTTATACTAATATTATAAAGACGAAACATTTAACATTTGTTTTTTTTGAATAGACTCCGAAAATAAAAGACCGCTTTTAAAAATCTTTCACCACAGGGACATTATAGGACCACATTATAGGATGGTGGCATATGCTAAATTACAGGGCAAAGCCGCGGAAAAACAGTTAGCCATTAAATAAAAATGTTTCCAATTTCAATGTGAAAAATATTTTTAAAGCAGTTTTGAAATGGGTTAAAATTATATTTTTATTAAATTCTATTGTACAATTAACAGCGTATCAGGCAAAACAAAATATTCCAATTTCTCCACTTGATTTTAAATTTCATTCATTAAAAGTAGAGTTCAAAAACAAGTATTGAGGAAATTTACAATTTAAAACCTGACAGTTTTATAATACCTTGTCCAAAATGCTCTTAATTTTTAACATTTTTTCCCGCCAAAACGAAATATTTAAAAAGACATTATACTTAATCCATAATAACATATCGCACACCTAGATCTAAATTAAGCCAACTCATAAAACTAAGTGGAGGTCTGACAATACATTTATTTCCGTGGTAGGAGTGCGACCACTGTTGATTCAACAAAAGAAAGCTAAAGTTATCTAGCGGCTCATCCCCGAACCTTTATTGAATCTGTTATGTTGGATAGATGCGTATGATCACAGAGTATTTGAATATTGTACTAAGTTAAAACGCACTCAAATTTTTGAGTTGTCTCAGTTTAGATCTAGGTGTGCGATATATTAAAACCTTTTTAAAATCAGATGCATGCTCCCTATTAATTATTATATAATAAGCGTGGTCTTTAATAATCAAAAAATTTACCTTCAATATCCTGAAGTATCTGACGATGAATTTCCTTCTCCTTCTTTTTGATTTTTTTCATTAAGATTTGATCTGTTCCAAAGAAAGGACATATGTTTAAAGCGTGTTAAAAGATTTTAGGTTTTTGCCAAGGCAAATCTACTCTACTATCACATACGGTGTTTAAGAAAGCAAATTAAGCTGCAAGTGCTTTGTTCTACATGCATGTTCCTATTTATATGGTTTGAATGCCTCATCAATTGTGAAAGTTTGTAGTTGTATTAGTAGTAATTAATATTTTTTTTAGATTTAATTACTAAAATACTGATATACTAACATTGATTATCGGAATTGCTATTGCTGTTTGTGTCGTCATCCTTTAATTTTTTTTCTTCACTATTATCACTTTCCTTATCCCTAACTTCCAAAAGTTCAAGTTTCGTACCAACTTTCTTCTTTTTTTCTGTAACAAAACAAACAGTTACATTTTACTGTAATAATCATAAATTTAAATACACGGCCACGGTTTTAAGCAAAATGAATTGGTACAAACTTACACGATAATGTTTTAATATAAATAGCATTATAATATAATAATATTATACATCATATTGGTACATTGCTTAGGTTCCAAGATAAGTTGCTAAAACCTCTGTATTATGGAGTATCTGAAACAACAAAGGTCCCACAAGACCCAGACCTGAGACAAAATGCTAACCTGATTTTGTAAAAAATGCAAAATGTCTATTTACCCACTAATATTTCACCTATTATTACATAATTTAGACTCATACTTGCCGACATAACTCACAGGAACCGTTGTTTACTATGATTTTAGGTCTGAGCCTGCGGCTTGACCCTTTGAGATTACACTTCGTATTTGTGAATGATTAGCACGCATTCTAGGTCTTTTCACAGCCGTAGGTGCCCTAACAGCGAGGTTACCGCAGTAAAAACGCGGGCGGAACGTGTTCGGAGAGCGGAGTTGCGCGCGATCTTGTACGCTTTTTTTTGTAGAGTGATAATTTTAACTGTGAACCTGTTCGAGAGATCGCGAATTTGTATTTAGATCTCGACTTTGAGGTAAGTTATCTTTGAAATTTTAAGATGGTTACAACTTTGTCAGGATTTTGTCGTTATATTTCAGGTTAATTTAATATTTTATAGTATTGTTTATTAACTGTAGAAAATTATTGCCTACTAATGTATAACATTTATTACTTTGGACTCACCCATGCATGGTAGTCCAGTGATAAGTGTACTTACCACTTAACTATGATCACTTTATTGTGATTTATTTGTTCTGCGGCCCGTCGGCCCAGACAAATGACTCGTTACACTGACCTGTCGGTTCGTCAATGAACCGTCGGCTTCGTAGTTTGAGCCGGTCGGCTAGATTTTAGTTTTGGTCACAAGTCCAAAAGCGCAAATAGGTTTCATGGTTCCATGTCAAACTTGGAATTATTTTTAGCAGCTATAAACAATTTCAAAGACAGTCTTTGTTCAAGAGAGGAAGCAAAATATTTAATATTTGGAAAAAAATAAAAGGAAAAAATCAGCCTCAGTGTCATCACAGCCCAGCCAAGTTAAAAAGACTAGAAGTGATTCAGAAGAAATAAAATTAATTGACGACCAAACAACAGCTCTTCAAAACTTGATTAATTAGTTAATGGAAAATCAACGTTTTAATGCAAGCACCAGTCGATCCAGGAACTACCAAAACGATGCCACATCTTCAGAGATAGAATAGTGTAATGAAAACGATAAGGAGAATTATGGTCAAGTGCCTTCGGTATTCTAAGCTCCCGATATGGCTATAGATCCGGCAAGACTTCAACCGAATTATTCGATTTTTCCCCATTCGTGAAAGAATGTCCTAAACCTAAGGTCTTGCCGGCTCCTTCAGATCTATTGGAACAAGCCATTATTTGAAGAAGATGCATTATTCGAAACCTTCAAACAACATGGCAGTTTTTATAAGTTTTTTCCCGTTTTCTCTCATCAGATTTTCAACGTCCGTCAGAACGTACCACTTCTCAACAACACAAGCACCAACAAGGCAAAAACAAGAAACTACAGTCTTCTTCGAAATCAGCGGTCAATTAAAGTTTTAGAAGGTATGGGAACGAGGAGAAACATAGCGACAAAAAGGAGCACAGAAAAACCTCGCCTTCAACTAGAAAACCTTCTAAAAAACATAATTGACTATGCCTATATCCTTCAACTACCAGTGTTATCACCGCTTTACCATTCGGTCTTTCCGTCGCTCCAGTGATATTTGCTCGTCTAACCAATAACGGCTGTCCCAGTTCAAAACCTAGTAACTGTTTAGGACTAAATTTTACAGGAGAGCAAAAAAACCCTTTTTAGGGTAGCTCTTTTAAACTATTTAACATCTGTTCAAAAATTATTATTAACAAGAAGGAGTAGTTTGAAACTGTTAATTTGATATATAAATTATTTGTCTAAGTTTCATTCTACAATTTTTTTGAGCTAAAATATTTTTAACGATAAAACGTCTAAGTAAAAATTGACTTCCAAAACAATTTCAAACCTAGTAAGTTCTCTTACTAGATTTTGATCTGGTTTAACATATTAGCTAAAAATCATGTTATCCAGATCAAAAGCTAGTAAATTCAAATTTATACATGAGTAAATGTATTTGTGTTTCATTAGGCGGCATTCATTTGTTTTTTTTTTTATTTGTCCTATTTAAGTCACCCAGTATTAAAAATTGAAATACCGTGTTATTTACGAGTACGAGTTCCACCATGGCACCAATGCTGCGGAAACGGCTCGAAGGGTAAATTATGTGTATGGCGGTTGTGTCGCAAAACGTGTCACAGTACGTTTTTGGTTCCAACGTTTTCGTTCTGGAAATTTCGAACCTCATGGACGGCCGGAGACCCAAGTTTATAATGAAGAACTGAGGGGTATTGTGAAAGCGGATCCATCGAAAACCACGTCAGAGTTAGCTGCAGGCTGCGGTGTTAGTGATAAAACTGTTTTAATCCATTTGAAGCAAATTGGAAAGATTAAAAAGCATGAAAGGTGGGTACCTCACGAATTGAGAGAAGCAAACCGGTAAACACGCTTCGACTGCTGCGTTACATGTTTAAACTGGCACAATAATGAAGGGTTTTTAAATCGAATCATTACCTGTGATGAAAAGTCGATTCTCTACGATAATCGAAAGCACTCATCGCAATTGTTGGACCTTGGCATGCCAGCCAAATCCTGTCCCAAACGAAAATTAACCCCAAAAATGTTACTTGTAAGCGTTCGGTGGACTAGTGCCGGTGTCGTTCATTAGAGTTTTCTCAAATCTGGCCAGACGATTACGGCAGACGTCTATTGTCAGCAAGTGCAAACCATGCTGGAAAAACTAGCTGTTAATCAACCGAGGCTGGTCAATCGCTCTACGCCACTGCTACTTCACGATAACGCTAGACCACACGTTGCACAACAGACGGCTACCAAATTAGAAGAGCTTCAATTGGAATGTCTAAGACATCCACCGTACGCCCCGGACCTTGCTCCAAAGATTAACATTTTTTTTCGAAATTTGGATAACTTCTTGCAAGGGAAAAAGTCAACTCCGATGGGCCAGTGCAAATCGCCTTCAAAGATTTTATTGATTCTCGTCCGAATGGTTTTTTAGTAAGGGGATCAATGAACTACCTATGGGATGGCAAAAATACATAGATAACAATGGTTTATACTTTGATTAAATAAATATAGTATATTAAAAAATATTCAACTTTTTGTTGATGCCATACCAAACACCAATTTTATATGTAATGACCTAATATATTGTAATGGGGGCAAAACATTATATTTAAAGTTATTAAACGGCAATTTGTGATTTTATCTACATGGACTCTTCGGCACTGACTGTAAGTTGTGAACATCAACTCATAATCTTAATTGCTCATAATAACTCGGTTCTATACTTCTCTCAGTGTAATTTATAATTCATATTTGTCCTGTTTTATTGAATAAATAAAATAAATTTAAGTCTTCTTTAGAATGAATTTTTAATTTCCGCTAATATAGCTCCCAATAATTAATGTAATTTGAAGTTATAGTGGTTTTAAGTTAAATACTCAAAGTGGGCATAAGTTAGACGACATAAGTTTGGGAACCCCTGATCTAGTCTATGGTTCCATTGCTAATTTAACTTTTTCTTGATGTTCTTTTTGTTTAGTCGAAATATCTTCTGGCACTTCAGTATCTTTATGTGTATATCTCTTAATTTCTACTTCATAAAATGAACAATCCGCGCACTTATTGTCTTTTGGCATATTAAATGAAATAATTGTTTGTCGATAAACTTCTACCCTACAGTGAAAATCTTTCCCTTTACTACTGCTATAAACCATTATAGTTAGCAAAACTTAGTGTTGTATATCGAGGGAGCAGGTGATACGTCAGACAAACAAGCTAGTAAGTTGCACACTGATTTATTACAAAATAAAGAAGGGCGTGGCCCGTTCTGACTACCCACATACATACATAACACTTAGTAACTCAATATTTTAATGTCTTACGAAAACCACAAAATATTGTTTCTTTACATTTATTCACTTCATAACCCAGTAACTATATTTGACCATTGCAAAAACCTAGTATGTGATAACACATACTAGAGTTTTGAAATAGTTAAAGATACATACTAGGTTTTATAATGGTTAAAATTTAACTTTTCATAAATTTAGAAGCACTTACTAGGTTTAGGGTACCTTATAACGTTTGATAGAAGTAAATTTTGATATAGGGCATTTTGGCAACTTGTGGGGACTTATTGGAAAAGCACTTTTAACAAAAAAACACAATTTCTACTTTTTGTAGACTTACTAGGTTTTGAAATGGGGCAGCCGAATTGGATAGCAGGCATGTTGAGATCAAAAGGAGTTCGAGTAATTGTTATCAAGACGATTTTTTTACTTGCGTGTCAAGATCGGAACCCTTTAAAAGACCAGATAACATTAACCACAAACATATTGATAAAGGTTGGGTTAAGTTGGATAATAAATTTGGGAAAATCAATCCTAATTCCAACTCACATTTTGGAGTTTTTAGGGATCATATGTGATACCAAGAAAAATATCAAGAGTATCAACACAAAGAAGGTGCAAAAGATAAAATAAACTCCATATCGGATTCGAAGAACTCGTTAATGGTCTTGGAGACAAGCCAAATGAACATCTGGTGTTCGCCGCTTTTGTAATCCCCTTAGGTCTTTTAAATTGCCGGTTGATACAAAGAGCAGTAAAAAACTGGACGTATTTCAACCAGATCAGAGGCATCGGTCGCAAATCAGCCATTCGCGACGTGAACTGATGGTTAGCGAATGTAATATGGAGTTCCCCAATATTTGTAAAAAGTCCATCAGTCTTTCTATCAACAGAAGCGTCCGATTGGGTTTGGGGAGCAGAACTCAATGGCGAGATGATGTCAGTGCCTTAGAGAACAGCACAAATGTCATAGCATATAAACGTAAAGGAGCTTTATGCGGTGTACGAATCCATGAGGACACATATCGAAAAATTAAGACATCAATCCATAGTAGTACAGTCCGACAACAAGACTGTTATATCTCACATAAGAAAACAAGGAGGAACAAATTCGGCGACTCTGTTAAGGTTAACGAGACGTCTGTAAAACTTGTGCCATCGATCTCACATAGTAATTCATCCGCAGTTCATTCCTGGACGATACAACCTAACAGCCGATAGTCTCTCTCGCAAAAAGAAAATAGAAGAGTGGAGTCTGTCTTTTTCGGTAATCGGCAAGATCTTCCAGCGTCGGCAGTAGTTCCACGATATGTTTGTCTGGACCCGAGAGATCGGAGAGCAGTCTTCACCACAGAACACAGAAAGACGTTAGAAGGGCCTTGTGGGCTTGGCAGTGTAGCCACGATCCTGTACAAATGTACAGGATCGTGACTTCACCACGTGATCGCGATGTTTAATCATTCACGAACGCGCGCGCTGTAAGTACTGTGAAACACGCCACTAAGTGTTAAAAATGCCCACTTGCGCAGTTATTAACTGCAAAACAAGAAGCCCATCCTCAAGTAGACGCAAAGGAAGGATTTCTTTCCATTAGTAAGAAGAACACTTCTCAAATTTAGTATTTTTAGTCGAAATTCGTGAAATGTTATCAAAAGTGTGAATCGCAAAAAATATTTCCAAGAAAATATAGACTGCTGGAGAGGTGCGCATATTTATTACATTGCATTCCATTTATTACATTACATTGCACGTAATGTAAAGAACATCGCGAAATCACCATTTTAAATAGCAACATAAAAGATTACGGTAGATGGGTAGTGAAGTGCCTGGAAACATTTAATCGATTCTTGGTGTGTTAGTAAAAACTAGATAAAAGTATGGATAATAAAAGTGGTAATAAGTCTGTTTTTATATTCTTAATATTGTAACAGATTCTTTTTTTATTTTGAACCATTAACAACAATACTTTTCAAATCGTTGGAATCCGTTCAGGATAAGTTCCAATAGGATTTATTGTACTGATTGTATTTTGTATATATTTATTTACATTATATTGTTTATCAATATTACTAGTTTTATTTAAGCGATGTGCCGATCTTATCTGTTTATTTGATACGAAATCGAGTAACGTAACGTAAAAAAAGATACCTACTATTATTATTAATAAACAAACGTATTTATATGCAAATAAATATTTAAGCTCGACTAGTAGCGATTCAATGTTAGTTCATTAGTAATTTAAATATTTCTTATTGAATCAACAAACCAATTAAGAATTAATATCTAAAGAAAAAAGATAATGTCACATTTAATCAATATGATTCAATGTATATCCAAAATAATATACAGAAATAATTTCTCTAGTATCCTTTCAATTAATCGACTTGTTGTTTTTCAATATCGATAGTAAATAACTTTACATCAATCACTAGTGTGGTATGTCAAATTAAAATGGCTTTTACACGTTTATTGCGCACTATAGATATCTGTTATGATTGAGCGTGATTGGTTATAGTTATATTGGAGCGTTCTGATTGGCATGTTTAAAATGCAAGTGTGTGCATATCTTTTGTATAGTTGGTCTGATATTTCGTCTGATGTACGGCGGACTAACTGGCGACATCGGTTTTCGTACAAAGGATGCAAGATCCCCTTTTTAACCTCTTTTTCGGTGTTCTGTGGTCTTCATGAACGTTTTCAGAATGGAACATCCGGTTAGCTTGGGTATTTCCTCTCCCCTAATACCCCAAGTATTACAACGCCTAAATAATGCAGTAGGAATGTACATAATTGTGGCACCCAATTGAGAGAAGTCCTTTTGGAAAGCGGATCTTCGACAAAGAGCCACTGCCCTTCCTTATCAACATCATTTGATAGACTTAGCCACATTGGCACCTCCACAGGAATTAAAATTGGAGGTTTGGAGAATTCGAGGTGGAACAAATTGGTAAAGGACTGGCCAAAAAGTAATGTTGCTTTACTAGAAAACTCTTGGAGGAAGTCAACACTACGTTCATATAAGGCAGCCTGGAAACGATGGCTGGACTGGTGTTCTTCAAATTCAGTACGTCATCAAAATGCGACACCCTCTCAATTGGCACTTTTTATATGCTATCTACATACTGTATTAAGGTTGGCCCCAAGAACTATAAAGTATACCAGTCAGTTGTTTGCACCTTCTCGAAATCCTTCTAACGTGAATTTGGGGTCACATTTTATAGTTTCCCACATAATTAAAGATGTTGAATTGTCAAAACCACCTGTGGTTAACAAGAATATTTGGGATGTGGCAGTGGTCATAAAACGGCTTTCTGAAAATCCACCTCAGGAAAACAGTTCATTTGAAATGTCATGATATGTGGCCTTGCTTCTGCTTCTAAGTTCGCGACGTCGCATTCACGACCTGACACTTTTGCATGTAGGATCAGATGATATGATCACTACTCCAAACTCGTTAATTTTCTGGGCTAGATTTGGGTTGAAGACAGATTCTCCACATTTCAGACAGTCAGTTTAAGAACTCAAGTCAAACCAAATAAAAAATTTTAATATGTTTTTAAATACCCGAACTTCTAAATTTATCTGAAAATGGTAGAAAAGCCTGTGTTGATTTAACTTATTCATTACGGCTAGAAGCATTGTAAAAGCCGCATCGAGAACTGTTAACGCTGGTTGGGTCCAAACAATTTTTAAAGATGTGGGTATTAATGCATCGCCAGGGAGTGTTCGATAAGCCGTATCTTCCATTAATTTCAGTACATTACCAGTGGATGAAGTATTAAAAAAAAGAAACCGGCGAAGTGAAACCATGTTCTTTAAGCATTATTATTTATGATGTGCCGATTCGATTATTATACACATTGATTAATTGATTATAGTATTACTCGTAATCAATAATAATCGATTCATGTCAATGATTATTAAATATTTTTTATCCCCAAGTTTATTAATGAGTTCAAATTAATTCCACCATATTTTAAAGCCATCCAAGTTAATGAAAAATAGTTAAAAATCAATTTTAAGATAATGTTTACTATACCAGCATTGTGCATGCAAAATTTATAGAATTAAACTAGCTGTACCCGCGATTTCGTGCGTGGAAAGTAGCCTTAGTAATTTATTATTACATAAGCTGTCTGCCTGTGAAAGTCCTGTCAAAATTGGTCTAACCGTTTCAGAGATTAGCCAGAACAAGCAGACAGACTAAAATGTAAAAAATATTATTTTGGTATAGGTATGTACCATGTATACTTACATGTGCATTTATTAAAATATGGTTAATTTGCATTTGTTAAAATAAAACTGTAAAATTCATTCATTCATCGGGAGTTTTCCAACCAAAGAGTGAAGCTACCTTTTTGTTTCTGAAACCGTTTTTCCCCCAAATTTGAAAACGGATCTAATAAAAACAAAGCCTGCATGCTACTTTATACTGTGACCTATCTCTTCCTCATGTTGAACCAGAAATCTGTTCAGATTAAGTAACAAAATCTCACACATTCACACTTTTGCATATAAGAGATAATATGTTACATTTGATGTGACTATGCTGAGTTCTAATATGTATTAAAGTTATTTTTTATAATTCTTTGATTGAATAATGTACTCACTTGCTTTTTCACTAGATGTTTTGCCTTCCAGATATCTTTTATTGGTTTCTAATGGTTCATTCTCTGAAATAATAGAATAAAAAATTAAAAAAACTCATAATTAAATCTGAAACACTGATTTAAGTGTAATAGCAAGCCCTATCAAGAATCACCAAGATAATGCTCACAAGTCCAAGGCTTGAATATGTGATTATGGTTTAGACTTACAGTCACAAACTCATAAAACATCTTGCTAGTCGATGATTCTTGGCTACGTTGCGGCCTTTTCAAACCACTATCATAGTTCAGACAAAAATAGCTAGTGAAAAATTCATTTTCCGATTGGCATGGCATTTTTTTACTCATAACTTTTCTCTTTAATACATAAAGTTTGGCATTATCACATGGCATTTTTTTACTCATAACTTTTCTCTTTAATACATAAAGGTTGGCATTATCACATGGCATTTTAAAACTCATAACTTTTTTCTTTAATACATAAAGGTATCTACAAGACCATAATGTTAAGGGCATACTATTAATCAACGTCTTATACGCAGCGACGAGTCACGAATTGATACACAGATTAACAATATGTAATTGATACCACTGTTTTTAATAATAAGGAAATTTACCTTTTAGAATGTCCTCAACATCACTTTTGTTTCTTGCTTTCTGTGCAAGAATTTCTATTTTCTTCTTCTCCCTCTTTTTTATTTTTCTCATTAAAATTTTATCTGCAAGAGGCATTTTAATATCCTCTAATTTTTTGTACTTTTTGGAAAGTATATCTTTCTACCTTCTACGGATATAACCTATATTATTCCTCTATGTAAGCTGTTCAATGGTTAATTCCAAACTCAACAGACCAAGAAGAAGATGTCAACTCGGTCCTGTGCACAGATTAACGATATGGGTCCTGTGCAGGGTGGGGGGTAGGGATGCCTGATACGATGTCGATACAGGACCATACGATATATCGATATGTGATACGATATTTTAACCATACGATTCATTGCGATATATCGCATTCTCACTACAATATCGTATCGATGTATCGCATTAGACTGAGATATTTTGTTTACAATAAAATTAATGAGAATCCCATGACTTAACGGCACCGTCTCATATCATTTTAATGTGATGAATACTTTGTTATAGCTCATAAGTAATTATTTAACATGTAACAGAATACTAGGAAATGATACGAGCCGACTTTTATTTATATTTTGTAGGTAAATTAGGATAACTTGAGATTTTTGTAGTTAGGTACCGACAATTTTGTTTGAATATAAAGTTCATTGCTTGTGTTTATTCCTTGCGAGTTACACTGACTTACGTTTCATCATTGCACCACCTGTAAAGTCGTCTGTTTGAAGCTATTTTATTAAAGCGGATAACGGCGGAAAGTGTAAACTATGTCATGTATTTGTAAAAACAAAAAATAATACGACTAATTTGAGAACTTATTTGGCGAGACATCATAAAGGGACATCGAAGTGTAGTGGTAATCCTTCTTAATCGGCATCATCACAACAAAATATTCAAGTAAGTACTTTAGTTATTTGGTAACTGGAAAATATTAACAATATAATTATAATTGTTAACAAATACGTAATACATAATTATGTGAATACATTATAAAAAAAACAACTATTCGATGAACTATTTTGTGTATTAAGTTAAATAAATAATTGTGCTCGGAAATAAAAATGAAATATTTTATATTACAATTAGTTTATTTCTGAAAACGGCGCCTCCTCTACTCTGCTTTCACCTTAAGAAATAAAATACTGTATCGTGTCGTGTCATATGTCACGCCATGTACAGGGTGTAAAAAATAACAATGACAAAACGTTTTCCGAGTCAAGGTCTTTTGACTAAATCTCAGTTTGATTTTCGAAAATGGTTTCCGCACTCTGGATAATTTAAGCATTCTTATGACTGATATTCGTATAGAAAAAGCAATATGTAGTTGCTGTGTTTTTAGATATAGCAGGCGCCTATGATAATGTCCTTCTTCCAATACTCAGACGTAAATTGATTCAGCTGAGAGTTCCTGAGAAGTTGGTTCGTTTCATAGTTAATTCCATTTCAGCTAGGTCTGTTTGGTATGGTCTACCTCAAGGGTCGGTTTTGAGTCCCCTACTATATAGTATTTATACTTATGACCTAGAGAGTGTTGTAGGTTCATTCTGTCAAGTCTTGCAGTATGCAGATGACGTAGCCCTCTAAAAAGATCGAATTCAATTTAGGAAGCTTCCTCTCGTCTCAATACTGCGTTAAGTCGTCTGCTTGCCACTATCGGTTTCTAAATGCTGCAGTGTAGTATTTACCAGAAAGCGTAACATTCCTACAGCTCAAATAGTTTTTCAAGATGTCCCTATTCCCATGAACAACCAAGTAAAATTTTATAGGCGTCATTCTTGATTCTAAATTATCAGGAACTCCTCATTTCCATAGTGTTGTAAATAAATGCGAGAAAGGGGTCAATGTTCTCCGTTCTTTTGCGGGTATGGTGGGGTGCTCAACCATTCACTCAAAAATTAATAATGTAATGCTCTAGTTCATTGTCACTTCTATTATGGTTCCTTTCTTTTAGAAGCATGTAATAAGTTGCCACTTGATAAAATAACTAAAGTTCAATCAAAATGTTTGCGGATTATTATAGGTGCCATGAAATCATCTCCTATTAATAGTCTCCAGATCGAATGCGTTGATCCCCCTTTGTATATGAGTAGTCAATTTTTGAGTGATCGGTTTTTTCTTAAAGTAATACAAGTGTAAGTAACATAACTCAGTAGCTCGGTGGCGAAGTGGATAAGCGCCGCGGCCCGCGATCGTTGTCGTTAAGCAATTTTCGCAAGGGTCGGTCATGGGATGGGTGACCACAAAATTGTTATCTCGAGCTACTCCGTGCTTCGGAAGGCACGCTAAGCCGTTGGTCCCGGCTGCATTAGCAGTCGTTAATACCCTCCAATCCGCATTGGGCCAGCGTGGAGGGTCATGGCCTATCCTCCTTAACTATCCATAAGGAAGGCCTGAGCCCCTGCAGTGGGGACGTAAAAGGGCTGATGATGATGATGATGAATACAACGTGCATCCCATCCTTTACTTAATAAATTAGAAATATTGTTGAAAGTTTCTAGTCCTTCCTCCAGTTCATCGGTAGGTGTCTCTTGTATTCTCCATGGCTACAAAAAATTCCATACTCTTTCCCTTCCCAAAGAACGATTTTCTCGTCTACCTCTTTTCGAAAAGAGCTTTGAATCACTTATTCTTGAGCCGGTCGTTCTTCTTGATTTTGGAATCGACAAAGACTCTCCATATGCCATGCGTATAATGGCAAAGAAATTAGCATCGGGATATGAAGGCTGGATTTCCATGTACATTAATGCATCCAAACAGCAAAGTAATGATCCAGTTGGATCAGCAGTATGGATTCCCGGTCACAGATTAATATTGTGTTTCAAAATTCCTCCTCTCTCTTCCGTATTCACAGGAGAAGCTTTAGCTCTCCTTGAGGCCATCCTATTTGCCGAATCTCATAACTTTAACAAAACTATTATTTTCACAGTTTCACAGAGTTGCTTATAGTCTATAATATCAAATCCGTTTCGTTCTAAAAATAAATTTCCAATAATATTTAAAATAAGACATGCATTGTACAGATGCCATGGCTATAAAATATTCCAAACTTTTTCATCACGATCTCTTTGTGCTAGCACATGAACATTTAATGAGGTCATGGAATGTTGATTGGGAAAATACTAGAAATAGAGTGGGAAAGTATTATTTTGACGTTCAGAGAAGCATCCCCAGTACTCCTCGGTTCTCTAAGGAGACGTTTTTAAGTAAAGAAACTATCTCAATTATTTGTCGCCTGAGAATTGGACAAGTGTGTTCCTCTGTTCGACTTGCCAAACTTAAAATTAAAGACAACGCCCTCTGCGATTGTGGCATTGAGGAAGGAACTACGGATCATATTTTATTTAATTGTCTAAATTTATCCATTTCGCATTATGATTTGCTCCTATCAAAAGTTCCACGTCCAACAAATATAAAAATTATCTTGAGTATGGAGAATCTCAGCCCATTCAAAATTTTATCTAAATTCCTTGCAATCAATAATAGTCTTAATTTATAAATATATTTGTTTTCTATATACATTCTATTTGTACTGTGTTTAACAATGTAATCAGATAGATGCGCTCAGAGCTTTTTTATTTTATTTAAATTCAAAATTGACATATTTTATTATTGTTTCTTTACGTGTAAAGACCACAAACGTGACATTAGCGGAATTGTATGAACGCAAATAGGCCATAAATTAAAAAAGAAGAAGTTTCACGTTGTTTTTTCGGTTCGGCCCATGTTCAGCCAGAATAAAAAAAATGCATTAAAAAATACCTACTAAGAAAGAAGGACAACGCCAATAATTAAAAAGAAGAAGAAATGCTTGGAAATATTAAAATAAATTAAAATGCTGTCTCCAAATAAAATTTTAATGAGCAAAATCAAAAAGAGGGAGAATAAGAAAATGGAATTTTTTGCACCAAAAGCGAGTAAAGAAAGTGATGTTCAGGACATCGCAGGTAATTTTATTAACTAACCAAAGAAAGATCGTGTATAAAATAAACTATATCATAGCTGTTACATGTAAAACCTTGTTACTCGTTTTATTATGTTGTGTTTCCCATTGATTTAATTATTTCAGAAAATTATCCATCAGAAGTGAAAAAACGACCTCTTGAAGACAAACAATATACTGAAGCCCCCAAAAGTGAGTATACTATTCAATCCCATCATCAGAAGTAATTTTACAATATTAGATCGAGCATAGTGAGTAGTCGCATCATCATCATCATCATCAATAGCCTGTTTTCGTCCACTGCTGGATATGAACCATTGAACTTGATTTTCGGTTACTCACATCTAGTTTTGTTAGCTACCTTGCAACCTTCACTACATTTCCAGCAGCTCCGTCAACTACAATCTCTGATATTCTAATAATCAGATAAATATCAGTTCCATAACTCATGAAATATAAAGTATGTTGTTATATCTTCTATATGTCAAAACCTATAATTGTCTTATTGTTTGTTATGCCACAATCTATCTTGTTTGATTAGCTGTCGGTTTTCCAAGATAAATAAACATCACATTAGTCTGACTGAAAACTAATTTCAACATTAGTGATACAATGTTCTGATGGTAAGTCATTAACTAAAGTTATTTTTATTTTCATGTTATTCATTTGAACTTTGTTTGTCATACTTTAGAAAAAAATAAGAAAGTTGATAAAAAAGGAGAACCTGTGGAAGTTACAAATGTGGCTAAAGATAATAGTGAAAAAGAAGATACAAAGAATGATGACACAAAAAGCAATACCAATTCAGATAATCAATGTAAGTAGTTATCATTAGTTATTGAATCTAACTAAACATTAACCATTACTAATTTAGTATGGCCTGTTAGGGGGGTAGTCATCTACACCCTTACCACAATGACCTTGAATAAATTTGTCATTCTAGATTAGACTAGCACTGTGACCCAAAGCGAATGTGTGGCAGTGGGTGGTAAACATTTTTTTTCTTTCTTTCCTTTATCTGCAATCAGCCTTTAAGCTTTAATCAGATGCGCTGACATCTTTCATTGTTATTGGAGTACGACTCTTCCAGTGGTGCACCTTCCCCTCATTCACAAGCTAATATAACACACGGTCCCTTAGATAATAGCTAGTGTAGTAGATAATAGTATTTTAAACATGTTAAGCAGTGTCGTAACAAATTGTTTTATGAACTTTAATGTTTTATGTAAGTCTTGCAACATTGTTTAATATCGTCCTTGATATATGGCATCTCCAGATATTCGTGGACTTCAAGCATTCTTTGTTAACCAAGGTGCTTTACACAAGATCACTCACTAATTAGTGCAGAGATCAGGCGCTGGAAAATCTAGTGGCCTAGCTTATACACATTTTTGTCATGACAACTTTCTTTAGCCAGTTGCAGCTCTAGCGCTAATGTAGTAATCGATTTTTTATAAATTTTTAACATCCATAGAGTATTCAGTAAAATAATAGTGAGCATGTTGGAATTTAATATATTTAGAAGTTATAATTAGAAGACATTAATAATATGACCTTCCTTTGTAGTACTGGATTCAACTATATGGCTAAGAATTTTATCAGATCAGAAATTTTCTGTATTGGAACAAAACATATGTGAGTCTACTCTGATGGGCGTCAAAGACATGGGTTTCACTACTATGACCGAAATACAAGCTAAAGCTATACCACCATTGTTGGAAGGCCGCGACTTAGTTGGTGCAGCCCAAACTGGCTCTGGAAAAACACTTGCTTTTCTTATACCTGCTATTGAATGTATATACAAATTGAAACTTAAACCCAGCGATGGTAAGTTTTGATTTAATTTTTAATACAATAAATAACACCAAAACACTTTAAAGATATTTATCAAATATAAACAAGTTCTTGATTTGGGATGATGACAAAAGGCAAATAAAAAAACTTATATCCATACAACCATACGAGGTCTGTGTTAGACATTGCAACAAATCAAGTCTCCAGTTTACTGTTGAGGCACATTTGTTGGTTATTCTAAACTTACACTTCGGGATTATGGAGAGCAGTTTTCTAAATGCAGAATGGATATTTGATTAACATTACACTTAACAACAATGTTTTATTATTTGTACTAAATTATTATATTTAACCTCTTTTAGGCACTGGTGTCATTATTCTGTCTCCAACAAGAGAATTATCAATGCAAACTTTTAGTGTTTTAACGGAGTTAATGAAATATCATCGACACACATATGGTTTGGTAATGGGTGGTGCCAACAGAAGTATAGAAGCTCAAAAGTTGTCACAGGGTAGGTATGTTTTACATATAATTAACAACTGTTTTGTACCTATGGAAGAATGTAGTAAATACTTTTATTTATGAATTGGTTTCCCTCAGGAATTAACATATTGGTTGCTACACCTGGACGGCTATTAGATCATCTTCAGAACACGCCAGATTTTTTATATAAAAACCTTCAATGCTTGGTTATTGATGAAGCTGACAGAATACTCGAGATTGGTTTCGAAGAAGAAGTAAAAGAAATCATAAAATTATTGCCCAGTAAGTGTTGTTATGAAAACATTAGATGATATAAACTACCAAGATATAAAGGGTATTTTTATTTACAGAAAATCGACAAACAATGCTGTTCAGTGCTACGCAAACAAAAAAAACGGAAGCACTTACAGCATTAGCGGTGAAACAGGAGCCGATATATGTTGGTGTTGATGACCATAAAGAACAGGCTACAGTGGAGTCATTAGAACAAGGGTATGTCTGCAATAAATAAAATTGCGATATAAGTTAGCATGCTTACGACTCAACATGCTCAGCAGTCACGTGGTGTCTAAAGAATGTTCATGGCAAAAGCTGTTTTACGCATGTTGACATTTCTAATTATTTGTATTTAACTAAAATTGCAAATCATCGTTTCCAGTTATATTGTGTGTCCATCAGAACTGCGCATGACGTTATTGTATTCAATTTTGAAAAAGAACAAACAGAAGAAAGTGATGGTATTCTTCTCAACTTGTATGTCCGTTAAATATCATCACGAACTCTTCAATTACATAGATCTACCTGTCATGTCTATTCATGTAAGTATACATTTTCCATTGCAATTTTTTACATTCAAGTTGTATTATGAAAAGAAAAGAAGAATTGACATCTTAAGTATAGTTGGCACATGTCACGTCGTAAGCTGCTAGGAAATCGTTATAACTAGAAACTATGGTTGGATTATTGATGTAAGATATTTTCACTAACTGAATAATTTTTACTTGTTATATTTTAGGGCAGGCAACAGCAAAAAAAGCGAACCACTACTTTCTTCGAATTCTGCAATGCTGAATCAGGGATTTTATTATGTACGGATGTTGCTGCAAGAGGTCTCGACATTCCAGCAGTCGATTGGATAGTCCAATATGATCCACCAGATGACCCTAAGGTTGGTTTTTAGTAAAATCTAATAGAGTTTATTTGTTTCTATTAACTTTATAAATTTTTTGTGGCATGTATAAATGTGGTATTTTTATTAATATTTTCTCTAGCTCTCATGAACTTTACCATTTCAAAATATTTACTACCCTGAATAGATTAAATTATAAATTTGTATAAATTATCTATCTATAGACTCATACCAAAATAAAATTAATGCCTATAGAATTGTCTTCTACAAGTGAAAATACAGGTTTTAATTATATGTTCGGAAAATATTGTCACAACTTAGGGTTCGGGATAAAAATTAACGCCAATTATAGTTCACAATCCGACTTTATTTAACACAATACAATTACAAAAATTGTCTTTTCCCATTAGCTTTCAAAGATATTTGTAACTATCGCTTTGCTTAGACAATGAGGAAGTTTTTAAAAAAAACGAAAGCATTAAAAAAGCTTAAATGGCGACTCTAGCAAAAGTTGATTTTTGCAGGAAACGAATGGACAAATGGAACGCAGTAATTTCCGTTCCTTTTAAACTAACATAAAAAAATTGAAATTTGAAAAGTTCGAAACTTAGATATCAATACAAATACGATAAAGTACAAATAGAATATGAGTTGTTTATTGAGTTTTGAAAACTAATTTACTTTTAAACTTGAAAGAAAACCGGAAAGGTTGTCATGGAGAAATCAAGAACGTACCGTTGCGACATCTAGTTTGATTTCGGGAACTAATGTTTTTTTTTTAATATTTCCTCATTCCCATTAACCCCAAATAAACGTTATCGATCATTGAACATTTTTCATAAAAACGTCGCGATCGCAATTGCTATCACATGTTTAAATGGTTGTAGCATGAAGTTTGTGAATATCTTTCAAATGCCAAATATAAAATGATCGTGATAAGATTTTAAAATTAGGCAATTGTGCCACTGGTACTACGTAACAGTCTTATCACAGACTTCGTCTATTTTCAGGAATACATACATAGAGTTGGTAGAACAGCTCGAGGTCTCGGAACAAGCGGGCGTGCGGTACTTTTTTTACGCCCTGAAGAACTGGGATTTATAAGATACTTGAAAAAGTCCAAGGTCACCCTCAATGAATATAAATGCCTTTGGAATAAAGTCGGTAATATACAGCCACAGGTTAGTAATATATATTAGGTATTGCTCAGTGATGCAACGAATACTATTTTATCAAATAGGAATAATTGGACATATTGACAAATATACACACTGTTTTTTGTGGCAAATCGGGCGATTCTCCAATATTCACGCGTTTGACAGACGACTCGTCGAGTCAGAGTGTGAGTAAGATGTACATTTACAGTGTTATTGACAATGTTTAGCGTTGGAGTAAATTTACGCTAAGACTTAATATTAGTCAAAATTCATATGATTAAACCGAGAATTAGCAAAGGTTAACCTGGTACGAGGTTCTACGGGAATAATATTAACTACTAGAATGGAGTAGCTTATTCTCTATATAACATGAATTTGGACTAATATTAAAATTGCAATTTTAGCGCAAATTTACTCTGACGCTAAACCTTGTTTATTAATAGCACTGCTAATGTTTAATCTTATGTCTTTGCAACAAGACTACACATTTTAACATATATTCGGTGATTCCCGGAATCGGTAGATTAGCTCTGCGCTATCAGAGATTCAATGTTCGCCATATTAGCAGAACTTAATGTTGTAACGCCTGCTTTTAATATGATATTTTCACTTCTAGATATATAGACATTCTAGACAAATTCATTTTGCATGTGTTAATTCGCATATCGTTTTAATTTTACAGCACGAAAAACTAATATCCGGAAACCATTTCCTCAACCAGTCTGCTAAAGACGCCTTAAAAAGTTACTTACGAGCTTACGACTCTCATCATCTCAAAGTCATATTCAATATCGACACTATAGATTTGGCGAAGGTTTCAAAGTCTTTCGGATTCGCTGAGCCACCAGCAGTGGAATTGAAAGTAGCTAAAAAAGGTCCACCGGTGAAAGGAAAAGGTGGTGGCGCCTACGGAAATTTTAATTCTTTAAATGCAACAAGTTACAAGAATAAAACTGGAAAAAGGAAAACCTATACGCAAAAAGGTGGAAACACAAAAAAATATGGTTAATTATTATTATAGTTTCTTTATAAGATGTAAATAATACAACCGTTATTTTTACTTATTGTTTTATTTATAAAATATCTCAATGATTCATGATTTATATTTATTAAAGTATTTATAAAAAAAATTTACTATCGACTTTGAATTAAAATCAGTGACAGATTATCCCTTGAAGAAATTCCATATCAACGTATTAAACCACTATGAGATTTATTTATTTGGAGCCTTGACGTCACAATTCAATAAACAACACCACTCTGCCCACGTCTGTGTCAGCCATTTACTAGCATGGGACATTCTCCATATCAAAAATTCGCGCGGTGGCAATGGAGTTTTTTTTGACGTGGATACGTCTATGTTTTCGTTCTACAGTGGGGTCATTCTGTGAGCAGGAGTATATGCACTAACGCCATCTATTGGCGAATAAGTGAACTATGCTGGCTCTGCAGGGGGAGGGGCATTCTGTCAGTATGAGTATATGCACTAACGCCATCTGTTGGCGCTAGTGAATACTTTTTTCATTCAACAAATGAACGCAACGAATATTTATTTATTTAGTGTTTAGTGTCTTCAATTTGTTTTTTTTTTTTAATTATTCATTTATAAATGCAATTATGCCACAACGTTACATAATTCCGGGTTGTTTTGGAGAAGCGAATCGTTCAGTTTTAAGAGTGCCAAAGAACAAGACGTGAAGAGTGGTTAAAAGCTATTCGTGATGTGTTTCCTAACCTGGATGTTGGTGAAATTTTTTTTTTTTTATCGATTACTCATATATCCATTCATACATAGACGTATCCACGCATAAAATATGGCTGTATCAATGATACAGCCAACCAGGGTTTTTTGGCAATGTTTATATTATTACCGATAATGGCGATAATCACATTTTAATTCTTAGTATATTTATAGTATTGCTTAATTTATTGTAAAAAAAAAAATTATACACATTGTCACGTGCCTGGAAACAGCGCGGTACGTCAGGTTCTCTTTTCATATCAGAACTTGGAGAATTGAACCTTTTATGCATACATAAAACCTACCTACCTAAAGTAATAACGTAATTAAGTTTTAGATGGGCGTGACGTCATAGCGACGTCATGACAGAAGATGGCGTTTTCGCAAGAAATTTTAAACTGAAATATATTTTCAGATTTTAACTTAATATAATAAATAGTGATACTAGCCAGATTAGAGAGAGAGGATTATATGTTCACCCGACAGAAAATGCGCTTTTACTTTGGTTTTAAAAATGTCTGGTGGCTGAACTTTATTATTTTAAACAGAGTAGAAAACCTATTGCTCTCCGCCTATGTAATGTCGGCGGCGATTGCACGTAGCCCTCAAACCCCGTCAGGATCAGGCAATAATGATCAGACCGGTCGTGGTAAACTTGCTTACCTATTCCATGAAGAAAATACAAAAAGGAATATAAAAATTATACACATTGGGATTATACACATTAGGGATGATGTCTGGGTAAAATAGTAATTTTATTTAGTCCCATCAGTCAGACAATAGAAAAATATCAGACATTAATTTTTACATTACATTATTATTATCAAATCACTGTAGAATATTGTAGAGAGCATAATTTACATCGTCAAAACAATCATTATGCCACTCAACTTTAATCTGCAATTAATACTGTCTCGCACAAATTCTTCGTAAAGTGAGGAAGATCATTAATGTAAATTAAAAAAAGCAATGGTCCTAATACTGATGCCTGAGGTACGCCCGTAGTAATGGGTGCCTCTGCAGATTTCGCTTCATTAATTACTTTTGAATTCTACCACATAGAAAGATATGATTTTATTTGATTAAATGAATTTTTCAATGCAGTTGCTTATATAGCGCTATTTTTTTAATCCATTGTAAACACCAAAAGTGAGTCTTTAAACACGTGTTAAATAAAAATGTACTGAAATCCTATACTGCACACGTGCTTAAAAGTATGTTTTAATTTTTTTTGGCCGAGCACCAAAGAAATTAAAAAAAAAAAATGATACCATCTATCTACAAAAAGTCGATTTTACAGGAGACGAAAAAAACGTTTCATATTTTTTTTACAACAATTTTTTTTATTTTTATATCTGATCAATTAATGAATAGGCATAGGAAATAAGGTGTTTGCATGTGCTTCAAGAAATCTTTATTAGTTTCAAGATTACTGTAGATAGCTGGTATTAGTTAAAATATTTGCGTATGTTTATGCAGCTAACTGTAATATAGATGGTATTGGCAAAGGAAATAATATAGTTCCAGCGCCTGACCTCCGCACAATGTATGCTCTTAGTACCTTCTTCAACATACTGCAATGTCGAGGCTCAGAAAGCCCTTGCAAATTTTATTCACAAGCTCTCCGTCTATATTAGTTAGGCACCTAAGGTAAGAATGTACTGTAAAAACTTGTACCAATAACTTAGGAAGTGTTTTAGTTACGCGGTACACACTCACGCCGAGAAGACTCGCCGGACCTTGAAGAGAAATAGTTGCACCGTTTACACTCACGGTGAGTTCTCAATAGATCTCTCCGTTCTCGGATATGGATGACTTTACTAGTAAAGGCGCTTTGGTATACATGCACTAGCATTGACTGAAAAATTGAAAAATGAGGCCCAGATGAGAGTGGATGGTACAAATTAATCCAAATAGAAAAAGGTCGTTTAATATACAATGAACACACTAATAATTAAATATTTAAACCCACGGCGCTCTGTACCTCATATGTTCATAAGTTTTGAGACAAACTTTTCGATGGAGGGAACGAAACCATTACGTGCAACTGTCATTTCGTATTTAAGGCGGAAAAAAACCGCTGCAGATTTTCCGCGAGCTGAAAAGTTTTCCTGTAAGCCGTAACTTCGTCTACCACACAATACAGCGGTACAAAGAGACAAGTTCACTGCAGAATCGCCAGAGGAGTGGTCGGCCACGCTCTGTCAGGACGCATGCGAACATCAAAATCATCCGAGAGCGACTTCGCCGAAATCCATGTCGCACTCAGAAGGAACTCGCTCTGCAGACTAATATTTCGCGCGTTTCAGTGAACAGATTACTGAAATATGATTTTAAGGTAAAGGCCTATAGCCGAAGAAAAATTCAATTTTTAAACGATCGTCTTCGTAAGTTACGACGCGAACGTTGTCCATTGCTGCTGAGGAGACGTGATGCCAGGAACTCTTCACCGATGAGAAATTTTTTACTGGCAAAGAAAAGTTTAACCAACAAAACAAATGGACGCTAAAAGTAGCAAGGATGTCCCAGCTTCTGCACGGAATTGAAATTGAAATTCATTTATTCTAGAACAGACACAAGACACAGTTCATGTAAAAAAAAATGATAATACACAATACTAGACAATAAAATATAATAAAACATATGTGTGTGTGTGAACGCGTGCGTGGCGTGTGTTTTTTATTTATTCAAAATATGCATTAATGAATGAAATTGAGAATTGAAAACATTACATATCTATAATAATTACTAATTAAATTGAAGACCTACAAATAAACCACAATGCAATTCAATTTGATTTAAGGGCACCTATGACCATTGACTAGAATAGTTCACATTCAAATGGAAGAGAAAAAGCCACACCACAACATTCAGCCTGCATCACACAATATCCTACAGATGTTATAAATGCGAAAGTTTATGTATTAACGTTTGAAAGAAACCTATATATAAGAAATATCCATGTTGATATTACCCAGTCCTTGCTGCGCATTCATTAAATATCTACGCGAGTGGTTTTTAAAAGTAAGCAAAGTATCACAATATGAACAAAGGTAGAGGAATGTTGTTCCAAATTTTGGAAGCTGCATATCGAAAACTTCCCCTGAAGGAATCTCTCGCGCACTCCTTCATACGAAATTTCGTATGAAGGTGATACTCCGTTCCATTTCTGCCAAAAAGATGTCGAGGTGAAAGCCAAGAATTATCAGAGTGACATGTTAGAGCCCATTTAGTGAAACCCCTGTCTGATACGTTATTTCATAATAAGGATTGGGTTTAGCAAGACTCGGCGCCATCCCATAAGGCAAAAAGCACCCAAGCTTGGTTGAGGGAGAGTGTGCCGGCCTTCATCTCGGCGGACGAGTTGCATCTCTTAAAGCGGGCAAAAAATTGACAACAAACAGAGAAGATGCGAACCCGAGAACGAGAAGGCGAGAAACTTATCACATTCTCGTGTCTTGGGTGTTGGGGCTTCTCGGCGTGAGTCTGTAGGGCCTATGTATGGGGCCTATTATGTTGTAACGCATAAAGTTCATTCTGCAACTCGCAATAAGAACGAATAATTACGTGTTATGTAGATAGGTGGTATTTTCATACAATTATTACGACACGTAACTAAGGTGGTATTGGTATTTTCTCATAACTCCTTATATATTGCGAATTTGAAATAATCGATTAAAGGAAACGATGCGTAAATTAACCATGAAAAGAACTGCATTAAAAAGTCAAAATCGCCAAAAGTGTAGATAGATGGTCTTGGTTCTTAAGCGCTTTGAAAAAACTAATACCACTGTAGGCACACAGATGTAAATTCGTTATTCAGCACTTATGTAAGTTAAGATGAAAGTTCAGGTCTCATGGAGCGCCTGCTCGGTATAAACTTCGTCTTATTTTTACCTTAAAGATACTTGGCTATCACAGTCAACTATAGATTTATATGTACGCACGCAGACGCAGTTGAGGACAAAAGCTAATTTTATACATTTTAATTTAAAAGTGACCACCGTCAAAAACAGTGCCATGCAAAATATTATAAATTCATTTCTTTGCAATGATTTTAAAAATTATCCCACCTACGGGAAGGTACATCTTACGCCAGTTACATAAGCTATAATTTGCGTAGACGAAGTAGTGGGAAAACAGTTTAAAAATTAAACAATTAGTAAAAACAATGGTTTTTTAATTTATAACTTACAAGTAAAGCTATGTTTTTCAAAAAACATATTTTTTTTCCCTGTCTTATTCTTGTGACTGGTTGTTGTATTTAAAATTTCCGTACCCGGCCACGACCTATTCTTTTCGGACCTTTGTTAGTTACTTTCCATTCCACTGCTGGGGGCTCAGCGAATCCGAAAGACTTAGAAACCTTCGCAATGTCTAAAGTATCCATATCGAAACAATACTTGAGATGATGAGAGTGATAAGCTCGTAAGTAACTTTGGAAGGCTTCTTTAGCATATCGGTTGAGGGAAAAGTTTTTTGAAATGAGTTTTTCGAGCTGTAAAAAGGAAAAGCGATTTTTACATGTTATTGTACCTCAGTACATCAAATTCCTGTAAGTGATCTACTCTATATATTTGTAAACCTGCTGTACTGTTAACAGTACATATATTATGTATGTTATTTGTATAAGATAAAATACCAACCTGTAGTTGTATATCAACGAGTTTATTCCAAGCGAATTTATATTCACTGAGGGTGACCTTAGATTGTTCCAGATATTTTAAAAATACCAGCTCTTCAGGGCGTAAGAAAAGTAACGCATGCCCGCTTGTTCCGACACCTCGAGCCGTTCTACCAACTCTGTGTATGTATTCCTGAAAAAATTTAGAAAATCTGTCTTAATAATACACTGATATGCACATTTAGAAGTAGAAGCTTTTTTGTTAATATATGGGATAAGTCGACACTTCTTACAAAAAATATCATTAACTATTACGATTTTATTCAAACAGTCACTAAACACTTTAGCTTCTTCTTCATTCTTTATAATTTTTTTATAACCAGGAATCTTACACAGGTACTTGTTACAATTTTTACACTTTTTCGACATTATTACTTAATAATGATTTGGTTCGATAGTTAATAATTTCAAAATGCTGATACAAAATACCTATGACAGAATATGAGTCCCAAACTGCCTTCTTGTGTAATACAAATGACTGCTACTTTAGCTAAACAAACGATGCAGTAAACAGCTCGATAACAAGTTCGAACTTGTTTGTTTATACACTCACGCGAATCACAACGGAAATTTTTATACGAAAAAAAATTATATGCGCGAATCACATATAATTTTTTTTCGTAGTGTTGCACCAACTTTTTTTTCACGCAATTTTTATGGGTAATAGAGCACACAAAGGAGCATAACATATATTAATTTCGTGATTGTAAGTCACAGAGAACTCAGAAAAAAAAACATTTTTTTTTTATTTTTATTTTTTTAATATAATTTTTTATTCTAAAAATTATAAAAAAATATATGTGATATACTCTGTAATGTAACGTAACACCTCGCGTTAGTTTCACTTCTTTATCTTAATTAGCTTTAGAGATATATCACATTCAGTAATAGTCAAGCATACGGATATTTTGCTCTCTATCTCAAGGTCAAAGCGGAAGTCGGTCGCGAAAAGTACATAAATCGTGTTTGAACATCAAGTCTATATTAAAACATAAGTTTCAATATCGATTCCCATTTGGGGGCCGACTCGTCATACGTATCCGGCGCCAAGTGTGAGTCGGATTCGCGCACTAAGGGATCCGTATCATTATTCATCAAAAAAAGTAAAAAAAATCACGTTTGTTGTTTTCTATGGAGTTCTTCGAGATTTTTTAGTAAAATACAATTGCTCGACTATGACTCGTAAACTTGTAAAGCCAACTTAAGCGTGATAGTTTTCCTTTTAACTTAGTTATAAATAGGTATTACTGTCGTAACGTTTGAATTTTTACCAACAACCGTTTAGATGGTAGAGGGAGGGGACACTTGTCTCTAACGAAAACTAGCTCTTTAAAGCCTAATAAGTCACAATCGATTTACTAAAACGAACCCCCCAATGTTTTTGAAAGACTTATCCAACGCTGCCCCTACACTAATGGGGAAGCCGAAAAAAAAATTATCATTCCGATAGTACATGTACAATTTTACTTTATCCTTTTGTCGGCGAAATTAACGTGTATACTCATGTCAAATTATAACTTTCTAGTTCCAATACCCTTTGAGCTAAGCCGCGGACGGACAGACGGATATGGCGAAACTGTAACGGTTTCTTTTACTACGGAACCCTAAAATTGCTTTACCTATACATGTCAAAATAAAACCATCAGTACAAAAAATACAGTTAATGATTTCTTGGCATAAAATAACTTGTTAATAAAGGTTTAATAGAAAAACCAACCTTAGGGTCACCTGGTGGATCATATTGGATTATCCAGTCTACCGCTGGAATGTCGAGACCTCTTGCAGCAACATCCGTACATAATAAAACCCCTGATTCAGCATTGCAGAATTCGTGGAACGTCGCGGATCGCGATGTTTGCTGTTGCTTACCCTAAATCATAAAAAGTAAAAATAATTTAGAAGTAAAAGTCTACAAATAAATGTTTTGCTTTCGTTAATACCAGCCGAATGATGTATAGATTCTCAATGCATGAGACATATTTTTGTTGATATACTTATTCTCAAGCATGGAGGCCGTCAATAATTCACACGATGTTTTTTCTCGCTCTATTTTCTGTAAGCCAGACGAAATAGCTGCGTCCTTGTCAGTATAACTACGTTTTTCGCAGTTGAATAGTTTCGCAGGTGTTTCGCTTTCGGAAACGATTGTGTCAGTGTACAAACGGTATAAAAGAAATATCGTTTCGTCCGATGCTTCTGGGTTAAAACTATATTTAAGGTGTCATTTCTTCACTTCTTTATGATATAATACAATTGATATATGAAAAACGGAATTTAATGTCTAGGTACTTACATGAATAGACATTACAGGTAAATGTATGCAATTGAAGAGCTCGTGATGATATTTAACGGACATACAAGTTGAGAAGAATACCATCACTTTTTTCTTTCTGTTCTTTTTCAAAAATGTATATAATACCATCATGCGCTTTTCTGACTTTTGCCAAGAGCAATCGTTGGCTAAAGTTGGCAGGTTACTGTTGCTTAGTTAAGTCACTATAGTCGTAAGCACGCTAACTTATATCACAATTTTATTTTTTTGCAGACATACCCTTGTTCTAATGACTCCACTGTAGCCTGTTCTTTATGGTCATCAACACCAACATACATCGGTTCCTGTTTCACCGCTAATGTTGTAAGTGCTTCCGTTGTTTTTGTCTGTGTAGCACTAAAAAGCATTGTTTGTCGATTTTCTGTAAATAAAAAACTCTTTATCTTTTTTTAGGACAAAGTAACATCTAATGTTTCCAAAACCACACTTACTGGGCAACAACTTTATGATTTGTTTGACTTCATCTTCAAAACCACTCTCAAGTATTCTGTCAGCTTCATCAATAACCAAGCATTGGAGGTTTTTATACAAAAAATCTGGCGTGTTCTGAAGATGATCTAATAGCCGTCCAGGTGTAGCAACCAATATGTTAATTCCTGAGGAAAATCAATTCATAAATAAAGAGTTTTGCTGTATTATTACATTGGTAAAAAAAAATTGTTAATTATATGTAAAACATACCTACCCTGTGACAACTTCTGAGCTTCTATACTTCTGTTGGCACCACCCATTACCAGACCATATGTGTGTCGATGATATTTCATCAATTCAGTTAAAACACTAAAAGTTTGCATTGATAATTCTCTTGTGGGAGACAGAATAATGACACCAGTGCCTAAAGTGGGGTTAATAAAGTAATGAACAATAATATGTAAATATTAAAATATTGTTGTTGATAATCAGATATCCATTTTGAGTTTATAACACTACTCTATTTAATACTTATGCATATGTTTAGAATAGACAACAAATGTGCCTTAACAGCAAGCTGAAATCAAAGACTTACCATTCTTTGGTTTAAATTTCAATTTATATATAAGTTCAATAGCAGGTATAAGAAAAGCGAGTGTTTTTCCAGAGCCAGTTTGAGCTGCACCAACTAAGTCATGGCCTTCCAACAATGGTGGTATAGCTTTAGCTTGTATTTCTGTCATAGTAGTGAAACCCATGTATTTGACGCCCATCAGAGTAGGCTCACACACTTTTCCCTCTAATGTAGAAAATTTCTGATCTGATAGTATCCTTAGGCTTACAGCTGAGCTTGGTACTACAAAGGAGAGGCATCTGATTAAAACACTGTATAAAAAATATGTAACTATGATATTAATTATTTGAAGAGCTCCATATCTGTATAGTCAGTATGTTCAATTCACAATTGGGGAGAAAACTAGTCATCATAAATGGGTAATTGAAATTCAATATGTCCATGCTTCAGAAGTCACATTAAGCTGTTTATCCCGTTTATATCTGCAGTAGTCACTGACCTAATTTGGTATTTTTTGGTAGTACTTTTTTTGCTTTCATGTGTTTAGTAGCAAATTTTATTATACAATTAGATTCAATAACAAAAATACTCGTATACTAACATTGATTATCTGAATTGGTGTTGTTTTTTCTGTCGCCATCCACTGCATTTTCTTTTTCACTTTTATCATTAGCCTCAATCTTAACTTCAACAGGTTCCAATTTTGTATTGACATTTTTCTTTTTTTCTGTAATTGCATACAAAGTTTTAAGTTATAATACTCACAAATAGAAATAAACTCACAAATCAATAACAAAGGCAGAAAGGAAAAAAATAAAATAAGTAATTCAATGACATCATATCTAAAATATCAGTATGCGGTGGAACTCCATATACTACCTATATGCTTGTTAAGTAAATGCTACGAAAACGAGCTACATGCACAATAGCAATCTAAGGCGCCTGCTCCACTAGGCTACCCAGCACCTAACAGGACTGTTGAAGTTTTCTAGCATTTTTAAAAATATTTCTTTCGTCTGTTTGGCTTTTGCCTGAACATTGATGATAATACACTTTGCAGTAGCGAAAAAGTGACAAATACTTGAAAAATTCGACAGTCCTGTTAAGTCCTGGGTAGCTAGTTGTTAGAGCAGTAGCCAGTATTGTGAAAAGTCGTGGGTTGTAGTCCCATCTCAGAGTGCCAGGACAAAGTGTAGTAGTAATATTTTTCAGTATAACATTGTGAATGCAAAATTGGATAATAAATATACAGTGTTACTACCATAACGCGATATTACAATAAAATTAGCACATCGGAAGAGCTAACACCCAAATGTAGGTGCGAGTTTATCCCCTACTTTGGCTAAGAAGATGACAACTTAAAGCAAAGTGTAAGCCAGACTATTCACTCAACTTTTTTTAATAGCTACAAAAAGGTGATAGAAAAAAACACAGCGCATAGATATAAAAAAATAAATAAATAATAGAGTTGTGACAAAAATAGATTTTTTTTAAGTTTAATAACATATCACGGCATGATTGTCCATAAAAATTTCTGTTTCTGTTTGATCAAGATTGCAGCATAATATCTAACGGCACCAAGAAATAGTATTTATTCAGTACGTCTTTTCTCTGAAGCTGAGCTAGCTTATGAGAAAAGAAGAAGTAAAGTACTTCCTAAAAATACAGATAAATTAATCTTTCTATACCATAACCTACCGCTTCTAAACTTTGATTATGACAACTATTCAAATGCATAAAAGAATAATTAAATATTATAATACAGAAAATGATTGTGTACTATCTGTTCTTATGACTGTCATGATAATAAGAAATATGAAAATAACATAATTATAAAATTAATCAATATTTTATTTTACCAATTATCTCATTACAACAAAATGTATTAGGTACTTTAGTATTTGATATTCGGCTGAATAGTATAGTCATATTTAATATCTGGCTGAATATTACAAAAGCATCTGAATAGATTGAATACTCACTGAATATTCTTTGCAAGTCTACATCTAACACAGCATGATAAAAAGCACCAGGCAAATATAAATCAAAATTAAATGACTAAATAAAGGTACTCACTTCTGGATCCTTTTTCACTGTTTTTGTTGTCTTCAAAAGGTCTTTTCTTGGTTTCTAAAGGATAATTCCCTGAATAATTAAATCATAATAAATAATTATAAAGTTTTTTAAATGTTTGTGTTATAAATAAATGACCTCGGCCCTAATGATTAGTTGCACAAACATTCATTAGGGTTTAATGCCACTTACATAACATAAAATATATTTTAAGCTCTAATGACTGTATGGGAATGCAGCTTTAAACTAATAACATTTTTAATGAATTTTTGTGCAACTACCTGTAAATCAAACACAATACTAATTAAGACAAAACATTGAAGGCACATTGGCTGCCCATATTATATGGCTCCACAAACCATATGCTAGTGAGATCTACAAAAACATTGGCTCATCTCTGATCTACAATTTGTATAGAATATAATATCACTTTGCTTGGACAAAAATATATAGAATACTTTTCCCTAATAAGCTCAATTTCATATTTATTAATAAAAATAAGCCCTAGAAATCAACTAAAAATTCATTATCTGAAAATGAAATTTAGTATATTTTGAAGAATTATTTCAATTTTTTCTAATTCTGGTTCAAGGACAAATAGAATAGGCCTTCGAACATTATGGAATAATATGCGTACGGCCTCATACGCCCAAAAATCCCACGTCTTCAAGACTTTCAAAGTTCATCCTTAATTTTTTATTCACAACGTAGTCACAAATTAATTTATAAACCGGCCTTGGTTTAATATAATTATTTACCTGAAATGTCCTGAACCACACTTTCCGTTCTTGTTTTCTGGGTAAACATTCTTGTTTCCATTTCCTTCTTTTGACTCTTCATTATTTTTAAGATTTTATCAGGAGTATTTATAAAATCTTCATAATTTCTTATATTTTGTTTCTCCTATTTTTTTATTTATTATTTATAACGTGATACTTTTTGATAGGATCGGACAAAAAATATCGACATATATAATATCGATATTTTTCTAAAGAAATCGATATAAATCAGCGATATTTTTCCGCGATATATCGGCCTTCGATATATTTTTTCAGATATCAAATTCGTGTCAAAATCGATATATTTTTAAAGTTCTGCTATCTGTTTATGCGTCACATCATGTATTTCTTAAATTTAGAAAAAGAGTAGGTAGGCAGTAGGCTGTATGAGTTTAGTTTTTTCCTTCAAACAGAAACAAAATAACAGTCTTTGACCTGCTTGTCTATTTTATGTCCATGACACTGCTTGTTGGTTTAGTTAGTATCACCAAGAGTGTTCCTAATGTCAATATCAGACAAATACTGGTTTGTTTGAAAAATATATTTAAAAAAAAAATATAAGATGTTGTTTACTTGGCTATATATATAGCCAATATATATACATATAGCAAAATAGGCATCTATTTAGAACAATAAAACTGATGACAAAACAGTCAGATGTGTATTTGCTTTAAAATTTCGATTATTTTGACAGTTTTTCAAGATAATCTCTAATTGCGCAGAAAATATCGCTATATCAACATAACGATATTTTAAATCAATGTTTATCGATACGTTTGTAAAATATCGATATTTTTTCCAATTTGCGCATCTCTACTTTTTGACGGCTACACCCAAGCTACACAGCTACACCTACAATACACCTGACGGTAGCCTATTATAGGCATTACCATGAAGCTAACTTTTATGATAGAAAAAATAGAAATTGACTTTAATAATAGAAAAGAATAAATGTCTGTCAAGGGTATAACTATGTAGTTACCATTGACTATTACATTTACTTTAAAAAATAAAGAAACACTAGATGGCAGCACAAATTGTAGTATCTAAATGTTAATGAGGAAGTATTTCAAAAAGAACAGAAAGCACTAAAAATGCACCTCTAGCAAAAGTTGATTTTTGCAGGAAACGAATGGACTGAAGATACTCATTTCCGTTCCTTTTTACTAACATATTAAAAAACTGAAATTTGCAAAGTTCGAAACTAAGATATCAATACAAATACGAAAAAGTACAAAAAGAATATGAGTTATTTAATGATTTTCTAAAATTAATTTACTTTTATACATGAAAGAAAACCGGAAGGATTGTCATGGAAAAATCAAGAACGTACCGTCGCGACATCTAGTTTGATTTCGGGAACTATTTTTTTTTAATACTACCTCATTTATGAATTTCGTTATGTTAATTTTGTTCGTCTTTATCTTAAATTTTTTTTTATAATACTTACTAGTACCGACAAAGACGTCATAAGATGGCTGCATCACAGTCCTACCCTCCGATTCGTATTGATTCTCCAATAAATTCTAATACAAATGGTAAAATCGGCGGATAGACAGCAAACGATTATAATCTCGATTTCAAATAGGTATATGAAATAAATTTTCAGTTTCAGTATTTTATTAATTGATTTTATACAGGATGTTAGGAAATACATGCATAATCCCGAAACATGGCCATACAACCAACAAAGAACACAATTAATATGTCAAAAAACAATTTCACGTAAATTGAAATTTTCATACAAATATTTGAACAATTTGTTTTCAATTAATATGCTACAACCCTGAAAGCTTATACGTGCCGTCCCTGCGTACTTGCTCTCTCTCTCTCTCTCTCTCTCGTTTCCTAGAATACATTTTGATGTCGCCGACGCGCGCACTCGACTGCGTATGAGTTTATTTGTAATTAAAACAATTTAAGATTAAACAGGTACATACCTAGAGGCAGCGTTCTAATCACTCTTTCAGCTCTCACTTGTTACAACATTACCTACACTTCACCTCCACTTTATCAGTCCAGGGTCTCGATATACCGGCCACCGCGTAAAACACACATCTCCATATCATCTCGTAATATTAAACATTTGAGTACGAATTCATTGCACTGACCGCACACAAACACAACACAGGTAAACAGAACGAATATGAAAAACATACCAAAAGTCCTGAAAGAACGAAAACGTAAGCTGACCTTCTAAATTCTGAAAACTCACAAGTACGCCGATGAAAGTCTCAGACGCGACTGAAGCGACGACCAAATCTTCATACGTAATTATTGCAACTCGAACACCAATGTAGGTACCTAAATCAAAAGTGCACCGATTTAGGGTTCCGCGTCATCAAATTCTGTATTAGGTAACCTACCTAACAAAAAATCATTATTATTAAACTATTTTTTTTACTGACGAAATTGATAATTAGGCTGTTTACTTATTATTACAATTGTATTTACGCTTTTCAAGGTTACAAAAGAAAAAAGGCCATAATAATAAAAATGGTTACCTAATTTAAGACCAAGTCATTAACAAACTTATGAGGCATATAAATATTATTGATTAAATTAGAAAAGAAAAGAAATATTATTTATTATTATACCTTTCCATTACAACTAACCTTTATTTAATTATCATTTAAACTAAGAATAAGCGAGATATTTAGATTATTAATATCATTGTATAAGTCCGTATTTTATTGTTTCGTGAAAATAACAAAACTTCAAAGCAATTAATCTACAGAACATTACAAAACCGTTTCTCAATACACATCGTGGTCGATTTTATGCCTCTGTCGCTGTTTCTTGCATAGACTAATGCGAGCAATAGTGCAGATATCTAACTTCAATCGAAGTATTTGCAATTTCTTTTTTATTTTGACTGTATTATTAGAGAAATTTTCTTTGTAGTTAATAATAGTTTTTGAAACACCGTTAATCACAAGATTGGTGTTCTTTTATGGTTAAAAGTAATTTACTACTAACTTTTTCTTTGTTTTTGAAATAACAAAGTACTCTCGGATGCATATTTATTCTAGGCATTTATCTTTAGATTTATTTAACTTCTGTTATTTTTTATACTAGTTCGGCACATGAAGTCGATGACCAAATACAACACAGCAGCTGTTTTTAGGGCTGTCAGCATACAGTTTTACTTCGAAGCAAAAAAGGTAAATATCTAGGTCATGTGCTGGGTTTCAGACTTAGGGCGCTTGTGCACTACACTGAATTTTCAGGTCCGGTGGTCCGATTTTTTCGGCCATATATTGGTAATGCTAGCCTGTGCACTGTCAGGAATTTTACCGTCCGGGATTTTACTTTTCTCTATTCCGGACCGGTTTTTTCAGATCCGTGATGGCAGCAATGAAAAACGTGTTTACGCTTGTGTACTGCTGTGTCCGCGATCCGTAAAATTCATAAGGAATAGGCTTGGGAAAAATCTATTTGTGTAAAATCGATAATTATTTCGGCGATATTGTTAATTTCTAATAAACTTATAATCGACGTTTATTGTAGATTATAAAATGCTATATTTTATATGATGATTGAATATAGTTGGTAAATATCACTGCATATAGAGGGAGCAACAAAATGACCGACACAGCCGAAAGTTTCAAGTTAGGTTATATGGAAACGTTCATTTTATTTGACAAATATTTCAAAATAGAAGAGGTGTAAAAATGGAGTAAACATTTTAAATTTCTAAGTGTTGAGAGCCCTATAACGCGAATGCTCAATATCGATTAGGCGCAGATAACAACGGACCGCGAAATACATTAATTTAATTATTTACCGATATCTTAATGTTAGTTGATGCAGAAAATATCCAATTCTTCTCTGAAGACAGCTAAGCACGCTCTTTTGCATGCCAATGCATGCACGCGCAAAATACATCACATTTCACACAAAACTAAACTTAACACTCAAGACGAACACTGTAGTATCTTATTAACAAAAATTGAATTAAAAATGCAATAGAACAAAACAAAAATCGACGAAAATTCGCTTCGCAGCGGTACGGTGGCAGTAATGCAGTAACGTGCCTCACGCGCAAATGTCCGGCGGTGACTAAAACAAAGGCGCCGACGCCGATGGAACAAACAAGCCGCGCCCACGGTGAGTGAATGGAGTGAAGGAGACCGGTTCGCTTTGCCTTTGATAACAAGGGACGAATTCAGTTTATCTATTTTTCGAATTCGTATTTTGTTACCACGCAATTGTTTTTGAATTTTCTTTTTAAATACATTTTAAATAAGTAACTAAACCCTTACTTAGTGCTGTTATGTTAATGGATGATGTATTAGTTTAACTACTTTAATAAATGATCGTGTTATTTGATCCATTTAGTTACATTGTTTTGGAAACTCTGACTATTTGAAATAATGTAGTAACGTGATGTAAATTAGTTGACATTAGAATAATCTTTTTACTATGATTTATTAAATGTTAGTCTATTAATTAATTTCAGCATTTTGACTGATTCGTTTAGTGATAGTCAGTTTGAAATTGTTAAACTAACATTACTTAGTTTTCGTTTACGATTTTGGTTTTTTGATGATCAGTTGATAGCAGTTTGATAAAACTAGGACTATTTGACTTGTGAAATTAAAAAAAACGTAGGTTATTGAGAATAATCAGTGGAGATTTTCTACTTATTTCAAATCAGAAACCGGCTGTTAGTCTGTTAATCGATTGAAGCATTTTGACTGCCTTGTTTAGTGATTGTCTGGTAGAATTTGCATGAAAGCGGTCTCATAAATCATAAACTAGTTTATTTCGTATTTAGAAATGAAGAAGTCAGTAACCGATTAAAAACTTGTTCCTTAGTACGTCCCAAAAGCAGCTGACTCAGGGTTGAAAACACTCATTTTTTTCCAAAAACTTTGTAATTGAATAACTCCATAACTATTTGACCTAGACAAATATATTTTTTTACATCATATTAAAGACAAATAGTACTCTCTAGGAACCTCGGGAGTGTCGGTCGTTCTGTTCCACCGAGTACTTTGGCAAAGTCGCTATAGTTCTAATTTGATCAACGTATGGTTCTAGTATAAGTTTTTACATCTGATAGTATTCATCCGATTGTAGTAAAAAATGCTTTCGTCTTGCCTCAATTTATTATGGTTTATGTAAAATTATAAGGTCATTATTTAAGTACCTTTTTACGTCTTCGAACGCAATAACCGACGTTCCAAAAATCTCATCGTACCTAGCGTAAGTGACGTGTAGCTTCAAAGAGAGCTGCCCTACACTGCGCTGCTCCGATCAGGAAAAAAACGGACAAGTGCACAAGCAACTCATCCGGGTTTTGTCATTCCGGACCGGAAAATATCGGACCGCCGGACCTGAAAATTCAGTGTATAAATAGTGCACAAGCGCCCTTAGTGATCATTTTTCTGGGTTCTATTCATCATACCGTATGTGCCATATTCGGGATTATACAGGTATTACCAAACACGCTGTAGATATACGTATCTACATTACTTTTTCGTTCATTCATTCATCATAAGTGCAGCAGAGGGCAATACAGTTTCCTTTTTCGTTCAATCGGTGATTATCTTTGTTTAATTTGACGTATTCCCGTAGATATGAGGAAGACAAACATATAAAAACAAGAAAAATGTAATTTGCAAAGCTACGTCCCGATTTCGAAAAAGTGCTACTTCTACTTTTCTTTCCTTTTTTTGTGTTGGACATAGTATTGCGATCTTATTTATTGTAATAATTTCTAGAGGGATGCATGACACGATTGTCTAGGTGGATCTCTTGGCTTTTAGTAGTTATGTCTTTGTTTTTTTTGCAGGTCCGGCAGAAGAGAGTCTATATCCTCCCTGGGGAGGCGGATGACTAGTTTGCCTAGAGGATAATCAGTCTCTGATTTTAATAGTAATTCTTGTTTATAAATAAAACATTGACTTAAAATAATGATCGTATAATTTATACCTTATAAACAAAATAATTATTTAATTGTTTTTTTTTTGTTGCCACCTTTTTGTCTATAGATTTTCGTTTTCCCGGCCTTATTCTTGTGACTGGTTGGTGCATTTAAAGAATTAAAGTATCCGTATCCGCCACCACCTTTTCTTTTTGTCGGAGGACCTTTATTAGCTACTTTCAATTCTACTGCTGGTGGCACAGTGAATCCGAAAGACTTAGAAACCTTCGCCAAATCTATAGTGTCGATATCAAATATAGTCTTGAGATGGTGCGAGTCGTAAGCTCGTAAATAACTTTTGAAGGCTTCCTTAGCAGACTGGTTGAGGAAATAGTTTTTAGATATTAGTTTTTCGAGCTGAAAAATTAAAAGGAATAGCTTTTTTACAAATACAATACCATAATAACATTGAAAATCTGTCTCTATTATGCTACATGTAGATTTATGTATGATTGTGTCATACGTATAATGTAATACTAACTTGTAGTTGTATATCAGCAATTTTATTCCAAGAGAATTCATATTCATTGAGGGTGACCTTGGACTGTTTCAAGTATCTTAAAAATCCCAGTTCTTCAGGGCGTAAGATGAGTAAGGCATGCCCACTTGTTCCGAGCCCTCGAGCTGTTCTACCAACTCTGTGTATATATTCCTGAAAAAATGATTAAGTTGGTATTATGAAAATGAGTTGTTGGTATAAAATATTAAACTCCTCATTAAAACTAACCTTAGGGTCATCTGGCGGATCGTATTGGACTATCCAATCGACTGCTGGAATGTCGAGACCTCTTGCAGCGACATCCGTACATAATAAAATCCCTGATTCAGCATTGCAGAATTGGAAGAACGTCGCGGTTCGCTTGGTCTGCTGTTGCTTACCCTAGGACATTCCAAGTTAAAATAGTTCAATTAGTGAAAATCTCCGTTTACCTTAATACCATCCCGTTTACGTTAATACCGTCCAGACATAGCTTCTAGCTATAACGGTTAAGGATAGTCTTGTTTGTTCATGATGAATTATGTTTAGATATACGAGATGTCGTTGTTATAATATAATTAAAGTAGTTGATTATAGTTAAGAAATCAATAAGTTATTTATCGATTTTCATTAATTCAATAATAATCAATTATTCAAAATCCATTTTGATTTAAAATGTTACCTCTCTCTTTAGTCGTATAAATGACGTGACGTCACGACAAGCGCGCCAAACATTCCTGCGTATAAACTGCTCGATTTGTTTGTAATTTGTGAATGTGTTTTCTTAAACATTTGCTGTGTTGTTCTGAGTAAATCTATATATTAATACGTGGAGTAAAAACTTTGGAGTGCTTTTTACGAAAATTGCGAGGACGGAGGAGTATGACATTTGGCACACTTATTATATGTATGTAGGGGAACCGCAAACAGCTAATATTTTTTAATAATAATGCTTATAAAGTACATCGAATCGATAAATAATACATTACACACACTACTATGCATTTGACACTCTAAGTATTTGCTACACGCATACATGTACTCTGTGTTCAAATTGTTTCTTCTGACATAATACAAGTTGTGACAAAATTAAATATAATTGTATACTTACATGAATAGACATGACAGGTAAATCTATGTAATTGAAGAGCTCGTGATGATATTTAACGGACATACAAGTTGAGAAGAATACCATCACTTTCTTTTTTCTGTTCTTCTTTAAAAATGTAAACAATACCATCATGCGCTTTTCTGACGGACACACAATATAACTGGAAAACATAATATACTAAAATAATTTAAATAATTTTAGTTTTTATAATGTTCCAAATAATTTAAAATGAATATTTAAAGCATTCAAAGGTATTTTAGAGTTAGTCGAAAATGTGCGTAGCTACGCGGGACACTCAACAGATTTTTCCACAATGTTTAACACACGTTGAACATCATGCAACAGCTGCCTGTTACTGTCGCGCGTTGTTGTTCTATTATAATGTTGCTAAACTGTAGGTACGCTAACAAAGCTTATAAAAAATGATTAATTTTTTGCAGACATACCCTTGTTCTAATGACTCCACTGTAGCCTGTTCTTTATGGTCATCAACACCAACATATATCGGCTCCTGTTTCACCGCTAATGTTGTAAGTGCTTCCGTCTTTTTTGTTTGTGTAGCACTGAAAAGCATTGTTTGTCGATGTTCTATAAAAAATAAGGATTCATTAGTCTCATGTTCAGAAATAAATATTTAATGATTCAATCAACTACACTTACTGGGCAACAATTTTATGATTTGTTTGACTTCTTCTTCGAAACCAATCTCAAGTATTCTATCGGCCTCATCAATAATTAAGCATTGGAGGTTTTTATACAAAAAATCTGGTGTGTTCTGAAGATGATCTAATAACCGTCCAGGTGTAGCAACCAATATGTTAATTCCTGAGGAAAATCAATTCATAAATAAAGGGATTTGCTATATTATTCCAAACAAAACATTCGTTAGTTATGTGAGAAAAGTACCTTTTGACAACTTCTGGGCTTCTATGCTTCTGTTGGAACCACCCATTACAAGACCATAAGTGTGATGATGATGTTTCATCAATTCCATAAGTACACCAAAAGTTTGCATTGATAATTCTCTTGTCGGAGACAGAATAATGACACCAGTGCCTGATAAATATGGACTAATTTAGGACAAATAATAACATTACCAACTTTTTGTTAAATTTAATGTTAAATCAGATATCCATTCTGTGTTCATGAAACTACTCTACATAATCCTTAAGTGTAAGTTTAGAATAAGCAACAAATGTGCCTCAACAGCAAGCTGGAGACTCAATTTGTTGCAATATCTAACACAGAACTTGTATGGATGTATGGATAACAAGTTTTCACATTCGCCTTTTGTCATCATTTTAAATCAAGAATTTATTTATATTCGATAAACATAAAAAAAATACTCATGTTAATTAAAAACTCACCATTCCTTGGTTTAAATTTCAATTTATATATAAGTTCAATAGCAGGTATAAGAAAAGCCAGTGTTTTTCCTGAGCCAGTTTGAGCTGCACCAACTAAGTCATGGCCTTCCAACAATGGTGGTATAGCTTTAGCTTGTATTTCGGTCATAGTCGTGAAACCCATGTCTTTGACGCCCATCAAAGTAGGCTCACAAACCTTTCCCTCTAATGTAGAAAATTTCTGATCTGATAAAATTCTTTGATATACACTTGAACCGGGTACTACAAAAGAAGGTCATCTGATAAGTTACAGTTTAAAAAAAAATCTAAATGAAAATTGCTTGAAATATCCACTTTGTCCCTGGCACTCTGGGATGGGACTTGAACCCATGACCTTTCGCTGTTAAGAATATTTTTCAGTATGAAAAATTGAATGTGAATGAAAAATTAATAAAATATATTAATCTCCATATTGTAAAAGTCAGTTGCTATACAAGCTTTCACTAAAACCAATCATTAGATGATCAAAAATTTACTATATCCAACTCCAACTCCACGCTTCAGAAGTCACATAAGCTGTTGATCCGAGTAGCATCTGCACTAGTCACTGGACCTTTTTGGTGGACATCAAATAGGTCCGGTCTGGCATGGCACATGTCATACTGTTACCAATTCTACATATATGATTATGTTCATAGGTATTGTGTGCTTCAACAAGTAGGACATTGAGTATTAATATTTTGTTAGATACAATAACTAATATACTGGAATACTTACATTGATTATCTGAATTAGTTTTGCTTTTTGTATCATTATCCTTTTCACTATTATCACTAGCCTCAGTCTTAACTTCCACAGGTTCTTCTTTTGTTAAAACTTTTTTCTTTTTTTCTGTAATTAAAAACAATTAATTTTTTTTCAATTAATCACATAAAAGCTTAAAACAATATTTAAATTATATTCTGTTGTTTATTTTGCTACATAATACATTGATGTTATTGCATCAATGTTAAGTTTTTGTAACAACAGCCCTATTTGTAAAATCTGTTGTCAGATTTGCTCTGACAAACAGCATTGCATTTGATCTAGAATTTACAACGTTTTTTTTAAAATTTGGAGTAATTACACTCACCTACTCCTTTATCAAAATGTTCTGTTATATATTAATTTCTTTGGTTAATATTAGAACATGTTAATCAGACAAATGTGATTATATATTACTATATGTGATTATGTATACTAATATTATACAGTACTATTAATAAACAAGTTTAAGAATCAGAGTATATCAGTCCTATACTTCATACTATACATAGAATAAGCAAACCTACTAACTTCTAGGAGTAAATAATACTATTGTAGAACCTCATAATAGTTTAACAAGTCACTGTTTAATAGCATATTGCTTTGCAGAATCCTTCTAATTTTAAATGAAAATAATGTAACCTAGTCATCAATTTGGGTTTAGACAGGAAAACTCTACTATAGAGTGCATGTGAAAATAAGGAAAAAAAAAAAGGAAAGGAAAAATTATGAAGAAAAAGAGTATTGCTCTGCAGTTTTTTTGGATATCCATCAAGCATTTGATAGGGTCTGGCATAAAGGTCTTTTCTAAAAACTAAAGTATAGCCTTCTAACCATTTATCACCAGTTTCTTGAATCCTATATCACCGAAAAAATATTCCGAATTAAAGAATCACGAGAAACCAATAATTTTTTTTACTATACGTGCTGGAGTACAGGGCTCAGTCTTGGGACCGGTACTATATACAATTTATATAACTGACTTACTTGTAATGGAGGATATTACAACTGCTACGTTTGCTGATGACAATGCCATTCTGGCAAGCCACAAAAACCTAAATAAAGCAACGCAACTACTGCAGTCTTAGATGAGATTACAGAATGACTGCAGAAGTGGAGAATTAAAGCTTGTTCGTCAAAATCCGTTCATGTCACTTTCACAATGATGAAAGGCCCTCCAGTGAAATTAGAAAATATTACTCTCCCACATCAAACCTGTATTTGGTTTTGGGGATACATCTGGACAGGCGTCTTACTAAGAGAGCATATAAAGAAAAAGAGAGAAGAACTGATCATCCACTATAAACATCTATGGGCGCAACAGCAACTGATAATCAGCGGATGCTGATGCTGATGATAATAATAATAATAATCCTTTATTTTCTATACTTATTTAACATAGTTATACATGAGATTACTCCAGCAAGTAAAAGTAATACTTGTGTTGGAGATATCTCGCTCTTACCATTGTTTAAGGAAAACAGTGATACATATTGTACATTATCATATTTCAACTTTTTTTTTTGTGTTATTTTAGTGTGTGTGCGTGTGTGTGTGTGTGCGTGCGTGCTATTTTTCAATAAAGATATTATTATGAAGGTACATATGTAAATATGGCTTTTATTCACCCATGGATAAATAAGTATGTATGGCTCTATCAATACAGTTCGATTATCTGAAAAAAAAACGGTTTTCCGAACACCCCTGTCCCCCAATTAGTTCGAATATTCGACGCTCTACTGTACTGTACGAACCACAGAAATGGGAATGACTTTACCCTTACGTCTCTTACAGTTCTTTGTAAGATTGAAAGGCAACACTTTGTCGGTTTTTAGAGTTAGATATAGAATATATAGCTTTCTCACAGATAAAACTCCACTCAAAGCGTAGAGTTCACTTGTAGCAAAACTGTATGGCTTGAAGTTCATGACCCTCTGGGCCCTCTCAAGACACAGTAATTTATTTTTCGACGCACCTCCCCAAATAGCAATACAGTAAGCAATATATAAGCTGATATTCACAACAACCCTGATTAATAATCACTTTTATTCCAAGTCCAGGTGGTTTATGTATTATCTTGTTCTAATATTGAAAAGTTATGTTTAAGAATAAAAATTACTCACTTTTGGGTGCCTTTTCACTATTTTTGTTGTCTGCAAAAGGTCTTTTCTTGGCTTCTGATGGAATAATTTCTGAAATAATTATATCATTATGAAATACAATAATAATACTGATGCAAATAAAATCTGAAACAAGGTTTATAAATGCTTGTGTTATAATAAAAAAATAACCTATTCATTAGTGAATCAAAATGCTAATGAAGACAAAACATTCATAAAGACATTGCAGAATGGATGCAATTTAATTTTTTACTATACAACAGTTTCACAAATGATTTTTTAAAATTCGTATTGATTTTGCAAGTTTGTGTTATATGTCTTACAATAACACAGAAACATGTACAGACCATATATCAATGCTGGAAAGCAAACACACAGTAACCTACAAAACCAAAATTGATCTTCAGAACAAAATAACTTTTTATTTTGTTGAAAAAAGAAAAATCATACTTCTTTATTAATCAACGTAGGATTTACAAATTTGTTACCATAAAATATTGGCATTCAAAATTGGTTGAATTTATTAATCAATATCTTGTTTTTTTTGGAGTTGAATTAGTCATAGTGCTGTACTATTAATTAGTTGTCTAAATCACAAAGAAGAATGTGCAGAAGTCGGCTAAAATTACGTAAATTGCGCACTATGCTTTTATTTATCTAAAATCTTCTCTTTGATTATAATATATTTTATATAAATACAATTTTAAAATAAAGAGGCATTTAAAATTTACCATATTAAAAGAATTGTTAAACTGACTAATTTAGAAATTAAACCATAAGGCTGATTGCCTCATCTAATGTCCCAATTTATTTTAATTCTCTAATACAATGCTTAAGCTCACAAGCCACAAAAGGCACCACAGCATGTAAAGCAAAACACATATGTATGTGAATTTGATTTGTGATTAACGAAAAGTAGCCAATAAAAGAAGAACTTCGCTAGTCCCCAATTAGGAGGATTTTAATTTTAAACCAATAACCTTTAGCAATATGGGTACAGTGTCCTAACTTGATTAATGAGTAATTTTTAGTTAGGGTAGCCACGACATCTCGTACGCCAGCATCGAGTAACAAATTCATTAATATTTACTTAATCTCGAATAATTTAAAAATTTACCTTCAACGTCAGGAACTCCATTTTCAGGACTTTCTTTCTGTGGTGGAACAAGCTTCATTTTCTTCTTCTGTCTCTTTTTGATTTTTCTTGTTAACATTTTATCTGGAGTAGGCATTGTAGTCTTTTATTAAAATTAATGTCTTTCAGACGTAGACCTGTTATTGGTTATAATTTTTGAACCGATTTTAGCTGTTTTGCTACTCAGCATATAAAGCACCCACAAACCACACGTGCTAATAAAGTGACAGTGACATACATATAATACTACTCTTTGGTGACATATACGTTCACGTCAGTGTATTGTACGAATGGACTTAGTACTATTTAACAGGACAGAGCACAGAGGTTAATTTCTTAAAAATAGGGTGACAATAACATGTTCTTTAAGTGAGACTACATTTGGTTCAGTTTTTTTTTCAATAAATATATTTTTATTATTTATTTTAGATACTTCTCCATGCAATTCAGTCTCGATCGGCCTAGTACGGATAACTGGATGGATTGAGTTTATCTATTAAGAATACCGGTGCTTAAGTACCACCAATCTGCATTGAGACTTCCACGTGGGCCCAGGTAGGAATATTGGTTGATTGGTTTCATTAATTGAGAATATATGTGCTTTAACAACACTAACCCGCACTGGGACTCACGCGCGGGTCCAGTGAGGAATGCCGGATGAATTGGCGCAATGTTGATGAAACGCGCTAACTTTTGATCCGTGAATTGAAAGGGTGCCCGCCCTACACTGCCACATCCCACAACTCTGTCCTGCTCCACCACGCTCAGTTATATAAAAAAATTGATCACCCGTCTCTTTACTAACGTTTGCGAACGCCTTTTAAATTTCGCAATCGCAGATCTAACGCGCTAACCACTTGAACACGTGCACACAAAACCGTAACACACATACTTTACTTCATTAATAAAAATATATTTAATTTAGAAAAAGTCGTATTACAGTAGAGGAGCTGAAGCGGGGATTTCGGGATTTACTAAAGCGCGGCAGATTAATATACAGGGGGATACCTTGAACCCAGTTAAGTACCTGGACCAAGTATGAGCTCTATAAAAATAGCCGCCCGGCAAGGACGAAGGATCAGAATAGTAAAAAAAATTGGTCATCTGAAAATCTTGAGCGCGTCAGATTAAGGTAAGGTGAGCTAGTTACATGATAAAATGTGTACCATACCTCTAGTCTGACAATTTGAGAGTGACGTAAAGAAGGGGGAAGGCTACAAAGTTGTAAAAAAAAAAGTCACTTTGACATTCTCGAGCGTGGCTATCTTTTTTTTATTTTGAAGGGAATCATTCAAGGATTATGAAAAATATATACTCTCACGATTTTCACAAGCCGAAGTAATAAAAATTCATCGAAAAGATTTAATGCGTGCAGCTACGTGATACCTATATTTCCTTCTCCGCATCACTATTTCTCTCTCACTCTTTTTCTATCTATTACTCTCTCACTCCGTCCCCACTCTGGTTTCGGTTGCCATGACGCCATGACACAGATTCGTTCTTGGCGTGATATTGTTTACATCGTATTTCCAACGTTTTTGCTTATTTTGTTATATTAATGTAAATTTTGTGAATTAAACTTTTTACATATTTACTAAGAGAAGAAGAGGAAGATTATTCTAGCGATGAAGATGATAATTAGTAAAAAATACTGTAAAAATTAAATTTTCATATAATCATTTTCTTATAAACATAAGTATTCTACATAAAAAAACATACACTTTTTTTTTGCATGCTAACTCCGGTGCTTTTCTATTTAATTAAGCTCAATGATTCGAAAAAATATTTAATTGTCAGATTAAGTAAATTCCTTCAGATAATTGTCAGATTATGAGATATCACGTCTGGGGCATAAAGATGAACCATATATATCTTAATCTGACGCGCTTGAGTATTTCAAAATGGCGATTTTTTTTGCACATTCTAATGATGGTCACGCGTTTGCGTCACATCCAAATCGTCAGATTATTATATGAGAGCTTTTTTTAGGTTCACTTGACATCCCCTCTAAAACTCTGACGCGCTCGATTAAAATTTTTTGTTTCATTTAAAACCTTACGTATAACCACCCCCATCATGGAAATGACCATAATAACATACGACAATTTTTAAAAATGCGTAGGACATGGATGATATTAATATCTGACGCGCTCCAGTATGTCCATACAACAGTTTTTTTTTACATTTTTTAAAATCTTTAGCCGCTTCCCCCACCGATGAAAAGGTATATATTATATGAAATTATTTTTTTGTTATCATCTAAGCTTTGCAACCCAATAGGTCTCTGTGACGCTCGAGTAAATCCCGATTTAGCATCGTGGGCTCCCCTACTATTACATTACAGATCTCCAATAAGTCTGTCAAACTGCATCGGGCTCCATTGGTGCGATCAATTTAAATCGACGTCCAATATTGGCATGAGTAAAGAGCCTTAGGATGAGGAGGTCTCGGTAATAATAATAATAATCGGTCGGTAAAAATGTGAATTTAATGGTTCTCTGAATAAAGGCTTGTTGTTATAAAATCCACCACTACTGTTCTTGACTATGCATGCGCCAGTGAAGAAAAAAAATATGCCACCGTGACTTTTTTTATGCCGATTTACATTTGCACTTACAGTACCTACTTATGTACTTTCTTGTTTTCTCCATGACGATAATTCCGGTTTTCTTTCATTTATAAAAATAAATTAATTTTCAAAACTCAATAAACATTTTAAGTAAATTATATATGATCAATTTTGCATTCAGAATCTAACTAGAAAATATTCTTATTGAAAAATGCTTAAAAAATCAACCAGCCCCGAGTAGCTCAGTATTGCGTAAGGTCGTAGGTTTGAGTAGAGTTCCTGTGGCTGGTGGATTTTTTAAGCATTTTTCATTGAAGAATGTTAAAAAAAATCTTGTTTGTAAAAACTTTGAATAAAATACGTCTAATCATAAATGTTCATATTTCACAAAATCGGCATGCTACAGGCTGGCTACTAAGCCTGGTCCTAACTTGTATAATATTGGACGTGTAGCATAACGAACTTGAGAGCGTTTGTTTACACCCAAATGTTACCTTTCATCATATGATATCTTACTCTTGAGAAACGTCATCATTCTTCGCGTACTACAAATTTTTAACAACTGATATGCATTAATCTTAAGATTTGGTTGGTTTTTCGATATCGATATTTTTGAGCGTCGATATAACAATATTCACGTTTTGCGATATATCATGCATCTCTATACTGACGTAAGAAGGGCATGCTTGCATTGAAATAATAAATAATTCAAATAATACATAAATACTGTAAATGTGTAGACGTTGGCTATGATTAAATTATAGAATAGTCTTTTGAATTAAATACATTTTTTCATTTACAATTACATACAATGGATCGAGATTCTATATCCAAACAAAAGTTCAAAAGTTTGAAGTGTAAAGTTTCGCCAGTATCACTGAAAGCAGTGAAAGCCATGGGATTTAAGTATATGACCGATATTCAATCTGCAGTACTGCCGAAAGTGTTAGATGGAGCTGATTTAGTAGCGACGGCTAAAACAGGATCTGGTAAAACACTAGCATTTTTGATCCCCCTCATAGAAGTAGTGATAAAAAATTTAAATAATTCAATACGAGGTAAGCAGTTGTTATATTTTACATGATTTATTGCATTTTTCGTTTTATGTAAATAATAACATTGTCTGTTGATATTTTAGGAACATATGGCATAATTATATCTCCCACCAGAGAATTAGCAACACAAACTTACAATGTCTTGCAGGAATTTATTGTTCATCATAATGTAATGACAGCAGCTTTAGTAATTGGCGGGGAAAGTAGAAAAAAACAAAGTATGGTATTATCTCAAGGTAATGAGAACATAATAAACTCTCGAGGTCAATAGTAAAAATAAAATTGCTACTTCTTTTTTGTAGTTTTCACTACAAATCGAAAATGGTATGAATAAAGTTGTATAGCTGTTTATATTTACATTTCAGGTGTTCATGTCATAGTGGGTACACCAGGTAGACTATTTGACCATATGAGATCCAAAGATTTTGATTATAATTCTGTCAAATGTTTAGTATTGGATGAAGCAGATAAAATATTTCAGTATGGATTTGAAGAAGATTTAAAGCAAATTGTTAATCGATTGCCAAGTAAGAAAGAATAATTCTATAATTAACCCGTCTCGCGATTTTTTGAACACACAGGTGTGCAAACGCTTCAAGTGCGTTTTGTGACTTAATCGCGTGACGGGTTAACATTTAACATCATGAGGTTTTTATACAAACCCATTTTTTATTTCAGAGGATAGACAAACTATGTTATTCAGTGCTACTATTTCGGATAGAACAGATGCTCTGATTAGATCTGCAATGAAAAATGATGTGACTTCAATAAATACAAGTGAAGATAAGATAAAAGCAACAGTTGAAGGTCTTAAACAAGGGTTTGTATTTGGTACAAATATGTGAGCATTAATGTTACAGTTACATACTTATTATTCTCCACATAAGTGCAGATGACTATTTTTTATCTGCCCTAGGAATAATATAGAATACCAAACATTAACAGTAAGAATGTAGTACAGTAGTAATACAGGACTGAAAAAATGAAATGAATTTTTTTTTCTTCATAGGTATGTTATTTGTGAAATAGAGTACAGGCTGTGGTGGTTACACAAGATGTTAACGAAAACACGTAACCAAAAAGTTATGGTATTTTTTTCAAGTTGTAAATCTGTTGAATTTCATCATGAATTTTTCTCAAACTATTGTAATTTTCCAGTTTTATGTATACATGTGAGTACAATTTTTTTTAGAAAATTATTAATTTTTTATATATCACACAAAATGTATCTAAAGCTGTCTGTTTTCAGGGTAAAATGAATCAATTTGACAGGACAGCAACCATAGGTCACTTTTACAATGCAGACAAAATGGCATTATTCTGTACAGACTTAGCAGCAAGAGGCCTTGATATACCAGCCGTAGATTGGATAGTACAATTTGATCCCCCATCAGATGCTAATGTAAGTCCAAATAACTCCCCCTATGGATAAAACTGTATTACACATTTCCAACTATGACTATACTTAAAGCAGTCAGAATTGGTATTATTAATAATAATTCTGGTAATTGATGGTATGTACATTTTTCTGTAGTCATGTAGTCTAAGAGATTGAGACAAGAATGTGCAAGATTTGTCTTAAGCTTATGTTTCAGTATTTTGATGTATACGTACCACTCAGTACCCAGATCCAGTGAATAGGTCAGGTGCTGGAACGCTTGGTGATGGTGGCGTAATATAGAGTACGAAACCATAACTTATTAATGATGGTTTTTAATAGTTTGAAATTAGTGAAAAACTTATTCTGAATATTATAAAAGCACACTAATCTATCCAGATTGCACAATAATGAAGGGATCTCGGAAATTAGTGTGAATTGAACTCCAAAAACTCGGTGGCGTAGTGGAAAGCGCCGCGACCCGCGATCGTTGTCGTTATGCAACTTTCGCTAGGGTCGGTCACGGGATGGGTGACCAAAAAATTATTATTTCACTACTCTCCTCCTCCTACTCCGTGCTTCGGTAGGCACGTTAAGCCGCTGGTCCCGGCTGCATTTGCAGCCGTTCATACCCTCCAATCTGCATTGGGCCAGCGTGGTGGGTCATGGCCCATCCCCCTTAACCATCCATAATGAAGGCCTGAGCCTCTGCAATGGGGATGTAAAAGGGCTGATGATGACGATGAACTCCAAAAACAGATTCGTAATGGTTTAAAGTTAATTTATTACTAATCTTGTACGCTTATGTCACAAGCTCTTCTTCTGTAAATTACAAAAAAATCTTTGTCATTCACCAGCTAACGGTTTGTCTATAGCTACAGATTCCCAAAGTGGTCTAAGTGGACCCTCAGGTGTACTCAAGAGACTTGACGGGGGTCTACGTTGGTGTGACAAAAAATGGGGGCTCACAATACGAAAAAGGCGGTGCACGAAAATTAAAAAAAAATTATTACTAGCCTTTTATTTCAATAGTATAGAGCTACATTATCAGCGAAAAACATGCAATATATTTATATATAAAAATAATCACTAAATGTGTGTTAAAATGTTTACTACTAAGTTCACTGGGTCCCTAGTGTATGTAAATAAATTAAATTTTTTATAGGAATATATACACAGAGTTGGTAGAACGGCTAGAGGATTAGGTAAAGTGGGTAATGCTGTACTTTTATTGAGACCAGAAGAGGAAGAATTTGTTAACTACTTGAAAGATGCTAAAATCTATTTAGATAAATTTGAAGCTTGGAATACCTATTATAATTTACAACCTAAGGTAATCAACTTAATAATTAATTTTTAATAAAATGAATCATAAAGGTAATTCCTATAAATGATAAATTATTTTAAATTTTATTATTTTCAGTTAGAAATTGCTATGGAAAATTTAGATTTCCAGCAATTAGCAATTGACGCCTTTGAAGGATATATAAGAGCAATAGAAGTAAAAAAATTAAAACATATATTCAATCTTCTTACAATGGATTTACACAAAGTAGCCAAATCATTTGGTTTGAAAGAAAAACCAGAAGTTGATATTCGTAAGTGATTATATTTATAAATAAGTAGTCTCTATAATAATACTAATTATGCAGATAGTTTCCGAACTTAGAATAGAAAAGTTATATAAAGTTAATAGAAATAAATAAAAAAGTATAATAGAAAAGTTAATACAAAACTAATTTTACCCTGAGGGAAAAATCTTTTATGGGTGTTCCCACCCTCGATAATTAACAATTTGCAATAATATGGCATATAGCATGGCAATATCAAGATGATTTTAAAGGTAATGTTTCATTTGTTCAATCTGGAAAATTATAAATAATTTTATATTTTCGTAACGTAACACCAAAGAAATATTCCTTATGAACAGTTTAAGGGTGATATTTTTACCTTTTATATTGTTGTAGCGACGGAAATCGAAATCAAAGTGGCGTCGATTTTAACCACTTAATAGCATATTTAAAAAAAATTGATTATTTTTTACATATTTGAAAAATAACCTTTAATTAATGGAATAAGGATTTCAATAAAAGTGGAGAATTCTTGTCTTTTCTCACTTTAATGAATGGATATTAAGTAATTTTCAGACAATTTACAGTTCAATTCAATTGGAATAAAGCTGATTTAAAACATCATCAAATATCAGTAGTATATTATGTATGAATATAAATAAATTTCATCTTTCAGGAATAGGATTCAGTAAAAAACATAGACCCAGAAAGAGAATGGCTGCTATGCTTGCTGCAAAAACAGATACTCCAACAAAACATTTAAAAATATGAATTGTACATAACAACTTGTTAAAATGTAAATAATACAGTTATTTATAATAAATGTCAAATTTCATTTACATAAAGTTTTTTATTGTAGAAGCGAGAGCTCGTGACAAAAATATGCAAGTTTTGTAACGGCGGCGCTGTCGCTGCACTGTGTACTGAGTAAGTTTACGCGTACTGTTTGCATTAAGCGTTATGAAATTCTTACAAATTTTTGTCACAAGCTCCTTTACTATTAGGCTTGTGAATAGAGTGACGCTATGCATCGACTAGATCATTACAAATGATAATTAAAATATAATATTTCAAGAATATGTACATAATATTAGTCTTATTAACCGGAATTTCATATTAAAAATAAATATAGGAACTTTACATTTTATAAATAATCTTACAATTCACTTGGGGGACATGTTCATTTCATAAATGTTGTTTCTTACGAGTTTCTCGTAGCAATCTTCATGGTTGTGTTGATGATTCACTGCATAAATCATTGCATCAATAGTTTCTACGGTCGCCGGACACCGGTTGAGTGAAAAATATTGAACACACCTCCAGGATGTCTTGCCGTGGGTTGTCGAGTGCTTTGTGTAAACGAAGTTCATATGCACTAACTGTTTATGACCTTTTCTACTATAAATATACTTGTAGCGAACAGGCAATTGCAGACTCTCGTTCGAACCATTCACAACAAGAGAAAGTGCACCTGAAAATTAAAAACAATAACATATTAGTATTCATAGTGGTTTGTGCAGTCGTCTGCACGTCAAGATTACACAAAACTGTTAAATTTCCCTACTCTCTTTTAAATGTTATTATAAACAATATCTATTGAACATATAAGATATATTGTAGTAACCTGACGTGCAGCTGTGTGTACCATTAAATAATTGTAGATAATCGAAACGTTAAAAGGTACCATATTCTTTAGGTAGATAATGGACAAAATAAAAGTAGCATGAAATTTGTCATTTGAAATATCCATTGCCTACAGATAGATGCAAAGTTAATCGTATGGTAGATTTATTTAAAATACATTAAACTAAATAAATTACAAACATCAAGAAAATTTTCAGATTCTAACATAATTTGCAAAAAGGACAGTCTCCTTGCAGGCTTGGTAAATTTCAACATCATATTATGTATGGGTGATGTAGTTGGTAATTTATTGTAGGTAGTTTCCTTTTTTCCCGGTTTTAATATGCAACTGAAAAAGTAGATTTATTTTTATATATTTTTTTTATTAAATATCATATAAAAATACAATTATGTAGCCACGCATTCACACAGGTAAAACAAGCATTAAATAATTATTTATAAATGTCTTTTAAAATAGCGTTCACATTTCATATATAATTTAAATCTCAAATATAAGTAGGTCAAACCTTACTCTCATTATTTTACAAAGTACTTTTATAAAATGTCTTTCTAACTTTGTAAAATTTTACTTTTTTTCAGAATATGATTGAAATAACCATTATTTTATAATAATAAATTACATAAATTTTGGAATGTTACCAGAAATAAACAAAAAAATAAAAAATTTAAACCTAGAAGCATAGAGATCACAAAAAAAAATATTTTAACAATACTTAAAATAAAAAGGATAATTATTTGAGATACTTGCACATTCAACACATGAATAGCCGTTTTATAAAAAAGCATTACAAAAGTTATATAGCTATTTAACTTACACTATGAACTTAACATAAATTAGTGTATAGCTGATTTTTACTTATATTACTTTACGATCATTATTCATTATCGATAGTTGACCTTGACTATTTATACTATTGGATTTTGTTGATATTGTTGAGAATGGGCAAACTAAATCAATAGAAATGATCTTAAATACTGTTTAAGTGTGTTCGACCTAGCCGTAAACCAGCAACTGCCAATGATAGTGAATTAAGCACGGGCTTTTAAATGCTAAAATATACAAAACACATTAGATAAAAAATGGGTAAAATATGTTTTATTACGAACATTATTGCTTTAGAATAATGCGTATGTAAATAATTTTTAATAATATTTATATTTTGTGAGGTCTATAATAATAAAAAAGTGCAAAAAATGCGGTAAATTCAAAATACTAAAATGCCATGCTATTTCTCAAAGTGGATCTGATGAAAATGTACACGTACAGGGATGTCGTTGTTACAAAAAGTTAACATAACAAAAGGCAAACTATATTATTATTAAATGTTAGTCGATTTGAGTAACTAATTGAATAATAAAATCAATCTTCAAAAATCCATTTTGATTTAAAATGACATCTCTAGTCGCATACTTTACTCATGTCAAGTAAGTCAGAATTTACATCATTTATTTTTGTTACTACATAAACTTTAGTTTTTCCGTGCCGGGCATTTTTTTAGAGTTATATAACAATATAAATTGTCATATAGAAAAAGAAGCAAAAAAAGAAAGTGGATATTTCACATAAGCTTTAGTTTATTTGGTAAATTAAAGATCAAGTTATCGCCCTTGAACACTCGTGCATACTAAATTTCTTGAAAATCATTGGAGCCGTTTCTGAGATTCTAATTGCTTGTTTAAAATCTATTAGATTTTGCGTCATAAGTCAAAAGGGTTAAGAACCACTCTAGGTTCAAGTCTAGATGGTTGGCAACAAGTAAGGTCACCCCTGTGGATTGCTGGTTTGCAACCATTGTGGATCACACTTTATTTTCGATGATAGTATTGGTAGCAATACCGATTATATTTTTCTCAAGGTCACAATCCCGATAATATGATAGTCTTTCGCTATCGCACCAACATAGTCACAACTGCACAGATTACATTTAAATGTATTCATCTTATACTAATACAATAAATAGACTAGAATATGAGCAAAAGTCTTGACAAGTTGTGGTAAAAGTTTGATGGCACAGACTAAACCCAAATAAGTAAGTATCTATTTGTTCTAATTTTTAAATTGGCACTTGAGAGCATGTTACGCTATCACAGTTGTTTGCTTAAATTATTGTGCTTCTTTTATATTGAAACCTGTATCTTATTTAAGTTGTATAGTGTTTATACATAAAAATGTATGTCTTTTAATATAATGGAATATATCAGTGCCCAAAATTTAAAAAATGTATCATATACTTAATAATTTTGGTCCCATGTTACTTGAAATCTTAGATTCCTTTTAAATTTTATCATGAGAATTTTTAAACCTTATAATTACTTATATAAGTATTGGTTTTATATCACTTTAAAGTACTTTTAAAATTTTTGTGTACATATATCAGAAATAATTATAGAGATAAAAAAATTGATAAAGTTACATAAAAGTTATGTTGCATAATAGTCCCCCTGTAACTGGGCAACTTTTATTACATCATTAAAATGAATTTCAAAGCATGGTGATTTGCAAAATGGCATTTCGCAAGTATTACACATAAATCTGGTATCCCTTCTCTTTCCAATCTTCCAACATAAACGACATGAGCGTTGTGGGTACTTCTTTTTTCCATCCTCCTTTTGTGGTATGGTAACAAGCCTGTGTTCTAAAGTATGACGTGGTATATCTTCAATAGTAGCATTCCTCATGTTAGTCACTTTACCATTCACTAAGTTTTTAAGATCAAGAAACAGTGAGCTTAGGCTGGTGCAATCTGAAATCACGATGGGCATTTTCATTACATGTGTTTTAACAAACAACTGAAGAAATCTTAAATGTTGAAAATGCCATCGTGTTTTCACAATAGAGGCTTCGCAAAAGAAAATAATATTTGATGAAATAAATGATTGCATTTTCAACACAATTTCTAATTGTGACTTAAATGAATAAGCGTTAAAAAGCAAAATAAAAGATTATAATGCTAACATCTTTGCAAGTCCATATTCTACATTCTTAGGAAATGTTATGGATACTCTTCATTAGGTGAAACAAATACATAAAAGTTATAAGAATACTTACTGTCTTGTGGTGACTGGTACTCTAGAGCCATAGATAATTCTTTCTTTCCATCATTATTACCATCATAAGACTTAGGAGTAGTGCATATAGCAGGGTCTGTTACTATGATATCCATGTCATCACATTCTGTCTTTAACTCCAAGTTATTTTCTGATAAAGTCTGCTCTGTAGATTTATCATTTATATCTTTATCAATATTACCAACATTTGAATGGGTTTTGAATGAAGATGAATTATGCACCAGTTTATCTTCATAAATACTTTTGTAATTGTCATAGCTATGCAACACAGGATTATTCTGCTTGCAAAAAAGATTTTCATTGAGTTTAATTTTTTTTTCTGAATTTAACATCTCTGAAAAGTAACTTTTCTGTAACAATTCTTCTGATTTTCTTTTAAGATTACTAAGTCTTTGAAGTTTTTCTATAAATTGCTGCTGTTTTAAGAGATCTATGTCATTGTTATGTTTTATTTCCTCTATCATTGTTGAAGCATTTTCTACAGGATCTGTATTACAAGATTCTCCTTCTGAAATGCCATTTTGATATTCTACACTATGCTTTGACAGATCTTGTTCTTTTTCATTATCTTCTTCATCAGTCTGGAAATAGATGACGAATGAAATACAACACAACAAAAACATAACCATAGATGAAACACAGAACAGTATGCAATATTTTAGTTTAGGAAATTCATGATTAGAACAATGAGAGAATGGTTTCTTTTGTTATTTGTAATTAATATGTAATTAAAAAGTTTTCCTACCAATCTACTAGACAAGTTAATTTTGAAAGGTTAAGCTGATTTTTTTCAGAATAATAAATGTGTTCTAACCTCTTTGTTCGTTAATCCTTTTATTTGTAGCACTTCTGCTGTACCTATGAAACTAGTGAGATCTTCTCGTTTTACACTCACTTCTCCATGATACATGAACTGAAGTAGATCTTTCATAGCTTTGTGGGAAACATCTCTTAGAACCACTGTGAAAGTTTTATTACCAAATAGATGAAATATTCACTATTGGATAATATGTCATAGTAAAAAGTTTATACTCACCAATAGGATGTTGACATGGATTCAATTGGAACATTTTCTTGAAGTAAGGTGAACATATTGACAGTATTACTTTATGGGCCTGTAATAAATGTCCGTCTACAGCAATAGTTACATCTACGAATTCACCGTTACCTAATAATCCAGCGAAACCTTTTGTAAGGTTCCCATGGAAATTGTTCCAGGACAATGAGAATTGCTGGTCCATTTTTTACACAGTCAAAAGGAACATCTGGAAGACAAAGTGTATTTCCAAGGAATAAAAACTAATTATATTTTTAACATTAAAATGTTATAGATCATTTATATTTACCTTGTAAACTATACAATAGTACGAACCAAAATAAAAGAAACAAGTAGCACAGCTACAAAAAATGACAGATGTGAGTAGGTAGTGAGCGGCGGCGCGTCGTTATTAGGGAAGAGATGATAAACCGAATAAATAATCGATTTGTGTATACCGATATTATTACACGTGTTGAGACTAGATAATATTTTGATGAGAATATTTATTTTAAATTTGAAAACTTGCTATAACCTAATACAAACTTTTCATCCGGTTAATGAATGGAACTGAGGTTTTATGTCATTCTTGATAATACTAATAGATTAAAAAAGGTGTCATTATTAATAATTAATATTAGAACATCGCAAGCATTGCTGAGTTTCGAAGATAATACGTTAAGTCCTGTATGTAACGTAGCATACAAGGGTGTTTTTTCGGGAATTCAACTTTCGGTTTAATACAGTCGTCATTATTGTAATTCAAAAATAATATATCTTGACTGATATTTTTTTTAATTTTAAAATCTATATAGAATTAAATATTGTAGCAGGCGTCATCAATTAAAAAAAACACATATCAGTTTAAATTATTTTTGAAGAACAATAAAAACGGATGTATCAAATCGGAAGTTCAATTTCCGAATAAACCAGGGATGTGACGGATATATTATTTGGGTTACGGTTACAGATAAAGATTTTTGACAATTGTTATATTAGTTTCGGTTAACGGTTACGGATATGTTTTCTTTTCAGATTACCTGGTAGTTTCGGTTTCGGATACTAAATTTAGGTACTGAAAAGTATCTAATTTTTTTATATAAATGGAGCATGAATTAGTGAATACTTAATTGTACTCAATAAAAATACGACAAACGATATACTTCAAATAGAAATTTAAGTCTATTTGTATTGCAATAAAAAGCGAATGAAAGGGTTAAATTAAAAAAAAAGTTAAATTAAAAAATATTATTATTATTATTTTTCTTTTAAATTAACTTGGGTCAGAGTGAAAGTGGCGTAGCTTTCTGTGCTTGTCGTTCTGATACAATATGATCCTTTTGTTTTGAAAAAAGGTGTCAATAAACACGTTGCTAATTATAGTTATCTTACTGTATTTTGGCCATGTATTTACAGTTAATTTATAAAATCATAATCAAATATGAATATTAATAATACTAAACCATGAGATCGGAAGATGATCTAAAACTCACAGCTGGATATCATTGGAGGAGGGTAGCGAAGGATTGAACTCAGGGGAAACTGTTGGACACTGAATTACGAGACATTTTGGAAGATCAGTTTTAATCAATCGAAATTTATTTCAAGACAATGTACTCAAAGTTCAGAATAAAGGCTTCTTGTTTTAATATAACTATAATTAGAGTTCTTAAGAATAAGTCTTAGTTACTAATATCACCTTCTAATATCTTGAAAAAAGTTTTGGCCCGGTTAAAAAAATCGTAGATTGGGCCTGGAACCGGGCCTGGAATTTTAGTGTAACTTACATAAGTGATGGTTATATAGAGTAGAGATGGGTGATAAAATTAGGTAAGGATTCGGTAAAAGTATTGCAACTTTTGAAGGTTTTCATTTTGTTTCTTTTTTCTATATCATAAGCATTTTACGACTCATTTATATTTGTTGACAGGGTTCGCACTTCACAGCCTTTCGATTTGGCAGAATTGTGCGAAATGCGCAGATTAGCCATTAATAAAAAAAGAAGATGATGACCTACAGATGGATGAGACATTAGTACAAAAAAGAATGTACTCGTACTATTTTCTTTTTTTAAACATGCATGTAGTGTATCTGTCATAATTAGCCATCAGATCCCGATGTTTTTTTTAATTAGTTTTTAATTTGGAGAACAGATTATATCATCACGATTTTGTAATTTTGAAATATTTGAATTTTAGAAAAACATGTAAGTTGCTCCTTTTTTTTAATTGCCGACGTTTTCCTTATTTCTTGGGTTTTTTAAGAAAGCTTAGTAAATGATTCTTTCTTTCTGTATTTCTTTTTGGCAATTCTTATCAGCAGAAGCGGCAAAGTATACTGTTATCTGTAAATTACTCTAAAGTACTCGATACCTACAGGCGTCGATATTTTACGTATCTTCTAACACACTTTGACATGACAGCTGATGACGTCACAGGCTAGTAAACAGAATCGTTATTGGTTGAGACGACCACCAATTATAAAACGTTTTCGTCGTTGGGTAAATTACTAAAAAAATTTGCATTTTCTTTATGTTATTTTACTAAATCTAAACATGTTTTTTCTGCAGATGATAAGAAATAAGCTTTATAAGATTATTATCTATCAGGATGACCACAAAATGCAACTTATTTTCGATAGTGTCTAATACCCTATTCCTTCACATAAGCGAAGGATTTAGGTAGAAGATTTAGGTCTGCATAGAACAAGTTGCAGATGCGCTTACCACCCACAATAAATCTTCTATCCCAGACTTCGATGGTTTTGCGAATTATATATTCACCATAAATTTTAAAGAGTAGGGGTGATAAAATGCATCCCTGTCTAATGCCTTCTTTAACGTAGAACATAATTGAATAGTCGGTGTTTATTGTAAAGAGAGAGCGGTTGTTAACCTATGTTAACAACCGCTCTTTCGTTAACCTCTATAGGTTGCGTGTGGTGTTATGGTATACCCATTTCAGCAGCACTTCCCACACTTCCCACAGCTTATTCCACTGGACACATTCGAAGGCCTTGGTATAATCGATAAAATAAAATATCACAGGGTTGTTAAATTCACGACTCTTCTCGATTATTTGTCGGACATTCAATATCTGCTCCTGTTACATAACCAGCTTGTTCTTCTGGGATTTGGCGCTAAAGAAAGTGTTTGAGTCTGTGAATAATAAGTTGGAGGAGAATTTTACTAAAATGAGGTATAATTGCCAGTGTTAGGCCATCTCTTGGTTTTCCAAATGGAATTACAGATCCTCACATATTGTATACCCTTTGTTCCTAGGTTTTTGTACCTGAAGATTTTCAACTTCCGATTGCAGTATATCGGGTTCCTGTATCGATTGCGGATGTTCTCTATTAACGGTATGCAGTGGTCATATAACATAGTGCAATACTGTTTCCACCGTTCCAGTACTTGTTCCTTTTCCGTAAGGATTTTTTCATGTTCTTACGGAATGGATCCTTTCATTTCTTTCAGCATTCTGCTCAAGGTCCACACATATATTATTGATGTGTTTATCATAGTCCTTTTTGTATCTGTGTCCATAGTTGTTTGTAGAGCTTCCTATCTTTCTGCGACGATAGACCTTTTTTGTTTAAGTTCTCGCCTTTACATAATAAGGTCAATTGTCTCTGCAGAAATAAAGGGCCCCATAGTAGGTTTCGGTAGCATGTTGTGTTTAGCAGTTCTCACAATTGTCTCTTGCACTTTTTTTAGGGTTATTACGACCCTACGACCGCTGTAGTCTTATCCGATAAGTTGTAACTGGGTGTATGGTTATACTGCCATTGTTCGGTCGCTAGAACTTCGTTTGTTTCTAGCAGGGAGTACCACGACAACAGATTAGTCGCCGCCGCCATCCGGCACGTGCAAGTGAAGTTGACATTTGAGGCCGGTAAGATATTATAACCGTTCTCTCCCTTACCCCCCTTTTCCATTAAGCACTATTGTAGTAGCAGAAAATTGACTTTTTACCGGGTGTAAATTCTAGCATTACGTGTAATATTATATCGTGATAATAGATTTTAACTATATAGCTTACGTTGAATCATTAATCCATATTGGCACATTTTTTTTAATATAGGTAAACAAAATATTAATGAATAGGATAGGTAATAATTTTGTCATACAAGTAGTACGTAACTTTACAAATTGAATACAATCGCGGTCTGTACGTACCGCCCTAATTCGACCCGAGGCAGTGTTCACTGAAGCTCGTTCTGCATTACTAGTGGGTACTCTGTGGTATTAGAACAGAGCTTCGCTAAAACTTCTTGTCAAAGTAGAGCGCTTTGGTAGTCCGTTTAAATTAAGTTTCAACTAAACTTTAGGGAGTTGGTTCCTATTGCATTGGAATCTAAACCACGTCATAGATGTCAGAACATAGATAACATTTTAATGCTATGCCCTTGAATCATTATAGGTTACTTTATAAATTGTTATTCTTCTGGGCAGCAGTGTATCTTTGAGGTTTTAAAACTCTGTTATTATAGTTTTTGGAATTTCCATTATTCATTTTACTGAAACACGTGTTTTATTGGGGAACAATTATAGAATTCAATTAGTGGAGACAATATAAGGCTGAATCTGAAAATGCGTATACAGGGCAGAAGACCACGTTTAGGCCACAGCCCCCATTTTCGACATTTGGAACTTTAAAGTGTTCAAACTAACGTGAAGTAATCTTCCAAGTAACTCTTAAAATGGCCAAAACCGGGTCGCAGGGTCGTAGAAGAAAAAAAATCCTCAAAGCTTGTTTTCAAATAAATTTGTGAGACATCTTACATCCTTTGTGAGAGTCGGTAGTATTATTATTCACAGTATAAAGATAAAACGCAATACAATCCCAATAAATCGGAAGAAGCGAAAAAAAAATTGAGAATTCTCGATGAAAACATATCATGTTCCAGTACCCAGAGTCGAATCGTCATATTCCTAATGTATGAATGAACGAAATATTTATTTGCCATATAAATAAAACAATATAAAAATTGAAGTTACACCAAATTGGCCTCCACTAAGATAATGCCGCGATGGTTTGTTGTGACAGTCTGCCGTAACCCTGGTATTCTGCAGATATCTTGGCACATGGCACAAAATACATTTAAAAGGAAAAGAAAACATACACAAAATAATAATAATATAAGAAACGTTACACCACTTTGTTACTTTGTAATTTATTTGTAAGCTCAATAGAAACTGCTTGTATCCTTAAGTAATGATTTAAGACCCTCTTGTAGGCGTATTTATATTGGAACTTAAGCGATACTCTGAGAGAAAAAATAAATGCAGGTATAAAAAAATCTATAGACCAGTTTAGATTATACCAAAATCTATTTTTGTATATATTTTTATATAGTTAAAATGAAATACAATAGTCGTAAAATC